TAACAGCACAAGTAATTCCTGGTAGTTAAAACGGCTGGAATGACCAGAGTTGGATGGAATTCAGCAGAAACTGACTGCAGTTTTATCAGTAAGATGGCCAGCTAGTCTCTCCTTTCTGGACCCCGGCCCCACCCAGCCCCCACTTTGCGTTATTATACAAAGATAGAGGGGAAAGGTTTTGTATGGAGCGGGTGGTGTGTTTTTCTTCAGTTAATAAGTAGTGCCCCTCTTTACAAGGAAATTAGGCATTGTTCTCAAGTAGGTTTCTCTTACATTATCCCAGGGGATGATTTTTTTTTTTTTTGGTCTATCTTCCCTGAAGTAATCATTGTATTTTGGAAATCTAAATGGTGTTTTAATCAAAAATCTTGATTATTAGTTACTTCCACATTAAACACATATATTACAGTATAGCCAGAAGAAAGGGATCTCACAGAAAGACAGAGACAAAGTTTTCTAGATTGCTCTACTCATGAACAAGGATAAAACATTTTTTTTTTGGATGAGGCATAATTATAAATGAGTTCTTTACCAAGTTTCATACATCTTACCATATAATAAGCTCATATATCCAATTAAAAAGTGCTTAAAAATAGTCATTTGCTTTTTAAGGCCACAGTAAATTTCCCTAAATGGTACCCAAGCAGATGTAAATTCTGTCATCCACTTAATGCAATATGTTGGGTTTTCCTTTTGCCTGTTTCCTTATCTACGAAGCAAGTAGAATATTTAGGTGTTACAGTGTATGTTACTATGGATAGTGACCTGATGCCCACAGTACCTGAATCTTTAAGCTATCTTGTCTGACTAGTTGTTTCCTCCTCAGAGAACGTGCATTTTGAAAAATGGTCATTTTTTGTGCATATTCCCAAAGTTTGATGATGACCTACCATTTAGTCCCACATACTTCCTAGGGAAGTAGAGAGGCACTGTTGGCTACAGGGCACTTTATTCTGAGTGATTAAATGGTAACTGATAAAGGTCAACAGATCCTTTCATTCCAGACACAGACTGTCATGCTTTTCTGTATAACATCTGGCCATGGACAATATTATTCCGTCATTTCCACCTAATTTGGTGAGTTTTAAAAATTTCCACTGAGGATCTGCTTTAAAAGTTTGGATTTGGTTTCTTTATATTATATATGACCTTACTATGCCTAAACACTATTTTATTCTTTTTTAAACTCTATTTGAAAAATCTCTATAACATTGTAGATAGGGACATCAATGAACTATCTTCACCTTATTTTAACTGTTTAATTTCCTGAAACACTGGAGTGTTTGTGCACTTAGACATGGTGTTGTAGACAGACCTTGGCCTTTGATTCAGAAACATCTCTTTTGCAACCAACTTTACCCTTTATGAGTTATCTGGGACAAGTTTTCTGAACCTCTCTGGGTCTGCATCCTCTTCTGAAAAAAGGAGGACAATACTGGTTTCACAGTGTTATTGTGGGAGTTAAATATGGTAATCTAGGTTAAGGTCCACAGTCTCAGAAGTACTCAGTGATGTCTCCCCAACCCCTGCTGTTGGTAACCTCTTGCTACTATTATCAGTTCCAAACAAAGGTCTTCATGTGCTTAGTCTGATGGGACTGATGACATGAATACATTTTTCTTTCTGAGAAAACTTTCCTACATGAGCAATACTGTGATGTATTTGGGGAAGTCAAAAGTGTCTATTAACATAATTGCATTACCTTCTTATAGTTAAGGCCATGTGATTTTCTCAGCTGACTTTGTATAAGCCCTCTCCTTAGAACAATAAGAACAACAGCAAAGCCTAGTGATCATTGTACCAAGAAGTTTCAATTTAAAGGTATTATGGAATCATGTTAACATTTTGTCATGTTGGATTTAGTCTGAGCTGATATATGTTAGTATCTACGTTGGTCAGTCAAATAGCCTCAAAGTGGTAGAAAGGTGTCCTAGTTTTGTATTGATGGAGAAAGCAGAAAAATAATCATAAGGGGAGAGATGACAGGACGGTGTAAAGAGGTAGCCTAAGCATCTGTAAAAGCTGATCAGGAGATGTACAAAGTAGGAGAGATGCTGTGAGCAATTTATTGGCCCTCCCTCAAATCTCCCATGGCAAGGAGAAATCTGTTGTAGAGTGTGGTGTAACTGGCTGGCCTGTTCAGTCAGGAATTCTCTTGCACTTGAGTTTTACAGGTGCTTCTTCATTTTGGAAAAGATGAACACTTTTCTTCACTGAGTGAAGTCGCTCAGTCATGTCCGACTCTTTGCGACCCCATGGACTGTAGCCTACCAGGCTTCTCCATCCATGGGATTTTCCAGGCAGGAATACTGGAGTGGGTTACCATTTCCTTCTCCAGGAGATCTTCCCAACCCAGGGATTGAACCCGGGTCTCCAGCATTGTAGGCAGACGCTTTACCGTCTGAGCCACCAGGGAAGTCCCTTCATTTTGGAAAAGATGAACACTTTACCGAAATATTATAAAAAGAATAAATCTCAACCATAGGGTAACACACTTTTGGCAGTAAATACAGGCAATTAAAAGCAAGGTGCAAAATCTTATTCTGCTTAGATCTGAAAATATATGGTTATAGCTGTTGAAACTACAAAGGCTTTTCTTGACCTTGGTCTTTCGGAGACCATGGGAGGGGATGAAAGAGATGGGGAAAGGCAGAAACACCAGGAAGAGGGATGGACTGAGGGGGCACTCTGGGGAGAGACCACTCAACTACGGGTTTTTAATTATCTCTTTCTCTTCTCCACCCCTGTGAAGATTTGACTGACTCACTGTGACCTGAAGTACTATTCTTTGGAGATTATTTGCATCAAGCAATGTCCTTTTTGAAAACTGCTGATACCTCTGAAAAGTATTACTGTGGCTTAGCTAACTTTCCAGCTGAAATCTGACATGGATGTGGTGCACAGTGCATGCTGGGAATGGAGATGGGCTGAAGACCACTATAGGCCTAGGGGTGGTCTAGAGAAAAGATGATGTGAAGGGACTGAGACCCTCTGACAAAACTGTAGGTAGAGAATGGATGTACATTCTCGCATCTTTTATTCTTGGGACCTGTAATTAAGCTGGTACTAGAGCAGAGTTTGAATATAGTGTGGGGTAAACTTGTTCTCATAACCGTGCCATGGATCCCGTGATAGAGAATAAATTCTGATTTCTAAGCAGTAAACAACTTCTAGGACATGACATTCATAAATTGAGACTGGCTTCCTTAGAACTTTTATACTTTATAAAAAGTGCTAGGTATAAATGTTTTGTAATTAATTTGCTAATACTCTGCTCTGCTGAAGCTCCTCTCTCACTCCCATAGCTTGTGGAATACTCACAGGTTCACTGGGAAATGAACCTTAGCTAAGCTATAAAAAGAAACAAAACAACCATGGTGTATGGCTTTTGTTTAAAAAAAAAAAAGTACCCAACTTTGAATTCCACTTAAAAAAATACACAAAGTCAAAAGTACAGAACACAACTCACTGCTATCCCAATAAGTCATTGCCTGTTAAGATCAAATTGTTCATCTGTCACTAAACCTGCATTATTGTCTAATGAGCAAAAACTGAAGGCAAGGAGTGTTTTGTGGAACTGGAAACATGTCTTCTGAATTCTGTGGTGATCTCTAGATGGCATAGCGAATGATAAGGTTTTCTACTTTAGAATGCCTAAATAAATCAGGGAGCCCTGTCTTCCTCTTAACCTGTATAGAGTTATATATTCCCATGGAAGATAAAGTCTAAAATACTAGCACTGAATAAAGCTGTCGGTTTTAAATCCTTTCTTCCATACTGGAGAGTTGATGCTTTAGGGATAAGATGTTCAATTTTCAATAATTATTAGGAGCTGGGAAAATTACGACATATATCTTAGCAACTAACTCTTTAGAATGTGTATGAGTGGGCTTGATTGAGGAACTGCAATCACTTGTATAATTTAATATTAAATATACTATAAATAATAAGACAGAGTCCAAACTTTTAATTTAGTGATAATTAGGAAAATAAATATCCACTTATAATAATGGCCTGAGTAAAAAGGTCTCAAACAGATGGCCAATCTATTTGCCAGAGAGGAGAAATATTTTAAATTGAAAAACTTTATTTTCTAAACTTTATTCTATGACCTTTTCTCCTGTAATTTTGTTATTTTGAGACTATAGCATATATGAATGCCACTATAATTTTATATGATTGTTGTCTAATATTTTCAGACTTTAAATGGTTTCATCATCTTTTTCCCCACCCCTTCCAACTGTCCCCCTACCCCATACTTCCTGCCCCCTTCCCTGAGAAGTCTGCTTACTGGATGGCGAATTCTTGAGTTCCTTTTTTCCAAACATGTTGATATAAAACGAGTTGTTTTGTTTTCTTAAAAACCAAATGCTATACCTTATATTCAGATTATTGTGGAGCATAGAAATGTCTGTGCAACAAGGAACTAAGGCACCATTTTTCTTTCCCTTTTCATTTCTTGCCTTGGGAGCAAAAGCAAAGACTAGTGGGACCGTTAGGGTGGCCAGTCAAGTCATTTGGCACTGTATCAGCCAATACCACTGGGTACTATGCATCAAAGGTTTCCATGCCACAGACTTAAAACCCTGCCAGGAAAAAACTTTCTTCCTTTAGAAGCAGGGACATGAAGGCACAACAGTACCTTACATGAAGTTGGCAAATACCAACCAGAAAATCTTGACAACTTAGGAACAATTTTGAAATATTCTGGAATATTTTACAGAGGAAGTGAATCTTCCCTTTCTTGATTCAGACACCCAAGAATACATTTTTTCCAACTGTTTCTTCCCTGCCGAACTCATAATCATAATATAGTTCTTCCTCCAATTAATCATGTCTGATACGAGATGTCTGCATGTACATCAGCTTGCCTTACCACCAGATATTTCTTTAGCTATTGCATTTTTAAAAATAATCAATGGATCAATGTAGTGTTTTCATAGGAGTGGTCCTTGAAAGTGACCCATTTGGGGATAACAGTACAGGCTAACAGTATATGCATTGGGAAATAAGATTTAGAAATGTGTCAAGGAATGTAGACTCTTCAGAAATGCTCTGCAAAATTAGAGTATCACTCATGTCATCCACGTATAACCTTAATATCCAGATTAGCCCTAGTGCTGATTAGTTAGGGACGGACGGGGTGTTCTCTGGGACACTGGGGCTGGTGGTGGGGAAAATGCTATCAGTTGGATTGGCAGACATACTCTAAACCCTCCGAGTGTTTGTCCTTGAGCCTGGAAGGTGGATCTTCTACATAATGATGTCATAGACACGGCCCACTCTACCGAGCCACTCTCTCACAGCCTGGCGAACTCTGATGTCAGTCACGTGGCAGGTGAGCTGGCTGATGCATGGAAACACTGCTGGTTGGAGGGCTGTGAAGGTCTGGTCTGGGAGGATCTGAATCTGATTGAGGACTGTTAGCACCATGTTGGTCCATGCCTAAGAGAAATGAATTAAAGAAAGTGAGCAGTTTTCTCCAGTGGTTTCATTTGTACACTTGAGTATGGCTAATCTGCGAATGAGTTTTCTCAGGCTTCCAGCTTCATTCAGTAAGTTAGTCTTTACTTTAATGTGCTTATGATAAAATGTCAGCTTAAGTTAATATAGATAAAGGGTAGCAGAGACTCATTTAACATTAGGAATATCTTATTTTCAGTTTTTACAAAGTACAAAATTCTTATTCTTCAGATGTTTAAAAAATCTCTTGCCTTCTCATAATGAGTTTCATTGGCCACAAGACACTTAATCAGTAGCCTCTATAATACCTAGGAAACTTGGAAGAGGTCTTCCCTGGTAGCTCAGACGGTAAAGAATTTGCCTGCAATGCAGGAGACCCAGGTTTGACTGCTGAGTTGGGAATATTCCTTGGAGAAGCGAATGGCAACCCACTCCAGTATTCTGGCCAGAAGAATTCCATGGACAGAGGAGACTGGTGGGCTACAGTCCATGGGGTCGCAAAGAGTCAGACACGACTAAGTGACTAACACTTTCACTTTTTGCCTTAATTTAGGATAACTTCTAAAATTATGGGGCTTCCCCAGTGGCTCAGCAGATAAAGAATCCCCCTACACAGGAGACATAGGAAATGTGGGTTCAATCCCTGGTTCAGGAAGGTCCCCTGGAGAAAGAAATGGCAACCCACTCCAGCATTCCTGCCCATGGACAGAGAAGCCTGGCAGGCTACAGTTCAAAATGTCACAGAGTCAGACACGACTAAGCGTGCAGGCATAGCATAGCATCTAACATTATAAGCAGATCTACGAGACATGAAAAAGCAACTAAGATTTATTTGTCAAAAATGTCATCTGTTAAAGAATAAACTTACATCTCAATCTGGATACTTTTTCAAATCTAGTTTAAGATAATTTTTGTGGATTCTGAATTATGAAGTTTAGTTCTATGTCCAAAATACATCAGTGCAAACATGTAGCTTGCAAGATGCATACTAATTTCAAATTTATGTTCATTATAAGAAAACACTCCTGTATAGGCTTACAGAATTCTGCCCAATTGCTCCTAACTTACTGTGCCTGCAACATAAATCTACAATTTAAGATAAACATCCAGATTATTTCTAAAGGGCCCTCGATAAGTCTAGATCCTTCTATTTCTCTTTTCCCATCTCCTCTTTTCTTAAACTGATCAAAATGGTGCCACTATTCTTTACTTCTCAAGCTCATTTTTGGGATATACCATAGAATTGCAATTTTTAAATATATAAAGGAATAGGAACACTCTGAAGAACGAGAATTTTGTGCTCAGGATGGGCTAGAAAAACAATTCATTGGAATAACCACATAATATGCACTTTGCCTTTTCCATTTATATAATTTTTCATAACTAGAGAATTGCTTCAGTGCTAACTTCAAAGGAGAAACTCAGGACTCGATGCCAGTTAAAGTCCATTCATTTTCTAAGCTTTGGAGTCATCTTATTTACACGGGGGCNATATAAAGGAATAGGAACACTCTGAAGAACGAGAATTTTGTGCTCAGGATGGGCTAGAAAAACAATTCATTGGAATAACCACATAATATGCACTTTGCCTTTTCCATTTATATAATTTTTCATAACTAGAGAATTGCTTCAGTGCTAACTTCAAAGGAGAAACTCAGGACTCGATGCCAGTTAAAGTCCATTCATTTTCTAAGCTTTGGAGTCATCTTATTTACACGGGGGCGGGTGTCCCAATTCTCGATAGTATCTGTTATAACCCATAAAAAGAATTTCTGAAATTATCTGAGAATAAGGTTTCAGTTTCGTAAGGATACACTGGAGGCTCAGGACGTGTCTGAGTGCTCCCTGAGGGGGGGCAGGTGGACCCCTGGTACCCAGCCACCTTCCTGCACGGCCGGGCGCAGCCCTTTGCATCCTCCGGTGAGCGCGGACCCACCTGGATCTGGGCTTCCGCGTCCCTCGCGGAGACACTCCGCGAGCTGCCGGTGGAGCCGGAGCGGGGCCTCTTCTCCTGGCGCAGCAGCTCCGGGCCGGCGCTGAAGGAGTGCCGCATCTGCGCCTGGTCCACCAGGTGCTGGGGCCGCTGGAGCAGCGGGGAGCCTTGGCCCCTGGCGCCCAGCGCCTCCCCCTTCTTCTCCACCTTGCCCTCTTTGGGGAAGACGGGCAGGCTGCGCTGCTGTTTCCTCTTCTTGTACTCGGTCATCAGCTTCGAGATGGTCTTGTCGGCCGCCATGGTGTAGATTTTGTTGCCCGCATTCTCCCACCACTCTTTCTTGCGGCTGGGGTCCTTCTTCTCCACCTTGGGGCTCGGGGGCAGCAGCAGCAGCTCCCCGCCGGTCCCCCTCAGGCCCAGCGGCTCGCCCGCGTGGTCCCGGGGCTGACTGCGGTCGTCCTCGGAAGGCGTGTCCTTCCCCGAGAAGCCCCCGGTGGACGGGGTGGAGGACTCGGACTGGAAGGAGGGAAGGATGAAGAAAGGGTCGCTCCTGAAGAGCGGGGCCTCCTCCACACTGTTCTCCAGGTCCAGGTGCATCTGGATGTAGTGGTTACACAGCTCCATGCACAGCTTGTGAAGCCTCTTGACCAGCCACACCCAGTCGGCGTTGCTGACGGGCTGCACGCTGAGCGAGGGCATCCGCGCCCTCCACTGCCGCTTCTCTTTGCCCCTCGGCGGGCTCACCTGGGCGGTCTCCTCAAAAATGTCTTCATCTTCCGATGAACACTGCTGGGACGAGTCTGTGCTCCTCTCGTCGTCCTCAAAAAGGACCTTCTTCACCTGCTCAGCAGTGATGGTTTCTTGGTTGCTGAGAACGGCGCAGACCAGCGCGTGGAAATAAATGTTGAAACTCATGGCGGACTGGCGGTACAGGTTGGCAGCGCCCCCGATGCCAGACACTTTCTTCAGCAGGCACTTCAGCCCCGGGCTGGTGTCAAACTCTCTGGCCGTCCTGTAGGAATCCAGCAGGAGGTCAAAGATGACGGCCAAGTTCTGCATGGAGATGTATCTGAGGAAGCCAGCCAGCTTGGCTTCTGGCCCTTGGATCTTCTCCTCCCCAGGAGAGGGGCCTTTGACAAACTCTTCTAATAAGATATCATATAAGTTCTGGAGTAACACTTGATGGGATAGTAAACTCACCACAATTTCCCTGAAAGAAACACTTCAAATGAAAAAAAGAAAAAAAAAAAAAAAGGCATTGGTTAACAGCCTGCTGCCTTATATGAGTTACCTTAAAGCAAAACCAGAATGACTAGACAAAGTTACAAACTACTTGTATTTTAATGTCTTTCTTCAAAAAGGACAAATCTTTTGGACGACATTACAGGATGACAGCTTTAATCATAAATAATGGAATTCCTGACCCCCCCCCCAAAAAAAAATCTAGGAAAATGTTACAGTTTAAAGGACACTAAAGACACTGATAACCAAATGCACTACATAACCTTTATTTGGAAGCAAAGTTTATTTTAAAGTTCAGGTATGAAAACAATATTGGGACAATCAGATATTTTGAATGAGGATCATATAGTAAGTTAATTATATTGTCTCAAAGTTAAATTTCCTGAGTATGATAATTGGATTAAGATTTGAGGCAGACTAATCTTTCTCTGAAGAGATACATACTGAAGTATTGAAAGAAGAAACACTGCAATGTCTTAAAGTAACTCCAATGATTCAACAAAGCAGAGACAGAAACAGAATATGGGAAATTTNATGACTGAGCAACTAGGCGCACAGATACATACTAATTTTAATTGGCCTTTAGCCTACTCTTTGGCATTTTTCCTTAAACCCAAGGCTTTTATTATTTTTAAAGTATTGGCTGAGGCATTTTTAATAAATAGAAAAGTTATAGTTAACATTATGCTTCGACCTTTGAGTTCATTACTTTTCCTCAGTCTCACTTTTTCTTGCCTATCTATGAATGAAGTCTTTATTTCACTAAGATAGGCTTAAGAGCTAACAACCTCTATTATCCTACGTATCTAGGGAATTCCAAGAAGTAGCTAATTGCAAGATTCCACAGGATTCTTTTCTCCAAAAGCATAATTTTATTTTGTTCAGGGGTAGCCTCTGAAAGTACAAAGTCAGGATGTGATAGTGTATTGTATAGCTCCTATGTTGGGTGCATATATGTTTACAATTGTTAGATCTTTTTCATTGACCTGCTGATTATTATGTAGTATCCTTATTTGTCTCTTGTAATAGTCTTTATTTTAAAGTCTATTTTGTTTGACTTGAGTATTGCTACCTCAGCTTTGACTTCCATCTGCATGGAATACTTTATTCTATCCCTTCACTTTCTGTGTGTCCCTAGATCTAAAATGGGTCTCTTGTAGACAGCATGTATACAAGCCTTGTTTTTGTATCCATTCAACTAGACTATGTCTTTTGGCTGGAACATTTAATCCTTTTACATTTAAGGTAATTATATGTATGTTCTTGGGCTTCCCAGTGGCTCAGCGGTAAAGAATCCTCCTGTGATACAGGAGACGTGGGTTTGATCCCTGGGTTGGGGAGATCCCCTGGAGGAGGGCATGGCAACCCACTCCAGTATTCTCACCTGGAGAATCCTATGGCCAGAGGAGCCTGGCGGGCTACAGTCCATGGGGTCACACAGAGTCGGACATGACTGAAGCGACTTAGCACTCACGCACATGTGTATGTTCTTATTGCCATTTGGTTAATTGTTTTGGATTTCTTTTTGTAGATCTTTTTTCTTCCTTTCCTCTTTTCTCCTCTGGTGATTTGATCACTAAATTTAGTATCGTGTCTGGATTCCTTTTACTTTTGTGTGTGTGTATCTATTGTAGATTTTTGGTTTGTAGTTATCATGAGGTTTTGATACTGTAACAGTCTATACATAAATAGGATTGCTTTAAATTGCTGGGTTGTTTTTTAATGTTAATTTATTTACTTCTACGTTGGGTCTTTCTCGAGTTTCAGTGATCTTTGGCTTCCCTTGTTGATGAGCACAGGATCGAGCTGGGCAGGCTTAGTTGTGGAACATGAGTCCAGTATCTCCACGGCATGTGGAATCTTCCCACATCAGGAATTGAGCCTGTGTCCCCTGCACAGGCAGGCGGATTCATCAGGGAAGTCCTGCTGGCGTTTTAATTCTGAATGCATTTCCAGTTATCTTGCATTTGTGCTCTCCTTTTCTCAGGACTGTCGACTTCGATATCATATTTGTGTGTGGATGATTTCTTACCTTTATTGCATGTTTGCCTTTACCAGTGAGCTTTTCCATTCGTAATTTTCTTAATTCTAGTTGTGGCCTTTTCTGCCTACAGAAGTTCCTTCAACATTTGCTGCTCAGCTGGCGTCTTCCTCGAGGGCTCACACCAGTGAGTATTCGCCCAGAATGACTGCCACAAGTGTGCACATCCCCGCCGTGAGCCACACCTGCCCCCTCGATCGCCTCCACAGGAGAGGCTCCAATACTAGCAGGTAAGTCTGGCCCTCTCTCTTATATGAGGTCATTGCTTTTTTTCTCTGGTTGCTGTGCACTTGAGGCCCCGTGTGTGCCCTCCGAGTGGAGTTTCTGTTTTCCTCAGTCTGGTGGAATTCCTGCGATCAAATCCCACTTGTCTTCAAGCCCAGATTTTCTGGGGGCTCATCAGTTCATCCTTCTGTTGCCAGACCCCCAGGCTGGGGAGTCTCAGTTCTGGGGCTCAGAACTTTTACTCCTGTGGGAAAACTTCTGTGGTATAACTGTTTTCCATTCCGGTTTCTGGGTCGCCCACCTGGTGTGTATGGGATTTGACTTTATCATGATTGTGCCCCTCCTACTGTCTTCTTGTGGCTTATTTGTCTTTGGACGCAGGGTATCTTTCTTGGCAGGTTCCAGTGTTTTTTGGTACATGGTTGTTCATCAGTTACTTGTGATTTGGATTTCTGGAGGAAGAGGTGAGCTGACGTCCTTCTACTCTGCCATCTTTAAACCCAGTTTTAGAATCTTATTGAAATTGGTTTGTAGGCATCAAACCAGTTTTCCAGGACTAAAAATGTTCATGCTTTAGATGCATATGTATAAAAGCTTTATTTCTTCCAGCGTGTGATAGAAGAGATCCAAATATTGAAAATGTTTAACTTTAGAGGTATTATAGGCTAACATTTTCAAAGAAAAATTGGTAATTTAATTTGCATCATTCTAAAGCAAACCAAAAGGAGAAAGCATTTGCTCAGAACAGGCTAATTCCTTCCTTGCATCCTTTTCTGTCAGCAATGACGTGGGACTCGTTTGTGGACCTTGGATGTGCACTTGGGGGAAGTGGGAGAGAAAGAATACTCTCTAGACATCTGACCAGATCTCCTGGTTGAAAAAGCAGATGCAACTCACCAGTCATGACAACTTCCTAATCAGGGCAAAGACCTGATAAGGCGACATTACAAGTGAATACTCAAATACTTGGTGATTCAGCCCCTTTTGTTTGGTTGGAAGCCTGTACTAAGAAAATATTTTAATCCATCAATGTGGCTTTGGGTTTATGGTTTCTCATTCTTTTCATTGCTCTTAGAATTTCATGAAACTAGCTTAGATCATGTTGCAAACTAATTCTCATAACTGGATAAAGACAGAATTATAACTCATTCATGCTATAAATCTGTTCATATTTTTTGCTTTATTCTTTCTAAAGTTTTATTGGAATACAGTTGATTTCAGGTGTATAGCCAGTGCATCAGTTACACATATCTAAAAAAGAGTGGATTTAAGTATTCTTTTTCCACACAGGTCATTAGAGTATTGAGTACAGCTGTGCTATACAGTAGTTTGTTATCAATGATTATTTCATATACAGTAGTGCATATATGTTAATAACAATCTCCTCATTTATCCCTCCCCACCAGTAACCATAAGTTCGTTTTCTACATCTGTGACTCTTCCTGTTTTGTAAATAAGTTCCTTTGTGCTATTTTTTTTTAGACCATGAATTTAAAAATTACTTTTATAACTAGCAGGAAAAATATTTTAACTAGCAGAGAAGAAAGAAAAACCCTCCCATACATTCTTGAAAGGCTGATTTTGACCTCTGCATAGTGGTATCTCAGAGACAACATTGTACTTTCAGCAAAAATGGAGTAAGTTCAAAGAACTCTCATAACCCCTTCTAACAAATCATGTAAGCAACTTTTTTTGTGGTAAAATGTATATAACCTAAAGTACTATTTTAACTATTTTTAAAAGTTCAATTCATGGGCATTAAGTACACATACAATGTTGTGTAATCATCACCACTATCTATTTCTATGTCATCTTTCATCATCCCAAACAAACTCTGAACCCATTAAAAAATAATTCCCCAATCCCTCCCAACTTCCCCGCCACAGAAGTAACTTTTGGTAAGTTATCTGAGGTTATCAGGAGACCTGAATATGTACTCTTCTGAAGCAGCAGCTGTGAAAGCCACCAGTTTGGTCTAGTGCTTCAGGCCCGCAACTCTAGGATCCTAACAAGGGAAATCCTGTCACTTATCCGGCCTCTCCACTGCCCCATAAATCTTCAAGGGTCGAGGCAGTGCCTTACTCATCTTCTTGTTCCAGGGCAAGTATATGGTGAGAGAGACGCTCAAAGTAAGAAGAACCAGGTTAGTCCGGAGTGTAGGCACCCGGAGGAAACAGTCTCCAGGAGCAATGGCCCTGACACTTCAGCCCCTTTCCACTGGCAGCCTGGACTCCTGAAGTGAGACGCATGCCCAGGGAGTGTGTGTGTGTGAGACTTCTGAAGGTATAAGCAGCCTAGCTCAGGAGAATATTGCCTATTACCTGAGAAATGCAAAGCCCTTTACCAGCAAATGCCTAAAGAGAGAGTTGATCAAAGCCCTGTCAAAGCATCCTGTCAACCAAGGTATTTCCTTTGATGCTTTAAGATATAAATTTCTAACTGAACATGTTAAAAAGGACAGAGAATCCCCCTTAGGTTTAAGCCACATAATGCAGCAATAAGAAAGCAATGGGGAAGAAGCAGTAATACTGAAGAGATCAAACTTTCAGAAAAGTATTGAAACCGTGAAATAACTCTTTATAGATCTGCAAGTCTTCATCGTCATCTATGCTGACAGGAGACAAGACAGATTTGGAGCAAACAAAAATCAACAGGTAATTTTTCTCCAGCACACCCTTTATGACAGGAACCTTGAAGTGGAGAAACTTACACCTTCCCTTCCTGCTTCTGAAGCAAGGTGTACAGGCAAGCAAGCCTCCAGACAGGGTAATTCGGAGTGAACTGCTTAACAAGTGGCTGACTTAAAACATGCTAATGTCAGTAGCAGAGATAAACAGATTCACAGTTAAAAGTACATCATAAAGCTCAAATTAAGATTATGGGGCTTATTTAAATGTCATGGGGTTGTCAATGTCAAAATGACTTAAAAATGAAACCCAAATTTCTCTTAAATGTTACAATCTGGGTTTAGTTCATCTATTTTTTTTCCCTCCCATGGGTGATTTCGATGTGGACCTCTTAGGAGGCACCTAACCATCAGATACACAAACTTCTCTTACATCTAACTCAGTGTTTACTACCTTCTATGCTAAGAATTGCCCCTGTGAGTGAGTCCAGTCCAACAATGCAAAATATTCAAAGAATTTTAGAGAATGTTTTCAGGCATAGTGGTCTCTACTGAAGAAGCTAATACACTTTTCCTGTTTTGCTGAAATTTCACTGAGGGGGTGATTGTCTATTAAATCTTAACCTGTTAAAGCCTTTAAACCAATAAGGCAGCAATATTAGGTGATCCTGTTTTTTTTTCTATGTTTTATTTATAATGTGAATTCAGCTTATTCTATCCCTCCTTTTTCTCCTAAAATTATTTTAGCAGGAATAATTGGCTGAAGGGACTAGGAAATATAAAGAAAGAACTAAATTTTAAAAGTAGATCGGGGCCTAAAGATGTGGAAAGGAGTACACAGCCTCAGTACGTCGAACAGTGACCTGCAGTGGAGGGAAGCAGGCGTAGAATTGGGCGAAGCACATGGGACATCGGTAAACTTCTACGTCTGAAGTTCAGTGGCAGGTTCATGAGTTATCTCACTTTTTATTCACGGTCTATAACTTACGAACCTTCCACATAGTCTTTTGTATGTACCATACATGCTTGACTAAAAAATCAGTACCTAGAAATTTTACCCAAATTAGGTGTTTAATCAAACTGCTGAATTAACTGCTGTAACTTCTGAAAAAAATCACACTCTTTCTATAAAATGGGAAAGGACACAGGTACTGCACTTGGCCAGACGTGGCTTTGATTTTGGGTTTCCTGCTCTGCAGTCTCCATGAATGTTTCCTCGCCAGAAGTTTAAAAATGGAAACTTTGTCACTGGCTTCATCCTGAGCTCTAGGAACAATGGTTTTTTAGGCAGGATGACAGTATTTAAAAAGGCAAGTTTCTTGCGGCACACACAGATCTTTCTCTATCCTAACAACTGTACTGCTCATGAGAAATATTTCTCACTGAAATAGTATGGATCAAGCATCAAATTACTTTTTCAAAAAGGATTATTTTTTTAAAAAAAAACAGCCACAAAAAGTAGGGGGAAATAAAGGATTAAAATATGTATGATGCTATAGATACACTGAGTTGTATCCTTTCCAAATTCATAGAAGTCCTAACATCACAGAATATGTACTTGGAAAAAGGATCTTTAAAGAAGCAATTAAGTTAAACTGAGGGCATTAGGATGGACCCTAATCCAAGCAACTGGCGTCCCTATAGGAAGAGGAAATCTGGGCATAGACACAGAGGAGAGACCACGGGAAGGCACAGGGAGCAGGCATTCATCTAGAAGTCAAGGAGGGAGGCCTCCAAAGAGACCAGCGCTGCCGACACCTTGATCTTGAACTTCCAGCCTCCAGAACTGTGAGAAATCAAATTTCTATTGTTTAAGCCACCCGGTACTTTGTTATGGCAGTCCTAGCAAGCTAATACATGTGAAATGTGGGAAATTAACAGTTTTGTATGAAAATCTTTGCTAAGTGATTCCACAGTTGTTTTCAGCATTCTCGGCTGAAGACTGAATTACAATGAACAAGAGCTGGGAATAAATGAACTTTCCTGTTTGTACGTGCTCTCCCGGTGGAAGTTTAGCTGCTTACCTTTTCTTGGCGTGTCCATTTGGCTTCTCATCAGGAGGCAGTTCAATAATGAGCTGACAGGACTGAGCATGATCGAAGTTGTTTGGAGTCTTTGGTGAGCACTGGGTATCCAACATAAATACCTGCACAGGTAGACAAAGGTACAATGCAGAGGACCACCATCCTTGACCTGCCTCTGCCAGGGATCAGCTGGGTGGATGACCCTTGGCCAGAGGCGTCCTCTTTCTACTCATTTTCTCACCTCTAAAATGAGGTCAGTGATGGTTTCCTGCTTGGTATGTTTGTTGAATTAAATGAATTATTAAGTGTATTAACACATGCAGAGAACTAGAAGAGTAAATATTCAATAAATGTTACCTGCTGGCACTAATAGTAATAACAATTCTGCTTCTACCACATGACAAGTCATTACATTCCAAACAGCAAGGACTGACATTTAATATTAATTAAGAGTAAATAAAGAGGGGCTATGTTTGCGAGCGATCTTCTCTGGTTTAGATGTCTGTTTGGTACACCTATCCTATGCAGGAATGGGAAATTAATTGGGATCTCTCCTTTTAGGACAGCGATGTGGCCATGTTACTCTATTAGACACTGGGAGAAGTGACTTAGAAAATAGTGACCACTGCTTGCATTCTGATCTAAATGAATTCATCTGATGTTACTTAATCCACTTTCATGACTTACCTTTGAAAATAAGTGGGGTTTTTTTTAGTATTAAAGTTTTTTAAATTTTTTTTTCCATTTATTTTTATTAGTTGGAGGCTAATTACTTCACAACATTGCAGTGGGTTTTGTCATACATTGACATGAATCAGCCATGGAGTTACATGTACTGGAGTTAAAAATGAGTGTTTTTAAAGAACTTTCTTTTTCCAAATTTTGTTGGTGGTGGTTTAGTCACTGAGTCGTGTCTGACTCTTGCGACCCCATGGACTGTAGCCAGCCAGGCTCCTCTGTCCATGGGATTTTCCAGGCAAGAATACTAGAGTTGGTTGCCATTTCCTTCTCCAGGGAATCTTCTGGGCCCAGGAATCGAACCTGGGTCTCCTGCATTGCAGGCAGATTCTTTACCAACTGAGCTACGAGGGAAGCCCCAAATTTTGTTTAATTGAATGTTGGGTTTGAAGAGTGAATATGGGAGGAAGGTTTATGACTGAAGAAGAAAAATATTAGGAAATGAGAAGATTCACTAGCTGTTCTTCTCCATTAATAATCTATTCCAGAACAGGATTCTATTTTCTCGCGATGTGGTAGGATGTGGTTGAAAAGACCATTGGAGGCCCATAGGAAAATTCCTCATCTAGCCAGCCGGGATGGTTTCCTACTTGAAGAAGCCGCCCCTCTGGAGGCCCACCACCCTCTTGCCTTCCCTTATGGTTCCTGGTCAGATGCACGGCTGAGGGGAGGGATGTGCTCAGCAGATGAAAGAGAAGCTGAAGGTGGGAGGTTCTTGTCCCACGCTCTGAGGAGAGACTTCTCAGACAAGAGACTTCACTTCTGACAATGTGAACGTGACTGAGTTCTTCACACTGATTGATAACCCAGGATGCCCTGACTATCAGTGTGATGAGGGGAGATTCTCTTAAGAAGTTAAATAGATTTTGTAGAGAAAGGGAACTTTTGAAGATAAACCCCAACTCACTTCATTTTCCCAGTGCATATGCGTTTATAAAAACTGCTTAATATTTTAAACATGTATATGTAAATTATCTTCTGCATAGGAAAACATAATTCAAATATGTCTGTTACTAATTCATTATAGAATTTAGCCAATCAATAGTGGTTTGGAATTCTTCTGCTATTATGACTAGAACTGTTACGAATATACACGAATTAAGGCACACTACTGATGAAAGCCCCATGCAGGGTTTCTTAGAGGCAGATTGACAGGTCACTTAAATTTTTGAGTGCGTTATTTGTGGCCCATGATAAAGCTGTAAGGCCTTCTGTGATACACTGACCCAACAAACATTTAATAAGTGCCTTCTATCTGCCCTGCTCTAGGACTGCCAAGAAAAATATACAGACTATGTTCTCTGCTCCTGGCTTGGCTTACAACCAATATTTATGAGTTCTGCCATGTGTCAGGAAGAAAAAGTCACTGGTACATGGTGATTCCTGCATGGACAGGTACATTTTAATTTTACTGAGTTGTTAACATTTACAAGTTGCTTAATAAATTTGAGTTGAATGTTAAGCTCAATGCTCCTTATGGGAGATACAGGAAAAAACAAACAAGTTTGCCATCCTAACTTAAGCACTCACAGTCGAGGATTAACAACACTATTGCAGTAAATATTTATAAGCAGGGCAAGCAAATTATATATGGAGTGCAGTGTCCAGGTGGAAAAGGACCCCATGTGATCAGGACGCTGGAGGATGTAGCAAGCTAGAGATGGTGAGAGGCCCTGAATGCTGTTGATTGGGTTCGAGTTGTTCCTAGTAAAGATCAGCACTGGTCAGAGGTCAGAGCCAGGAGGCTTATGTCCCCAAGGGAAAGAGAGGCAGTGTGGTGATGCACAGCCTTCAGGAAGGCCCTCCAACAATATCGCAAGCTTGCTGAAGCCCTGAGATCTAAAGCCCCCGGCCTTACCTGCTGGGCCATGGCTCGGATGCGCCAGTACTCGGCCTCGGCACTCGGGGAGGAGGATGGGGCGGCCACCCTCACCTGGCAGCCTTCCCCGCTGAAGCTCTCGGTGCCGCTGTGGAAGCAGCCCAGCAGGTCCTAGGGAGCAACACAGTGGTTGTTTGCTGGGTGCGCACGGCTCCCGGCCCTGCCATGGATCCGACACGGTCGCAGAGTCGGGACGAGATACTGACGTGGCTACCTTGTTCTCACCCACTGAGACTGCCTCCTAGGAGGCGGCGCCCTGCCCTCGCCTCTGAGCGGCTTACCTTCACCGGCTTGAGCGTGGCCGAGAAGGCATCCTGCAGGGCGCAGCAGGCCAGCCTCCACATCTCCTCCGTGAACACGGGGCCCGCTGTCACCAGGACGTACCTGCCGGGAGGACAAGTCTTACATTCAGACATTTTATTGTCACAAAAGGTAGGCCCTTCCCAGCAAGTGCCTAGATGTAGTCTACAGTTTCCCTATAAGACTTGCTATCTTTTGTCATTGGGTTTTGGGCTCTCTGCCCATCTGGTATGCCATTGTCCTAACACTATTTCCTAACCCACTGGATATAAAAATGGACCCCCCATTACAAACAGGCCAATGTTTAAACTTTAGGTTTGTGTGCAAAGACTATATGTATATTCTATACTGATTTTCCCATTCCAGCCCCATTTTTCCACTACTCCTCTACATATAGCAAGATAAAACCCCCTTGTCACTTGTAATGCTTTTCCTCTGCTTACAAAGTCATCACCGATCAGAAGCTCACCCACCTAGGGAGCTCTGACCAAGTATTGTTACCACAAAAAGCTCCTGCCCTGCTCCCTAAGGGGAGGGACCTTGGTCACATCACCTTCTAGGGAATAGAGCACCCTGTTTAACGACTTCCACAATATATATTTGCTGATTGAAAGAAATGAAGAATTAGTAGCATAGTCATTTTTATTTATAGAAAGTAGATTGCTACCACAAAAGAATTCAATTTCCCTGGACGTCATAATAAAACCTGTAGAGAGCCAGGAAACCTTTTTCTCACCTAATACAGGAGCAGCCCACTCGGGAGATGGTTTCCGTGGGCTTGGCCACACATGCTACCAGCAGCTCGAAGAGATCCTTCAGCATGGTGTTGATCATGCTCTCATACCTGATATCTACAGGGAGATCAAAGTGAGGCTGCGCTCAATGGGACGGCAAAGGAGGGAAGGCTGAGCATGCAATGGGAGGGCAAAGGAAGGGGCCGAAGGGCAAAAGAGGGAAGGCCAAGCATGAACAACAGAGAAATATCAAGAAAACAGAACAACGAGAAAAATGGCCATAGCCAAAATAAAACACCCATTACAACACAGATTTTCTTGGATTTTATCTAGTTTTGGCTTGTTCCATCCATTGCTAGGTATATCAAGATGAAATGCATGAGGCTGACTTTTCAAAGTATATAATTCATCTACTTAAGCAGAATAGAACATATACTATTATATGCTGCTGCTAAGTTGCTTCAGTCGTGTCCAACTCTGTGTGACCCCATAGACGGCAGCCCACCAGGCTCCCCCGTCCCTGGGATTTTCCAGGCAAGAATACTGGAGTGGGTTGCCATTGCCTTCTCCGATACTATTATATAGATTGAATAATAAGTAGTAAAAAATGTTAATTCCTAAAGGGAAAGATAAAATGAACATTCCTTACTGTTGCTAGTTGAATTATTAATAATATTTAATTAAATGCTCTTAGTAAACAAAACATCTTGTATTAACTACCACTTCTTGAACCTTTTCAGTTTGGCTTCAGTCTGCATACTGTCCCCAGAATAAAGAAAATAAGACCTTCCAAAATAACATTCTGTTTTCCACAAAGTATTTGCGATGCAACACAACCAATTCTTGGTAGAATCTGCAAGGACCCTGATCTGGGCAAAGCCCTGACCGGGACGGAAACACTGCCCCCTAGCGATGCGGTTAGTGGCTGCAAGTGTTTCTCTTCAGTCGTGTTTTGTGCTTAGCAGAGACCTCATTTCTTACCTTTGCTTTCTGACCCCCCCTTGGGGTCAAGTTCTCATGAGTTTCTCTAACCTTAGCTCTTCCTTTATACTTCTGTACAGCACCTTTCCCCTATAACCTCTAGGGCTAGCAGCAAGATTTCTCCTTTTCCCACATTTCCAGATCTTTCCACGGCAAGAATCACGAACAAGAGTCCGTATTTTACAAATATTATTCCATTGGTATGACAATTGACATATTTCTCCTGCCTCTAACTCCCTCTCCACCTGCTGACTTCAACATATTATCCACCCCACACTTCCAAATCTTTTCCAAAGTGCCACTGATATTAAGACCTCTCTCTTCACTCCTTATCTGTTACGTAACTTCCTGCCCATAATTTGAGCCTTTCCTAAAACCCAGCCTCCCCAGATGCAACACATAATGGGATATATCCCTCCCTTACCCCTAGGCTATACAGATATTTAAATTTCTTACATATCAGTACTTGAACGTGCCTTCCCTCTCCTAATGCATAGATATCCTAGACCTTATTAGGTGTTTTATCTTTTGCATGCGTGCTAAATTGTGTCCAACTCTTTGTCACCCCATGGATGGTAGCCTGCCCGGCTCCTCTGTCCGAGGAGGACAGGCAAGAATACTGGAGTGGGTTGCTATGCCCTGACCCAGGGGTCAAACCTGTGTCTCATGTCTCCTGCATTAGGTAGGCAGGTTCTTTACTGCTAGTGCCACCTTTTATTCACACATGTATTTTAAGAATTGTTTGATAATTTTCTAGAGGACACACGGGTACCGCTTTTCTTTTTGACAAGCTCCTGTTAGAAGGCTGGCAATGACCATGTAATTCTATCTTAATAATTTCCAGGACAAAAATCACGCACTGGTCTTTACTAGACACTGTTAGACAACAATGTTGACTACTAAACAATGACTCAGTGTGAGCTGCTCTGGCACCACAGATACCTGAGTGGATAAAGCTCTGAATGTGCTCCACCACCAGCTCACAGGACAGACCGATGGCATGCTTGAAGTTAGCCGAGGCCACGTCCCAGTAAGAATGGTCTTTATGGCTACGGCGGAGCCAAAGAGACATCACAGGAAGGAGAAGGTGCACAACTGCATAGATGCCAAACCCTGGTCCTGAAAAAGAAAAGCCAGTGTCAGAATGTGAGCTTAGCACCTCTCCTGCAATAAAAGGGAAGCTCTCTGCCATCTCTTGGCCCTGCCTATCTCTTTGGAAGGAGCTCTCCATTGTCTGAGAAGGATCAGGGGAAAGGAACTGACCACTGACTGGGGAATGAATATATGGTCTTCAGTGACATTTTTCTTTTTTGTTTCTGCATGATTTTAATTACACAAGGAATACACAAATATACTCACTACAAATTCAAGTAATGCTGATGAAGCTAAAGCACCACGTGATCAGTTCCTTAGTCCCCAGGCATAAATAAACATACAATACACACATGCATATGGTTTGTACCCTTTAAACTGTAAGTACATATGTTTATATGAAAAGAGGAATATAGTTTTATTACTTTTTATAAATGGGATATTGTAAACCTTGGTTTGTATGATTATTTTGCCCTTAACAGTATATGTTAGAGATTATTCTTTGTCAGCAAATTTAGATATTCTTCATTTTTGTTACTACATTCTGTTCCAAGTTATTCAAACTGTATATGCATTAGTTTACTTATCCATTCCCTTACTAATGGACATTTAAGAGGTTTCTATATTTTGCTTTATGAACAAAGCCATAATAAGAGTCTTTGTGGAAATGTTGATAGATTTTTAAAATTCTGATTACAAAAGCAAGGTATGCTTTTTGTCATAAACACAGAAAACACATGAGAATACAAAGGAGAAGAAAATAATATTTTGATGTGTTTCCTTCTAGTACTTTTTGAATGTATGTATGTTTGGGTATCTATTTATGAATGCGTCACAAAGTTGAGATTGTGCTTACACACTATATATATTTTAACATAGTGCCTTATAAATAATTATTCATGTCATTACATACTATTCACAAATATTCATTTTAATGCTTATAGAATATTACATGCTTTTATCATAATTTACTTAACTCATTTATGTTCATAATTATTTTGGTATTCAAGATGCTTCAGCAATTTTCATTATGTATAGATTTTTCTTTATTACTATTAATTTCCTTTAATAGATTTTTAGAAGTAGAATTATTGGGCTACTTCACCCACACTTAGAAGAAAATGGTACTGGCCAATAAAATATCTGCTTATTCTTAGATAGAAAATCTTTAACTTTTTAATGCATAGGAGTATTCATAATGGTTTTCCTAAAAATAATTCTAATACAAATTTTGTTATAGATCTTAAAATAGTATCAATTATCAGGTCATCATCAATTTATGTTGAATACAAAGCTCCTCTTATTACTATGGAATTAAACTGGTGGTTTCATTTGTGGTTCTATTGGTGAAAACTAAAATCTCTATAAAAGATTTCTTTGATCTTGGGAAAATGTAGCTGGTTCAGTGCGCATGCTAGCCTTAACTAACTCATTACAAGAAATAAATTCCCAAGGGCCACTTTCCCCCTGTACTATCAGGGTAATCACTACATGTCTTTCCCTAAATCTAATCATCGATTCCCCTTATACAATTAAGATATTGCTATCTTTATATTATATATACATCTGAGTGGCTGGTTCACATCAGTGGTGTATCTGGTGAGCCTTACTGACGCCCTGGGGCCAAGAGCATGTGTGACCCGGCCAAAGAGGAAGGCTGGAACCACGGAACAGAGCAAAGTTAGCTGGTTCAAGGGAACACTGATACCAGAGCTGTGGCTTGAATATTGTGGGGGTTCAACACATTCAACTAGCTGGCCACCACCCATTATTTATAAATGGCCTGGTGGCAAACCCATAAACAGTACGAGGACATGTCTTAAAAGTCACTATGTTGCAGTCATTAAAAATATATGTATTGAGCATCTGTTATGCTGTCTAGCGTTACAGCAGTGAAACAGACACAGAAATACCTTCCTGGAAAAAGTTACACATATAAAAACGCCCCGAAAAGACAGACATAGAAATACTTACCAGGTGTTTTGGTAACATCTCTCAACAGCTCAAACAGCAAATCCAAAGTGGGGGGCTGGTGCTGCCGAGGACAGTTGGATACAGCTGCTGTGAGCTGCTCCAAGAGGATGATCCAGACTTCTATCAGACCTGGAAGCCGAAAGCAGACCTCTGTGAAATTCAGTCGAATACAGAATCATCACAAGATCACAGTGAGCAATGTATGTAAAAGGCTTCTGTAAACTGCCAAGCTATACGGATGTAAGCCGTCACCTTGTAAGGCAGACTTCAGTGCCTGTAAATATGGACAAATTGATTTCCTACTCTGACAAAGTCAAAGGAAAAGAAATACTGTTCACATTTCTTCCTTATTCCCCTTCAGGAAGAAGGTGATGTGGTATGTAAATTCTGCTAAATGAAATAATTATATTTGTTGGGAGTTGATGATACAAGTGATGCATCCGTTTAGTTCCATCACCTTAATCCTTTAAAAATTTATTATAGATATATGTATAAACAAAAAGTTGTCATTTTAACATGTACAATTCAGTGGTATTACTGCAACCATCATTACCATTAATTTCCAAAACTTTTTCACTACTTCAGTAACTGGTAACAATAACTCTGCATTTTCCCCCTCACTCCAGCCCCTGGTAACCTGTGTCTGGCTTATTTTACTTAAGATAATGTATTCAAGGCACACCCATGTTGTAGCATGCATTATAATCTCATAACTTTTTAATGGATGAATTGTATTCCATTGTATGTATACACCACATTTTGTTTGTCAAGGTACAAAAGTATCTAAAGTAGACTATACAAAACAGCTCATTCTATGTTTTGTTTTAATGCAAATTGTTCAGCAAAAGAAAACTGTGAGAAGTCGCAGTTTTTAAATATTCCCACTAAAAAAACTACTTCCCTAATTTTGAATATCCCTGTTAATAGGAGGCAAAAACAAAGTCATGGACAATAAGTATAAAAAAACTAGGTGATAAAAAATTCTCATGAACCTAAAAATATAAGCATGGGTGGATAAACTAATTAATAGGATATGCAGAGGACAGAAAAACATGTTAAACATCACTATGAGGGGTGCAACCAATAAAATCCAAGAGGAAAACTCTACAGGACAAAAACGTCACTCCTTCAACAAATAAACTTGAAGAGGAAGATCTATAGATTGACAGGAATTTAAGAAATGGAGCAAACATGTAATGCAGAGCTCACGTGAATTACGAAAGTTAACTGATATATATAAGAAAACTGGCAAATTGGTTGGGTGATGGGTATAAGAAGGTTCCTTATACCATCCTGTCTAGTTTTATATGTGTTTGAAATTTCCATAGGAAAATGGAAAAGCAGTTATTTGCCTTCAGAAACAAGAGAAAGAATATCTAAACATACCAATGATAAGGAGTAATTTTTAACACCAACTTAAAGCTTTTATTCTTTTCTCTGACATGTTATATATATAATTTTAAAGCCCTTAATGAATTTACACTGTAGGAAACCTTAGATTGGTGCTTGGCTAAACTTGATTTATTTTCTTGGGTGGGCTGCCTAGGAAAAAAAAAGATTAGCAATTTGCAAAAATGGGAAGGGAATGCTCACTGTTCCTTGTACAAATGGTTTACAACTGCTTTAAAGACTGTATTATAGACAAGCAAAATAAGCTTTTAATTTTCTGGGTTGGAGGTTTAAGATGCTAAGTAAAAATTCTTACCTAATCATTGAAGTGAAGCCTCTATCAGGCAACACCTAGCCAATTTCTAATATCTACTTGTTCTCTACATTAGATATTTATTCGTTTCTATAATTTTCCTAACAACTAGTCTGAAATTGTAAGGTTTCACTGTTAATGATCCCTATGCAAAACTGGAAAATTTCTAGACATCCCCATAAATGAATTTGTATCTGAAAAATAAAAGAATTAAAAACAAAAAGTAAATTAAAAAATCTTTCCCCAAAAGTCCTTTTACAAGGGTTTGATATGCCCAGATATTAGATCCCTAGAAGGATATCATTTCCATTTGTAGGTCTAGAAACAGGACAGAGTAACCTGGATTAGAAGATAGCAAAAGTGAACATGAGTGAACCAATCTGAAAATTATCATTACTAGTTTGAACTGGAATTCATAAGAAACTACACAGGAACTAATTTGAAACATTCTTTAAACTTATTCTTTTAATGAGTCTTCAGCTTCACCCAGTCACAAACATTCTCTCTTTCGTAATGGCCTAATTTCCCCAGTCTCTAACCAAACAGTCCTATAGGAAGTAATTATATAATGACTGTGTTTATAGGTATTAAAGGCAATTACCAGGCATTTTAAGTACCAATGCACCAAATGCAACCACAACCCAATTTGCTAAATTCAAGAGAATTTGGAGTTAGAAACTTTATTTAGTGGAATCTGTAAATCGACACTGGTTTTAGATGGAGGTATTCATCTAAAAAGGGGGCTTCCCTGATAGCTCAGACATTAAAGAATCTGCCTGCAATGCAGGAGACCTGGGTTCAATCCCTGGCTCAGGAAGATCCCCTGGAGAAGGGGGTGGCATCCCACTGCAGTATTCTTGCCTGGAGAATCCCATGGACAGAGGAGCCTGGTGGGCTACAGTCCATGGGATTACAAAGAGTCAGACATGACTGAGCAACTAATACACACACACACACACACACACACACACACACACACACACACACCCCCATCTAAAAAGGATGGGTTTGAGACCTTGATTGTAAAATGTTTTTGCAGAGTCCATGGAAACTTAAGGTAGGCTTGTTCTGTTAGAATTATAAATAATAACAATGAAAGTGGATGGTCATTTATGATCTGTGAGCTACTGAATTCTTGACTTCAGCTTTTGGAAATACACACATATAGCAAAGAACCCAGTTTAGCTCAGTCAGTTAACTTACCAGTGTCGTCATCAAAGTCAGACAAGACCGACTCAATTCCATCCTCACTGCTTGCAGACTGCTCCTGAAGTCTTCGGGGCAAGCTAGCAAGTCGCCCACTAAGGAATATCGGCTTCAAGGGCATCTTGTAGATTTTGGCCAACAACTACATAAAAAAAAAAAATCAAGCTGCAATTATATACTGGAAAAAGCTGCACTCTATTAAATCACAACAAAGCTATATACAGGTGAGAAAAGGTGGAGAGAAAAGCAGAAAAGCTCCCAGTCTAGGAAAGTTTTAAACTTGGTTGTGATTTGAAAGCATAAGGCAGCTCACAAGAGGCATTGATCCTGTGAAGCAGATAAAATAAGAGTCAATGGTAACAAAAAGTTTGAAGAAGATTCTGTGGATACCTTTTCAGTATCTCAATGGCACAGGAGTCTTATAGACTCCCACAAACCTATGAAGGGAATCATGAAACACGTTAAGAATTTTTACCTGTGGGTGAGTTGTTCTATGGGGAGCACTGAGAAGAGAGTCTTTAGGCAAATGAGCTATCAGACTCTTATTCCCCTTCCCCTGACTCAACATCAAAGAAATATGGGGCCCCTGAGGATGGAGGAATCTGAGGGGCGGGTGGGCAAGGTGAAGGCATGAGAAGAAGAGCTAATGGCTGCCCTGGGCTCTTCACTCCTGTCTCACTGCTATTGTCCTGACTCCCTGCTGTCACTGGGACAAACTCACAAGAAACCCTGTACTTCACAAATTAGAATTGTGCCTGGACTATTTTAGAAATTAGGGAAACAACTGTGAGCGAGACAGACAGAGATCCAGCCATGTGTGTCTTACAGACATACTCCTTTCACAAATAATATTTCTGACAGAAGGGTTATAGGAAAAATTTAGACAGGGGGCTCTGAGAAAGGGTGACCAGATGGGTGGGGAATGTAGGCAGAAAGTAGGTAGATACTTAAGCCCTGGTCTCTCTGAGGAGGTGATGTCTCAGATGAGATTGGACAGTAAGGAGCGATGCCCATACAGAGATCCGAGGAGAGAAAATTCCAGGCAGAGGGAACAGCAATGGCCCCGAGCACTAACAAGTCAGGAATGTCTGAGGGCGAGAAAGGGAGCGAGGCGGAGCACAGTGAGAGAGAGGGAAGGAGCTGAGGGCGTAGGGGAGCGAGGTCAGGTCACATGGGCCTTATGGAAGCGTATGGAGGAGGAAGTCAGAGCGGGGCATCCTTTCTAAAGACCTGGGGCTTAATGCTGTCAACCCCCGCCAAGGGAGGGGTTACAGACAGACAAGAGGAGGCCAGGGGACACACCTGAGGAGACAAGAGACTATGAGCTATGGAGAGAGGGTGTCGCTGAAGAGGAAGGGCTTTGGGGAAGGAGCATCGGATTGTTCCGCTGGCGGGTGACACGGGCAAGAACTGGGCTTGACACAAGGGAGGTCACTGTTCACACTGGCAAGTGATGTTTCACTGGGTTTCTTTACTAGATCCTGGCTGCATACCAGCCTCTTACTTTTTTTACGTCTCTCTTCACTGTGTGCAGCCTACTGTCCAGGTTTCGGTCTCATCAGGAAGATTTCCCAAGATGTCTTAGCCTGACAGAGAGAGATGACGGTAGTCCTTTCATCGGGTATAAATGAGAAGTTTCAGAGACCTCAAAACCCAGTTGTGTGTTCTAGTATATTCTCATGACTTTCTTTCTCTCCTTTGTAGAAGGTGTGGGGACCAAAATTTATACTCCAGATGTAAGCCCCACTCTCCTCAGAGACAGCAGAAAGGATTGTTCCTGGGCTTCACAAAGACGCCTGTGCATATTTTGTGAGCATCTTCAGAGGCAGGTTTGGGGGTCTGGGTACCTGAGAACAGCGCCGGAGGTAGTGCAGGGCGGGGAGACACAGGTCTGGGGACGCGGCTCCGGGTCCTGGGACACAGTCTCCGATCTCCTTACAGTCCACCTCCCCTGGGGGCAGCGGGGAGAGACAGAAACAAGCAGTGTTTATCCCCTCCTAACAGAAGACCTACTTAGTCACTCAGCATTTGCTCACCAAAGGCCTGCTAAAACAGAAAAGAAAAAGTATACAACCCTGAGAAAAGCCCTTTCAGTCAAATTTCCCCCTACACGTGTACACGTTAAATACGGCTGGGGGTCAAATAGTACACATCATACCTTGTTGAAATTATTCTCTTCTGTAACTCCTCTTTTCACTAGTCAGTTCAGTTCAGTCGCTCAGTCGCGTCCAACTCTTTGTGACCCCATGGACTGCAGGATGCCAGGCCTCCCTGTCCATCACCGACTCCCAGAGTTTACTCAAACTCATGTCCATCAAGTCGGTGATGCCATCCAACCATCTCATCCTCTGTTGTCCCCTTCTCCTCCTGCCCTCAATCTTTCCCAGCATCAGGGTCTTTTCCAATTCCATATCCTGCCACAGTCCTTTCAGTGGCTGGAGGGTGTGTGTGCCTGGGCACTCTGTAACTGTAATTCACTTTCCCAGGCCTGCTGCTGATGCTCTGACTTCTGAAGCTTTGAGGACAGAGGATGACCCTGAGAGACCAGCCATGTGCTGGATTGGGATGAAGCACTAGGCTCCACTCCGTCTAGAGAAGGACCTCGTTTGCTGCCAGCACTCAGTACTAAACTGTGATCATAAATGAAGACTGGGAGGATTCGAAACATCTGCAGCTTGGGGGTGGCGACTACATAACTGAGCTGAAATGATATATTTTTTGTGTATTTATCTAGAAATGGAACAGATCTGTAGAGGACATCTAGATAGTCTATAGGTAAATAAGTAGTTCAGAATTACTATTTTTCTTCTTGCATGATGAATCTATTCCTACACTTTTTAATAAAATCACACCATAGTACCGTAACTGTTTCTAATTGTCTACAATTGTAGTAACCAGCACCCTCCCTGCGGGTAAACATACATAATTACTAGGCATTTGCTGAAGTTTAAAAGATAAAGAGGCATGTTTCTCAAAAAAGAAGAGAAAACCATTTCTTATGTTTTAGATCAGGGATTGGCAAACTTTTTTTATATATAAATATTTTAGGCTTTGCAGATCACACTGTCTTTGCTGCAACTTCTCAACTCTGTCATTGGAGCACAAAACAGCCACGGGCAAACGACCATGGCTGTGTTTCAATAAAGTTTTATTGATTAAAAACTCTGAGTGGATGGGATTGGCCCGTGGGCCATAGTTTGCCAACTCCTTGTTAGAGTAACATGCCTTATGGTATAAAAACACACAGCAGTTCATGTTGAAATAACCACGTGGGAATTAAAAATAAATTCATTTCTTGTAATGTACACCCTGCTACCCTTAAAATGGATAACCAACAAGGACCTACTGTATAGCACATGGACCTCTGTTCAATATTATGTGGCAGCCTGGATGGGAGAGGAGTTTGGGGGAGAATGGATACATGTACGTATATGGCTGATATCAGAACATTGTTTATTAATTGGCTATGCCCCAGTAAGGGGTTCCCAAGTGGCTCAGTGGATGAAGAATCTGCCTGCAGTCCAGGAGACGCGGGCTCGATCCCAGGGTCAGGAAGATCCCCTGGAAGAGGGCGTGGCAACCTGCTCCAGTGTTCTTGCCTGGAGAATCCCACGGGCAGAGCTGGACATGACTGAAGCGACTGAGCAGGTATACCCCAATGTGAAATAAAAAGTAAAAAAACACCCCCCCAAAAAAACCCAAAACAAATAAATCCATTTCCTATCTTGTTAACCACAGCGAATGTTCCAAAGATTTTTTATCCAGGCTTCTGTGTTACATGTCAAAGTCTGTGCCCCCTGGAGATGGGCAGGACACAGCCAGTGTGGCTATCCTGGGGCCTCAGAAGGCTGAATGGCATCGTCAGCTCGATGGATGTGGATTGGAGTACACTCTGGGAGATGGTGAAGGACAGGGGAGACTGGAGTGCTGCATTCCACGGGGCCGCAAAGAGCCGGACACATTGAGTGCCTGAACAACAACAGGTGTCCCACTGACCCAGAGCCACAGACAAGTAACTGCCTCATAATTCACAGAAAAATTAGAACCTTTTGGTTTTAAATATCCTCAGCTGCACAGTGACAATTCTGCAGCTCTACTTTCAGGCCCCAACTCCCTCCTCAAGAGAAGATCTCAGAATTCTGACATCTCCACTTGAATATTTCATAGAAACTTAACGTGTACAAATGTCCAAAGACAGTATTCATGACATCCCCCTCTCCTCCGCTCCTTTGGGATATCCGGATTCTGAGTAACGTCAGTTCTGACAGGGAGTTTGAGGAGAGGGAGTCAGCCCGAGTTCCTCCTCTTTTCCGGCCCCGCATCACAGCAGTCCGAGCCCTGTGGATCCCACCTCGCCAGTGTCCTCGATTCTGTGTTCTCTGCTCGCTCCCAAACTACTGCCCACTGGTCTCTGCCTGCAGCCTCTTACCCTCACCCACAGAACACGTGCCTGCCGGAGTTCAGTTTCGAAACCTTCCCCGCACATTCTCAGTCCCCTCATGTGGCATGCAGGGCCCATTCCAACTCATCACCCAGGATCCCTCCTCTGTGGGTACCTGCAATGTACCCAGCTTTTAGAAAAGTAAGCCTACAGCTCACTCCACCAAGTTCAAAGGTCACTTCTCCCATGAAGCCTGCATGGGGTCTACTACCAGCACCCTGTCTCAGCAGCTCGCTTATCTCAGCTTAAATCACTTAAAAAAACAAAACAAAACTAGCATCTATGAAAGTATTCTTACTACTGAACTGTGATGATTTATGTGTCTGTTACCCAGAAGAGGCAGCAAACCTCTCACAGGCAGGAAGCATGTTTTATTCACTGTGCCAGTGTAGCAGGCACTGGACTGTTCACTGAACAACAGAATACCAATACTGTTCTGTAGTGTTGCACGCGTGCGTGTGTTCGTGCACGTGTGTGCTCAGTCGTGTCTGATTCTCTGCAACCCCAGGGACTGCAGCCTGCCAGGCTCCTCTGTTCATGGGATTTCCCAGGCAAGCATACTGAAGTGGGTTGCCATTTCCTCCTCCAGGGGATCTTTCTGACCCAGGGATGGAACCCACATCTCCGGCATTACCACTGATGATGATTCTTATAAAAAATGTAAGACTGTGGAACACTAGAAAATATTTTAGTCTCTGCCCCAGTTCCTGGCACAGAGCTCCTAAAACCCTAATTTCCCAAATGATAAAGATCCTAGGAGCATCTTTTGTTCTGATACTTGATCTTTGACTCCAGCTCCTGATGCTGAACTCCCAAACCACTTGGAATTTCCTAGGTGACAGGATTTTTGTTCCCATGAGGCAAAGCTTGGTGAGCTCCTAGATGGGGGCTGGTTACCAGAAAGACCATGGGGAAAGAGAGGGGTTGGAAATTGAGTTAATGATTGATCATGCCCACATGATGATGCCTCCATAAAAAAGTCCCCAAAGTATGGGGTTCAGAGAGCCTCTGCAAAAGTCAACACATCTATATGCTGGGAGGAGGGTGTACCCCAGCTCCATGGGGGCAAAAGCTCCTGAGGTTGGGACTCTTCTTGACTTCACCTTGTATTATCTCTTCACCTGACTGCTCATCTGTATCATTTATCATATGCATTATTATATAATAAACTGGTGAATGTATTTCCCTCTCTTCTGTGAGCTGCTCTAACAAATCATCAAATCCAAGGGGCGGGGGATCATGGGAACTTCTGAGTTGTAGCCAAGATGGACAGAGTTGTGAGTAACTTGGGGACCCACTACTTGCAACTGTCAGTTGAAATGGGGGGGGCAGTCACACAGGACTGAGCCCTTAACCTGTGCTAACTCTGGTTAGTGTCAGAATTGAATTGACCCGGAGGGAACCTGGCTGGTGTCACAGAGGACTGCTTGGTGTGAGAACAAACCCCAGGCACATCTGGTATCAGAACTCTGGTGAGTGAGATAGTACTTGAGAGAGTAAAGGAGAAGCATAGGAGGAAGAGTTTTTTTCTAAATAAGCACTGGATTTTTTACTATCTAATGCAGAGATTACCTCATGCTTTAAGGTATTCTTATGATTAAGATACTAAACTATTTGGTTTCTATTTAATGTAGGACAGAGTTTGAAAAGAGGATGAGATGGTTGGATGGCATTACCCATTCAGCAGACATGAACTTGGGCAAACTCTGGGAGATGGTGAGGGACAGGGAGGCCTGGCGTGCTGCAGTCCATGGGGTCGCAAAGAGTCGGACACAACTTAGCAAATGAACAACAACAAAAGAGTTTAAAAAGAGTAAAATCGTACTCTATCCAAAGAAATCCTCCTCTGAAGCCCAGCATGTATAGTGGATAAGTGAGGGGCATTCATGTTCCCTCAGTTCAGCCCTTTACTTCCCAGAGAAAAACAGAATGTGTATATAAGAACATAATGTAACAAGGATGGTCTATGGATCAGACCTACAGCCTCCAGCCTCTTTCTTGAAACTTGCATTTTATTCCTGCTCCAAAATAAGGGGAACATGAATGCAATCACCTAGCTTCTCCATGTCCTATTTTCTTTTGCAAAGAAATTGTCAGTTATTTTGCAAGACTACAAAATAATTTTTATTGTTGTTGTTTTGATGCCATCCAACCATCTCATCCTCTGTCGTCCTCTTCTCCTCCTGCCCTCAATCTTTCCCAGCATTGGGGTCTTTTCCAATGAGCACTCTACTGTGTTAAAATATTTCCAAATTAAGCCTAAAAATCAGATAGGTATTTCCTGAAACACACGAAATCTCAAGGAAAGGTGACTCCTACACTTTCAAACTACATTTTGTAATCAATATAGTCTGGGGGAAGGCATCTTAACTTTTGCTTAAGAGCTGGGAACTCAAACTCTAATTAGGCTCATTAATTATGTGACACTAAGGACAGCAGTTTTCTGCATAAAAGCAATTACTAAACATAATATTGAACATTTTAAGATTCAAAAAAAGAAGTTGGAGTTAAATAATATATGAAGACACTTCATTATAAAATTATTCCATGAACACTGTGAAAAATATCAACCCTGGACAGAATCCAAGCTGTGTGCTCCTGAGCACACAGCATAGCGCCGTCTGCTTCTCTCCCAGGATGCCTGCACCCAATGCTTACAGAGCCATAAGGATAAGGGTCTCCAGCTGTCAGGAGGCAGGAAGGGGGGGCTCCACTTACCCAGTCCTTTGACAAACTTCATAAGGCACATGATATAACTAGTGGCTGCGTTAGCAAAGACCTGGATGTTGTCGGTATTGAGAAAAGCTTCAAATACATCAAACACTGGCGCCTGGCCTTTTCCTGAAGGAGGAAGGTTATAGAGTTTTAAGAAAGTTAGGTGTCTACCCTTCAGGTTGCCCATACTCCCAGCACCTTCCAAAGAGCATTAAAAAATATATATCTATTGGAGCAAAGCCCAGGTCTTTTGACTGGATAACTGGCTTGGCTCCCGTGCTGAGAACAGCTTTGCCTGCAGGGGGAGCTGTAGGATGGCTGTGAGGAGAGCTTAGTAGACAAATGAGGGCAAAGCCGGCTGAACGCAGGGTTGAGCAATGTGTAGGTCTACACAGGGCCATTAAACATGTGGTCCTTTGGAATTCTGCACACAGTCATAGATATGGGAAGGTTTAGGTAACCCCCTGATGGCACACACTAACTTACTCATACCTGTGCTGAAAAGAGCTAACATAGAAGGCTCAGAGGCTGCTATCCTCAGAAAGGCCTGCCTCAAGGGTTGGCCCTTGGCTGGTCTGGGAACCTGGCTCACCGAATAGTCCGTTAATTGGATGGTTTACTCTGCCTGGATGGTTGGCGCAAAGAACACAGTTTGATCTGAACACCTTCCCCTCCCCCTCCAGGAAGTATGGATTTTGGAAGTGCGGATTTTGGCAGAGGGTACCTAAGTGACCAGCCCTTAGCTGGGTCTCTAGTGGGCTTCCCTGGGTAGAAAGGCTCACACACTGCCCCTGGTCATATAAACTGCTGCATTTTCCACACTGGAGGTGAGGTGCTCCGTGGGACCCTCAAGGGAGGGCGAGAGCTCAGGGAGGCCTGCACACGGAGTCTGTTTTCCCCTTAGGATCTGGCTTGTCCTTACCATGTCACTGTAATAAACCTCGGCCACGAGCCATTAGTAAGTTTGAGCTATGTAATAAATCTTGGCATAACTACATGCTGAGTCCCATGAGTCCTTCTGCTGGGTCTCTAAATGCAAGGTTAGTCTTAGAGGTCCCTGACCCAACATCCCTGGTCACCAGGCCTGCTGTATGGCTGCCCATCTATTTCCAGCCAGACCCCATCTCCCTAATTCGAATTCCCTGTTATTTGGATATTTTCTGCTTCTTCCTAGATAGTGGATAACATTTTTTCCTTTTGGTTTTATGAATGAACTCAACACAGACATGTGTCAGTGAAATGACCTAAGTCTCTCAGCCTTCAGCCTCCTCTGTCACTGAGAGCAGGGCCTGGAAACGCTCAAGGTTCTCGACCTGCCGGCAGAACTCAGAACTTGTGTTCCTGCTACACCATTTCCTGCTGATAAAACAGCGGAACGCCAGTCTTCCCTGTTCTCCAACTTCTTTTGATAGCATGGAGCTTGACATGAAGAGCTATTGCCCCATCGCCAAAATCAGCACTCCCATTCAACACAGAACCGGAAGCCCTAGCCGGAGCAATCAGGCAAGAGGAGAAATAGAATGCATCCAAATCGGAAAGTAACATGGCCTCTTTTTGATGATGATATGATCTTATGTATACAAAGTCTTCAAGATTCCACCAAAAGACATAGAACTACAGTCATCAGAATGTAGAACTAACAAACAAGTTTCAGGATGCAAAATCAGCACACAGCCTTACCCATGGAATAGTCGCCCACCAGGTACTCCTTCACCTCAGACTTGTTCCCACTGTGCACGGTTTCCAGGGCGCTGAACAAGGGCCTCCACCCTGACTGGATTTGGGTGGAACACACTTCAACCAGCTCCCCGATGGACGTGACAACCTGCAGAGGCAAAGGGGGTGGCCCTTGGCGCCTTTTCCTTCCAAGAAGCAGGCGAGTTTCTGGGAAGATGGATGTGCTTCCCGGCTCCCTATTTCTGGGTTAATTTTAGTGCAAGAGAAAAATCAAAACCTAGACAAACTCACTCAAAAGTCTTCTAAATAAGCAACCATACTGCATTAATTTGCATTTTACTAAGTGCCACTAAGCAACTTTTCACATGCTATTTGTAAATATTTTGCTGTTTTTGAAGTTAGGTTTTTATCTTTTCATTACTGTCTTTAAATCATTGGGTTCTTCATGCATTCTAAATGCATTCCAAGATACATGGTTTGCAAATTCTTTTTCATAGCTTTGGGCTTGCCTTTTTATTTTTAAATGGTCTCTCTTTTAAAAAAAAATTCACTTATTTTTTGGCTGTGCTGGGTCTTTACTATTGTGCATGGGCTTTCTCTAGTTGTGGCGTGGGGGCTTCTCACTGTGGTGGGTTCTCTTTTTGCAGAACGTGGGCTTCAGTGGCGTGGCATGTGGGCTCAGGAGTTGTGGTTTCTGGGCTCTAGAGGACAGGCTCCATAGTTGCGGCGAATAGGCCAAGCCGTTGCACATGGGATCCTCCAGGGCCAGTGGTTGAACCCATGCACCTCAAATTGGCAGGCAGACTCCTCACCACCGAGCTACCAGGGAAGCCCCTAAATGGTGTCTTTTGAAGAACAAAAGTTTTACATTTTATTAAGTCCAAATCATCAATTTTTCTTTTTACAGATCCTGTTGTGTCATTTCTAAGGAATCTCTGCCTAACCCAAGGTGGTCTCCTATGCTTTCTGTGGAAGCTTTTATAGGCTTTGCACTTATTTAAGCCCATGACCCATTTTGAGTTATTTTTTACTGCATATGTTCAAGCACCATTTGCTAAAGGAATATCCTGTCCCTCTATTGAATTGCAATGACATCTTTGTCAAAAGCTGACCATAGATGTGAGAATTTATTTCTATACTTTCTATTCAGTTCCCCTGATCAATAATTCCATCCTTACACCAATATTCCATGGTGTAGATTCCTCAAGTTTTGAAATTGGGTAGTGTAAATTCTCCAAATTCGCTGTTCTTTTTCAAATGTGTTTTCTCTATTCTAGATCCTTTAAACTTGTGTATAAACTTGAGAAACATCTTCCCAATTTCTTCAAAAAAGTCTGCTGAGATTTTGATAGGAATTGCACTGAATCTATATATCAACTTGGGGAAATCTGCCATTTAAAAACACTGTCTTTCAATCCATGAATGTAGCATCTCTCATAATTTGTTTGAATATTTTTTTTTCTCAGCAATATTTTGTAGCTTTCAGCATACAGGTATTTAACATCTTTTGCTAAATTCCTAAATATTTTGTTTTTGATGCTCTTGTAAAGGGAATTGTTTGCAATTTCAATTTTTGATAACTTACATCTTGGATATGGGAATGCAAGTGACTTTAATGTGTTGTTTTTATAGCCAGTAACCTAGCTAAACTCACTATTAATTCTAGTAATTTAAAAAATAAATTCCTTAGGATGTTCTATATATAAGACCATGTTGTCTATGAACTAAGACAATCTTGCTTTTCAAAAACTGGATGGTATTAATTTTTTGGTACAGTAAAATTTATAATGTTGAACAGAATTGGTAAAGGTGGAAATCTTTGCTTTCTTCCCAATTATTGGGAAAAAGTATTCAGTTGAGCATTATGTGAAATTTGAAATTCGATTTTCAAATACTCCTTTCATCCAATTAGTGAACTCCTTTCTATTTCTCATTTCTTGAAAGTTTTTTTTTATTTAAAATGAGTGATGGATTTTGTAAAATGTTTTCTCTGTGTCTATTAAGATGACCATAGGGTTTTAATCCTTTATTCTACTAAAAAGATACATGACTGATTTTTGAGCTGTTAAACCAATCTTGCACTGATTCTTTCTTCTACCATCTCAAATCTTGCTGGTAAGCCTATTTAGTGGATTTTTCATTTGTTGTCATCAACTCTAGAATTTGTATTCCTTCTGTTTCTATTTCTTTATGTAGATTCTCTATTTTTCAGACATTGTTATCTTTGAACATAATGCTTTGAACATACTTATAGTAGCTGCTTCAAAGTCTCTGTCCCCTAATTCAACATCCCAAGCCACAGCCAGGACACAGTGAACAAAGCCCTTTCCCCACCACATGCGCTGAACTTCTTTGGCTAAATATTCCATAATTTCTACCATGAAGGCATGACTGGTAAGGGTCACCACCTCTTCTAGATCCTGTGTCTATCTGCCTGCCCACCTCCAAATAAGAGTTTTGGATCTAAATAATCCTGGGTTGAGCTTAATACAACATCTGGTCTTATTGTCTGCCCCTCCCCCCACCCCAGAGCATACATCATTGCTTCTTATTTCTTTGAATATCTCATACTTTTTTTCGCTGAACATTGGGCATTTTCGATAATATAGCAATGCTGGGTTCTGATTTATTCTTGAGTTTTTTTTTTTTTTTAATGCTAAATTGCTCGGACTTATACTGTAGACCCTATCTCTGCTCTTCCCGTGGTATATGGCACCAGTATCTCTACTAAATTTCTTTATTTTTATTTTTCAGCCTGACTTCCTAGTGCTGTCTTCAAGTCTGCATAGGTTAGTCATCAGCTGATGAAGTAGGCAGAGATTTTGCTCAAATACTTTGAGCCTTTAAGGAGACTGCCCTCTGTCAACCAGGCTGGGGAGAATATTCAAAGTTCAGCCAGTTTGTAACTCTCTCTGGTGTTTTGCTTTCTGATGGGATCTAGACAGTCTATCCTATATATGTCCATATTTCAGTCAGCTAGCGATGCATCAGGAATTTACCTTGTCCTTCTATGAAATCTCTGGTTTCCGGAATCTCACATTACATTCGTTACTGGTTCACCACTGCAACCTTAGGCCAGCAACACTGTAGTATTCTATTGCTTATTTCCTACCAAATCTATATTTTCTAGTGCACAAACCAGTAGTCTTCTTCAAACCAAGTCTGTCTCTTAAGCAGAAAGGCTAATTTTCCCAGTCAGCTTACACTGGTCAAATTACTATTCTTATGAATAGCTTTTAAGTGATGACTTCCACCTTCAATAAGAAGGTCACAGGCTCCCACTGTCCTTAACCAAAGTTCTGGCAAGAACTATTTTTCAGCATAAACGCTACTCAATTTGTCATCTGCCTGTGGTCAATTTCAAGAGCCCTGCAATGGATGCTTTTGACAACTTTTTCTTTTTGTAGACTAAATTTTTATGGAAAGGATTCATTAACTTCTTTATGCCACCATAGCCAAAATCTCTCCTGTTCTAAATGATTGTTTAGAATTTTAATAAACACAGTTATTTTAAAGTCAGTCTCTGATAACAACAATATCTGGATCCCTGGTGGGGAGCTGGGGAGGGTGTATGTGTCTATTTTGATTGTTTGCTTTTCTTTCTGTATTCATGACATATTATTTCCTAACGAGTCAGTTACTTTTGACTGAAGGCAGACATTTAGCTTTACCTGATGGTCAGCTTGCTCTTGGCCAATCCAGTCTCAGAGCTCTGCTTCTCTGGCTTCCCACCGTTACTTAGTTTTGGGCATCTTAGCACTCCTTACTTTCTTGCCTGTGTGTCAGTGTTTTTAAAATAAAAAGCTTAGCCCTTATTTAACACTTTTAGTAGATTGCAGGGACAGAGGATCTGTATTCCTAGATCATCATAAGAAAGATACGAAGTCTCTAGTTTCTTTACCGTTTGTCTTTCCGTAGAGGGCAGGACAGTGGATTGAGTTCAGTGTGGCTATGAGAGTATAGACTAGTATGGTCAGGGTGCCTGGTTCAAATTCAAGCTCCATCCATCACTAATCACATATCCTTGGCTAAGCTGCTTAACCTCTTCTGGCCCCAGATTTCACGTGGGCTCGCAGTACTGGAAAGATGGAATCCGCAGCGTTCACACAGCAGTCCTGCGGGCGCACCCAGTGAGGGCCGGCGCTGTGATGGTTACACACTCACCTGGTCCTGGACGTCCTCGTCGCACAACTCCAGCTGCATGATACGCTCGAACGGCCGGAAGAGAGCTTCGTTAAAGTGGAAATGAGGTGGCTCGTTCCAGTCCGTGAGCACCTCCGTCAGTATATCATGGATGAAGGAAACCGCCTTCTGAGACACATGTCTTTCCTTATGGCAGGCAGCCTGCAAAATTCACGGGAGAGTCCAACACCCTCAGGACTTCAGGCAACTAAGAACCTGGTTCCTGAAGCTTTTCCTAACCCACCTTCCTGGAGGGAGGTGGAAGCAGCAGCTCCGCTAAAGTGGAAGATTTCAAGGATAAGCGTCAGTGAACAGCACACTAAACTGCATTTTAAATAATTTAACCAACTGATCAGGCACATCTTCAGTTTCACTTTGAAGTTTCTAGAAAAATAAGAATTTCTAATAACCAGTCTTCCCTGGTGGCTCAGACCATAAAGAGTCTGCCTGCAATGCAGGAGACCAGGGGGTTCAATCCCTGGGAAGATCCCCTGGAGGAGAGCATGGCACCCCACCCCAGTATTCTTGCCTGGAGAGTCCCCTGGAGAGAGGAGCGTGGCGGGCTACAGTCCATAGGGTTGCGAAGAGTCAGGCACGACGGAGCACCTAACACACACACAGTACAATAATTTCTTCTTTTTGTTTTTCCCAGTAATGTGATATTTTTGTGGTGTACTGTAGAACACGCTGACTAAATACACTGGAACCTTGTCTGGAAACTGCCCATGGTATCCTTGCTAGGTGTGCTTCAAACGTATGAAGATCAGATGAGTCCTTTGTCCCTCGGGGATATGGGGTGACTGCACCAATGATGAATTAATTGACTCACATCATTGTATCTGTGACCTTTAGTAGTCCTCTCCCACACGGACCCTGGGCTTGGATGTGTGACTTGCTTTGTTTATATAATATTTGATATTATATAAACTTTGCTTACGTAATATTTGATAGCAAGCATTATATAAGTAAAGAACTGAATAAATAATTCTGATTTGGGATTTGCCTTCTTGCTTTCCTTTGGAATCCTAAGAATTCCATGTGAACAAGCCAGGGCTAGTCGGCTAGAGGAGAGACCAGATGAGCTACGGTATAGCTCTACCAGATTAAATGCTAAAGGGCTCTATGGACTAGCTACCACTGTCAAACACGGCAACAATTTCCCCATCAACTTAGAGGTAGCCAGTCATCATGTATTGAGATATTTAGGTGGAGTTCCATATAATTTATCAAATAAACTGCTTTCCTTTGGTAAGTCAAAGAGGTCCTAGGAGTGTTAATTCAGCTGAGAAAACCAGGATGTGTGGCTCCCCTGTGTAGGGGGAATATATTTAGCTATTAGAAAAGGGAGCCTGGCAGGAACAAAAGACATTGTTATGTTTGCGTACAAAAAAGAAGTGCCACTTGATAAAATACATGGTTCGATGCTGTTCTCTCAGATCATCCCACCCTTGCCTTCTCCCAAAGAGTCCAAAAGTCTGTTCTATACATCTGTGTCTCTTTTTCTGTCTTGCATATAGGGTTAGGTTGGATGCATGAGACAAGTGCTTGGGGCTGGTGCACTGGGACGAGCCAGAGGGATGGGATGGGGAGGGAGGTGGGTTCAGGATGGGGAACACATGTAAATCCATGGCTGATTCATGTCAATGTATGGCAAAAACCACTACAATATTGTAAAGTAATTAGCCTCCAACTAATAAAAATAAATTAAAAAAAAAAAAAGAAGAAGTGCCAGACCCAGGCTGGTAGCAGACCATGAGGAATAGGAAACTGGCTGTGTGAGGTGCCCAGCTAAGTCACGTGAGTATAAAGAAGGGTCAGAGCGAGACCAGGGCGGTGCCAGCCTTGGGGTGATAGGAGCCATAAGGTGTCATCAGAGAACGATGATGCTTGTGACCAGGCGATGTGGCCACAGGGCCCTTGTCCCCACCCTGCCTGGAGTCCCCGGGCCTCCCCCTTCTAGGGCGCTCACCTCCACCAGGTGTGGGGCCACGAGGCTCCAGCAGCGCATCACGTGGAGCAGGGGCCTCGCTCTGCTCCGCACGATCCTTAGCATGGCGTCCCCGAGGCGGAACAGGTGCAGGGCACTTTTGCGGTCTTGGGTGGACTTCACTTCTCCTACAAGAAGGCAAGACCATAAAAGCCATCAACCCCAAACTCAGAAATAGTTTGACCTGTCCAAGCAGGGCTAGAGGATGAAAATCAAGGAGTCACACTTGATAAGTAGGATTGTTTGGTGCGAATTTGTGACGATAGGAAAGGAGCCCGGATTCGAGAATGAACAGGAGTTCGGTCAACAAGATCAGAGCCCACCCATCTGCTCACTACAGCATCCCTAGTGCCTGCTGTGACAAGCGTGAACAATGTTTGTGAAAAGGAGGAATGATTATCAATAGAAAGGTTAGGGCATCGGCTGCCCAGGTCCAAATCCTGGCTCCATCATTTAACAGCTGAGTTATGATGGACCGGAAGTTTACCTTTCTAATTCACTGTTTCTCATTGTAAAAGTGGGATAACAGTGCCTTCTCCTTAAAGTTACTTCAAGGATGAAATATGATTAATACTCAAAAGTACTCAGCACAGGCCTGGCACAGACTACCTGCCCTCCACTCTTAGCAACAGTGGCTGCGGTTATCGTCCCATTGTTCACAGCCACTGTCCCCTTTTTGTCCTTAACACCACCACCTGAAGCCTTTGCCATGCAGGTCAGGCCCCTTTGCCGCCCAGTAACACGCGCTCTAACCTGCTCTGTCTTGCTTCTATACAATCCTTGCTTGCTCTGATTTCCTGCTACTACTCTGCCACCTTAGTCTTCTTCACTCTTCTTGCTCATGTCCTCCTGCTCCTTCCACAATGCCCACAAAATGTTGATCACAACCACCTCAACCAACCAGAATGTGCCTTTCTAATTAGCCTGGCCATATCATACAAACTTCAAAATGACAGTAACAAAAATCACTGACATTTACTGAATGTTTGTTTATCCTGCATGAGACATTGTGTTGGTTCTTTGTGTCTTTAATCACTTTTATTTTATTGAAGCATAGTTACTTTACAATGTGCTAATTTCTACTGTACAGCAAGGTAATTCGGGTATACATATATATATACATATGTATACTTTTAAAATATTATTTTCCAATAGTTTATCACAGGATATTGAATATAGTTCCCTATGCTCTACAATAGGACTTTGTTGTTTATCTTATATATAACAGTTTGCATCTGCTAACCCCAAACTCCCAGTCCATCTCCCCTCACCTCTCTTCCCCCTTGGCAACCACAAACCTGTTCTCTGTGATCACTTTAATTTTAAAAGCAAACCTTAAGAAGTAAATGCAACTATTGCTACAGAGAGATTAGAAAACTGAGGATCAGAAAGGTGAACTGACTTGCCTAAACTGACAGCTGGTAAGTGTTTTAACTTAAGGCAGCGTTTTAACTTGGATCTGATTGATTTGAAAGTCAACGCTTCCTTGCCCCTCACAGCTCTTTTTTTGTAAGCTCAGAGTCTGCTGATTTCTCCATGCAAAATACTTTGATGGTTGCCCCTGGGCTCAGAGATTCTCTGGCAGTTGGCTGGGTCTGGAAAGTTGGCTTTATATAGCTAAGGTTTTAAAGTCTATTAAAAGCTCACAGGAAAGCACTGTGGTTCTCAAATTAGAATCTGTAGTAAGAGTCAAAATTCCTAATGGTGGAAGGGACCTCCGAGGCTGTGCCCTTCAACCTGCCACCACCAGTGTGATCCTAGCCCACGGCTCTGCCTCTGCCTGAATTTCTGGGAACAAGGTGCTCACTGTTAACAGCACAGCCACCTGGCTGTCGATGGACAGGTGTGTTTGTGAGCAAAACCCGCCACTTACTTGGGACCCACTCGCGGGCGATTCAACACAGCTCTACCCACTCTCCCCCATGTTGGCCTGCAAGAGGGTGTATCACCTGGTGTCATCCATGAAGACTGTGATTCTGTTGTTATTTAGTTGCTAAGTCATGTCCTAATTCTCTGCAACCCAATGTACTGTAGCCCACCAGGCGCCTCTGTCCGTGGGATTTCCCAGGCAAGAATACTGGGGTGGGTTGCCATTTCCTACTCCATGGGGTCTTCCTGACTCAGAGATTGAAACTGCATCTCCTGCGTGGCACATGGAGTCTCTACCACTAAGCCAGCTACCCGGGAAGCCCCGTGATTCTGACCCGCCATTAAAGGGTCATGCCCCAGGGGCAGTTTTCCTAAGAGCGGCCTGAGGCTTCTGTTGAATGTTCCATTTTTCTCTCCCAGGCCTTTCTAGAATTTGAAGCTGCTTCTGCAAGTTGGCTGGACTAAGGCAGGTGTGGGCTTTGTGATACAGAGAAAAGTTTCTACCTGCATGTGAAGCTATCTATACCCTGAGTTACCACACCATTTCTACACCACGAGCAAAACTTAGCAGAACCACCAGTGGCAATACCTGCAACTGTGACGGCAGCAACATTTCCATTTACAAAGGATAATAACCAACGCCCTACCAGCAATGTCCACACGGATCATGTCTCAACTCTAAGTGACAAATCTGCACTTGAACTTAGGCAGGGTGACCGTGTGTGAAAGGAATGGGGGTTCAAGTCTTCAGGCAGGCTGTTGGCATCAGAGATCTGGACTGTCTGCCGCTAGCTTCATGGCACAGTTTCTGCAGGGAAAGAATTACCTGGCATTGCCAGTGAGTAGTCAACTGTTTCTGTAACAGAATGGAAAAGCTGGGACTGCGATGCTTTCTTCAGCTGGTAAAGAAAACCTCCCAGAGCCATGAGGTTCAGTTTATCAGTAGCATCTTCAAAGAGCCTGGATGAAACACACACAAAAAGACTTGTTACTTGGAAACAATTCAGCAAAGTCTTTATGCAGAATGATTATGGTAATTTTCTTAAATGTGATTAATGAAAATGTTGTGTAAACACTATAAAGAAATGTATGGTATTGTTATATCTATTATTACTGAGTACAAGTCTGCTCTACTTACAAGATTTTAATCTGAGGGGCACAGAGTATCCTAAAAAAAAAAAATCTTTGTCACCCCATGGCATAACTCAGCTGAGATGAGCACTCATTAAATGTTTGGCAAGAAATTGAAAGATGGCAAAGCATCACTCACAGAGGCCAACTGGGAATGGAATCCTAACAATTAACTTCAATTTCATAAACTATACTAAAGAAAATCCCAGTAAATTAATCAAGGCTTTTGTTGGGCTTCAATTGAGGAGTGTATTGTTGGACTTGGCCCTGAGGAGGATTCAGAAGCAGGGTCAACTTGATCTGTATGTCCCCTGGGGCAGGAAATGACTTTCTTACTCATATCCAGAGCCTTGGACATGGTAACGCTCAAGCATCTACTGCAATAATGAATATTCCCTAACATGATGGACCTTGTAATTTCTTGTTTTCCACTCTGTTGGGCACAGACATTTCTAGAAGGAGTTAGGGAGAAGGAAGGGAAGGCAGGTAGCAGGGCTCACAGGAGGATCAGAGGCTCACTGGACCTCAGAAAGATGGACCAAACACTGGTTTATTTGGCACTTAAGGAATGAGGCGAGTCAGCCTCCCTCTGCTCTGGGGTCAACCTGATGCCCGACCTCCAAATCCATGATGACACCAGACGGCCAAGCAGCCCTGTGGGGTGCCATGTGCTGTGAAAGGGTGAGTGTCTCCAACAGAAGTTGAGTAACAAGGCCCTGAAGAAGTGACATGAGGCACATGGTTTTAAGGTGGGAATCAGTGGATTAATCATTTGTAAATTATTGAAACAAATACATCTTTATTGTGGTCTGTAATTTCAATACGGTTTGGTTTCTATATCTTAGTTATTTCTTTTTCTTCTTTCCTAGTGGGAAGAATATTACATCCCACCTGACACCTGTATACCACTTTCCAGATTCCAAAACACTGTCAAAGCCACCTTAATGGTTAAACAGGAAAAACGGATTATTGTCTTGAGTTAGTGGATGAAGAAACTGAGTCTCAGTGCAACTATTTACACAGACACGACTTTCCCGTTGGATGATATCAAAGCCAGGAACGGATTCAGGTCTTCTGAGCCCAGCCAGCAATGCCCTTCCTACATCTCTCTGTTCCCGTGGGAACCGCACTGTACCTGTACCGGGCGGTCTGGGGCAGAACTACCAAGTATGGGGAGTAAAGCGGGGTGGTCTCCAGGTGAAGGTGACCAAAGCACTGTCCACATCAAGAAGGGCCACTCAACAGCTGGAATGACTGTGATTTCTCTCTCTTCACCCGAACGTGGTTGCTGGGCATCAATTTAGAATAGATCATACTCTTGGGTATAGGATTTTAAAATATTACCATCAAAAAATAGTGAACGTTTACTATTTGCCAAGCTCTGTTCTAGCTGCTTCAAACTTATTAATTTAACCTCATGGCTACCCTATGAGTTACTTTATGACTCTATTTTTGCTATGAGAAATCAGGGCCCAGGGAGAGGATGCTGCCTGTGGACACAAAGTTAAGTGCAGAGCCTTTGCCCTGGGTAGCCTGCCCTCCGCTCAAAAGCCTCCAGCCATTGTTACTAGACAAGAGAGACAGGCGGGCTTGAAAAAAATGACAAGAGGCTTCCATGACCGGCTAACAAATCAAGTTGTCCTGGGAATGATTTTGTGAGCAGAAGAGAAGGATGTGGTGTGGTCAGCAGGGGAAGGGTGCTCTGGGGGTCAGGGGGAAGGGAAGGGGAAGGGGATGGGGAGGGGAGCAGGGGAGGAGAAGGGAGGGGAAGGNNNGGGGGGGGGGGGGGGCGGAATTCGTTCAGGAAAAGTATGGGAACAGAACTCTGTTCATCTCAGTCTGTCCTGTCCAGATACTGGCTTATCAAGACTTGGGCTATTTGAACACATTTTCCCAAAGGATCCTTCTCTGTCTTGTGCTCTAGTCAGGATTTGGGAAACATCTCCTTTCTCTGAGATCCCAGAATGAACATGCATACGGTGGACTGGCTCTCTGGCCACAGTGGACCCTCATTTCAGGGATTCCACCCAGCTTTGTCCCACTGGGTCCTGACAGCTCCACGTAACCCCCACTGGGGTGGAGTAGTCACCTGATCACAGTCAACTCAGAGAAAAGACACAACATAGTACAATCTTCAGCTTCCAAACAAACTGTTCCCCAATAGGACGTGGGACTGGAGACCCCTCATCCCAGGATAAGTCCAGCTACTAGGAAAGACTACTTTGGATAATCTACTCTGATGTTCCATAATTGGGCCATTTTTTTGATCCAAATAAATTGTTCAGGTGCAATTTAAATCTTTTCCCTGTTTGCTTGTGAGAGCGATGGAGAACATCAGGTCACCAGCCCCCACAGTAGAACCCACTGTGCTCCAGACCGACTCGTCCTGGCCCTTTCACACGCTCCTCTCCACAAAAGCCTCCTGTGGGCTTTTCCACCCTAGAAGGATCTTCAAAAGTCGACCAAGCTCACTCAAGGCTGGATTTGCTTTGAGGACGATAAACAGAACCTAGGTTAGGCCACTGCCCTGGGCAAGATCAGGATGCCTGAGCCCGGCTGTGGGGCCGTCATCCTGCTACCGGGTGCCCCTCCACTGCTCGGCCAGAACTGAGCTGGAGGTGGTGGGGATGTGCCGAGGAGAAGGGTAAGAAGGTGGGCCGGCGCCCCGTGCCTGCTGCTGGGGGACAGCGGTCCTTCTTTTGTCGCAGGTCTGGCTGATTGCCAGTGATGGGGGAGGAAGGATTTTCTTCTTGGTCGTGGGAGGACTGTAGCATTCTTCCTTTATTTTACAAGTGTCGTGGGAGGTTCTTTTTATTTTGATACTACAGAGCTAAGAGCCAAATTTTTGGCCAATTTTGGCACAAAAGGCTACTCCCTGTTTTTCTTTGTTTAGCTAAATCAAAAGTTGTACTTATTACGTATCCATGTAAGTTATCAAAAGTCCTTTCAATAAAGACTTTACTAAACATACAGGAATGTTATGTTACTGACACATGACCCACTTTTAGTTATGCCTTATTCACCTAACTTATGTGGTCTTTTACCAGACTCTATTTAAGAATCAGTTTTTCTTCCCTGGGATAACATATCTGCCTCTCAGACAGTGTCAAGTGATAACTCACTGTTTTCTAAATTCAGTTCTGTCACTCTGTTCTTCAATATATACATTCAGTTGGGCCCTTATTCTCTCTTCTCTTTTTAATCTCTCATTTAGGGTTTATCCAAACTCTGACTTACTGTAATCTATAGGGGCTTTCCTGGTGCCTTAGTGGTAAAGAACCCACCTGCCAATGCAGGGGATATGGGTTTGATCCTGGGGTCAGGAAGATCCCTGGAGGAAGGCATGGCAACCACTCCAGTATCCTTGCCTGGGAAATCCCATGGACAGAGCAGCCTGGTGGGCCACAGTCCATGGCGCTGCAAGGAGCTGAACATGACTTAGTGACTGAGCACCATGGAAGTGCTGGCAGGCACGGAGTCTACTCCTTCCATGCAGCACCCCCTTCCCCACCCTCATGGCAGGCGGGTGCCAGGCCTGCAGGGCGGGGATCCCATCACGCACCTGAACACATGTGGCCAGCAGTCGGGGTTGTGGCTGCCCATCTCCAGGCCGACACTGAGGATGGCGTCCATGCACAGGACGTGGGCTGTGTGCAGCCACACCCCCTGCAGCTTCCCGATCTGCTCCAGTTTCTGCTCCACTTTTAGTTTCACTGCATCAGAAAGACATTCATTACAGTCCAGTCCAAGTGAGGGAGACAGAAGGGGAGGGAGAATGGAGGCAAAGGAAAGAACAGGTGCTTGTGCAAGGACAACAGGAAATCGGAGATGTCACTATAGGTCACTGGCAGTGAAATCTTCAATGACATGTCCCTGAGGCTTATCATGCAAACTACCTAGCCCACAGGCCCACAGACACTGGTGACACCAGCTCTGCGGTTTCAGAAGTGGATGGAGTCAAGGATTCAAGCTGGGATCTGGGTCAGTCACAGCAGCGAGGATGGGCTTTGAGTGCCAATCCCAGCTAAAGCTGTCTGTGCCCAGAGCCATCCGCCCTTGTGTACTCATACTGAAAATAAGAAAGAATTCCTGGAAGCCAGCAAGTCCTCTCTGAGGTCTATTTATTGTTAGGTGTTCACAATGATGATCATCTAAAACAACATGCATGTACACTCTGAGTACCATGATGATTGCTTTATAACTGAAAATGCACACATTTTACTCCCAGAGTTTACATTTATCCTTGTGATCTTCAAATAATACTTTAAAAATTGTAGATAATGCATGAGAAAGGATGTAGAAGGTGACTGAAAAGGTCAATTATGCAGAATGCCAAGGAAGGGACAAATGAGAGCATCCTCCACAAACCAAGGTGTCCAGTTACTAGAAGATGGGTCTAGTGAGATAACCGAGTCCAGAATCCAGAAACGCAGCACGCTCACTTCAGAGGAAGCCAAACCATGCTCCTACTGTAAGGGGCAAACTGATCTTTAGTAAAGTATCGTTTGTCTCCTGGATGTGATACTAATTTTTTGCTTATAATTCAAATACTAGCTCTGGTTTAATGGTTTTTGAAGATCTTTAAGTGGCTTTACGTAACTTATAGTTGTACATTTTAAGTGCAAGTGTGATAGCCTTTTGCTGTTAACAGTGGGGATGTGCGGGAGTTGGTCTGCTTTCACATGGGTCTCTATTACTCAAGTTCGAGGAACACCAACCTAACCTGTATTTTCTCAGCTAAAAATATGCCAACTCTTTCTGTGACTACTTATTTTCTGTACCTGATACACTGTTAGCTTAAGTCAGACCAAGTTCCCAATTTTTCCTTGTTTGCTGCCTGCCATTCATCTTCCATTGCTATGAGAAAGGCTATTCTCTTATCTAGATAACCATCTGTTTCACTGATGAACTGATTTTATCAAGTTCAAAATCAACTCTTTCCTGAGTTCACAAAGCTCGGGTTTTCTCCAACAAGAGCAAAGTCTTCCTGAGCCTCCTCTCGGGAGTCCTCCATCAGTGCGATCCCCGCTTCAGAACACAGGCTCTTCTGCCCTCCCCCTGTTAGCCTGAGGGGTCCTCAAATGTGCGCCCTAGGAAGTTCCAAAGCCAGTGGTCAGAGAATGCCAGAGGTGTTTAGTTCTGAGTCGGGGGGCCTCTGGCTAGCAGCCACATGCACTTTCTTAGTCACCAGGGGCCAGTATCTCTCTTATCTTCACAGGGATTTACTGAGCGTCTGGAGGATCAGCCCATAAAGCAGACCCCAGTCTGTGGTCGGGCAGGGCCTCGTCATCAGCGGTGTATACAATGCGCCGTGTGTCACATGTGCAACAGTGGGGAGTGTGTCTGCTTGTGTGTGCAGACCTCACAGAGGCCCCAGGTGGACTCTGGCCCTTCTGTCCCTACCTTGTGCTATGGCATCAGTGGGTTCCTGGGTTTCCTTCTCCTCTTTCTCCTCCTGGACACAAGAGGCAGCTGCCATCTGGGCGAGGGCTGAAGCACAGTTGGCTGCAACTCCTTTAGAGAAAACAAACAAATCACCCTTTAACTGACTTTATTCTCTAGCCGTTCATCTGGCAAATCTACTTCTAAAAGACTTGTCCACCAGGGCCACTCATAATGCATTCCTCAGGGACACCCCTCGGGCCACGGGTCAGGAATACTCCACCTGCCTACCTAGAGCGCAGCTCAGCCGCGCGGCTTTCCGCAGCCCATCAAGGCTCATGCAGATGGCATCGCGTTCTTTTTGGTTCTGTTCTTTGATGCCTTCGGCTCCCAAGATGAAGGCCAGCCCTTTGGAGCTGCCGGCCATTCGGCCCGTCAGGGGGGTTGATAAAGTGTCGATCAAGTTCTTCCAGCAGCCAATCAGAATATAGCGAGCAAACGTCACACCTAGAATGTGAAGGGGCGTGGGTTACCTTCCGGAGACAAAAATGACCTGGTGATGAATGTCATGGGATTCTCTGGCCATCCCATTAGCACTACTGAGGGATATGCAATTTTACTACAGGAAATACAATGGAATGGATATCAGTTTATGCTTATAAATAATGAATGTGGCAGCAGCAGCTGGGTGATGCCAGTAACTTCCATCAGGTATTTTCCTGCCAAGACCAAAATCTTAATTCATTTATGTTAGCACAAAAAGCTGCCGCATAATAACTTAATAGATGATAGCACACACAATGGATGCATATTCATAAACCCAAGACCCAAGTCACTACCTGCTACCGTGGAGTCATCGATTCTCCTGCCCTGGGTGAAAGGAGACTCCATCGAAGCTGAGGCCATCAGCTGCCCTCCAATTGCACTGCTCTCTAAGCCATCGATATCTGTCAGGAAAAAGGGCAAGGTGTTTCCCCCCCTTTTTAAAGAACACTCCAGTCAAAAACAAACAGCTACCACAATATTCATTTCCCCCCAATGAATAGCCATGAGATCCATTATGTACCAAGTATATAACAAGCTTTTATCAGAATGTTAAAAATTTTTGTTTTATCCATTCAGTACAGTTTTCTTTCATTGCTAGAGCTTTCTTCTGTTAGGCTGATGCATATGCCTATTTTGTCTTTGAAAAAATAAATTCTGCTATCTCTGTTATTAGAAAATCTATTGATTTAGAATATTCTGACCTTCGAATACTCCCTTTCATTCCAAACCAGGGCATTATTCCCACATTTTATTTGTACCAGGTTACTCCAACATGGATCTTTCAGCACTTCCTCATAAAAATTAAGAGGAGGATAAGTCTCTTTGGTAAGATTATCATATAACCTGATTGGAAAGCACCCACCACAAGGGAAGCCCAAGAATACTGGAGTGGATAGCCTATCCCTTGTCCAGCAGATCTTCCCTATCTAGGAATCGAACCAGGGCCTCCTGCATTGCAGGCAGATTCTTTACCAACTGCGCTATCAGGGAAGCCCTTGGAAAGCACAGTACCTTACTAATAACACTGTGCCATTTTCAAAGTGTTTTCACTTAACTTTTTTTTTTTATTAGATCTTCCAAACAACTCCAAGTAGGCAGGCAGGGTAGGTATTATTTTTCCTATTGATATTTCACAGAGGAGGAAATAACTTTTCAAAGTAAGTAAATTGCCCAAGGTTATGAGGCTGGCAAAGGAAGAAATCGGACTTAGTATTCACATTCTTCATACAGTGTTATGTGTCAGTTATATCTCAGTAAAACTGGGTGGGGGGAAGGCAGTGAGAAATTTCTGACCACTACAGTAAGAATAGACTAGTTTCACTGAATTAATTTGACTGATGGGCAAGTGGTCTAAGGACACCCTAGAAACTGCCAGGTAACACAGTTTTGTCTCCTGCGTGCTAAGTAATGAACTGATTAATTCAAGTAACACAAAGCTTATCCAAGTGCTAAAATCCCCAGTTGTACAGAACACTCTGACTTGACATGACATACGGGATGGCCACAGGTAGTAGAGCGCTGATCACCAGATCGCTGCTATTGCTTTTCCGTGCACAAAAGGAAAAGACCAGATGGACGTTTCTAAGCTCTAGGTTAATTGCTGCAAATTCACTTGTCTTTTCATACTTGAAATTTGTTACAAAGAATCACAGAAACTAAATCTGTAGAATTCTTATGAAAAGCTTCTGATTTTCTATCATTCATCTAAAGCTAGATAACTTTTCTATGGATGAAGCAATTGAACTTATTGTTCCATTATAAAAGAGACGGCTGATTAACAGTGATGACCAATGAAAATGGCTCCTATGAATAGCCTGGTATTTGTTCATTTTTACATCTACTAAATGACTCCTTGTACTAAGGTTCAGGGAAGAAATTCAGAGATTAATTTTGGCAGAAAGGATGGTATTTGAAAATTAAGACTGGCAGGTTTAGGATCCTCATTTAAATTCCAAGGCACTCAGAAGCTCTGGGCAGGACTGTAATCTCAGTCTGAAGGGAGTTTGTGCAGTCATATGGAAAACAAGCCTTGCTTATAGGCAGACTGACTAAATGTCTCATAAATGTCTTCATAAATATGAATTCCTATTTTTTAAATTGATGTAAATATTATCACAATTAATAAAATAAATAGTCTCTGTGTAGGGCCATGCTCTACTTATTCTGTCAGCAGAAGCCATGAGATAATCACTCAGATCAGGAACCAGTCTAGGAACTCAGATCAAATATAGGACGAGCCTGGAGATCTAATTTATTAAGGTTCCTGATAACCAGTCCAAACTTTTGAGCAACCCCTGATCTTGACCTGACATCCTGGTTATACCATGTAAAGCCATGAAGGGCTGCTTTTGCCAAAATGTTGCCTTATGACCACATCCCATACTGCTTCCAAAAATTTCTAATAGATATTAAAACTCTGGATGCTAAAGACACAGATTCTGGGCAACTATCTTGCATTCTTTTTTTATCTAATATTTTTCTAACTTTTAATTTCAAATTTCAGAAGTTACAAGAATAGTACAAGGAACTCTCCTTGAATGTATGTATTAAGTATGAGACATTATTAATACATGTGTGTATTATTGATATGTGACATCACACACACATATATATCATAGATCCACCAGTTACATTCACCTTGCCCCATTTATTCCACAATTCTCTGTGTATGTATCTGTATTGTGTATATACATTTATATATATTCTTAACCAATTTAGAATAAGTGGAAACATCCAGTCCTTTTACCCATAAATACAGTATCATTTAAGTTAAGAAATCTAACACTGATAAAATGTTATTTTGTAGTTCAAATCCATATTCAACTTTAATCAACTGCCCCTTCATGGTTTTTAAGAAAAATGTATTGGAATATAGTTGATTTACAATGCTGTGTTAGTTTCTGCTATAGAGCAAAGTCAATCAGTTATACATACAGGCACTCTTTTTAGATTCTTTTCCCATATATGCCACTACAGAGTGTTGAATAGAGTTCCCTGTGCTATACACAAGGTCCTTATTAGTTACCTATTTTATATATAGTAGTGTGTGCACATCAATCCAATCTTCCAATTTATCTCTTCCTGCATTATTTTTAACTCTGGTTAAATAATATTTAAAATGTTTATTTTTAAAAATTTTTTAAATAATTATTTAAAAATATTAAAATAATAAGGGAAGACCTGTGATACGGACAAGAAATAGGGATGAAGCCAAGTTTAAAATCAATCATTTTACATTGCTGGCAAATTCCCAGGAGCACTGAATGATACAGGGTATCTATTATGAGAGTTTCCAGGAATAACTCTGGGCTTTGCGCCCAGACAGTACTTCATAATCCCAGCAAAGGTTTATGGTTTGATCCCAATGGATGTGGATGCTAAGTAATTCATAATCTAGGCTTCCCTGGTGGTTCAGATGGTAAAGAATCCGCCTGCAATGCGGAAGACCCGGGTTCGATCCCTGGGTTGGGAAGATACCCTGGAGAAGGGAATGGCGACCCGCTCCAGTATTCTGGCCTGGAGAATTCCACGGACAGAGAAGTCTGGCGGGCTACAGACCATGGGGTCGCAAAGAGCTGGACATACTGAAGGGACTTTCACTTTTAATTCCTAATCTAATGGGGCACAGTGAGCCTGCATAGTCCCACACGGAAGAAGGACAGAAGCTATAGTGAGGTGAATTCATAACACTTCCCAGGAACAGTCACCAGTGGCCAGGGAGGCTTTGTGGGTGCTGCTTCAAAGCCTGAGCCCCCCCACCCCTGAGTGCCATGGAGTCCTGCAAGCAGCCACTGACCCGTCAGCATGGTGATGAGGGGGAGGCTGTTATCCTCAGGGCTGCCCCAGTAGCCGGCTTCTCCGAGCATGTTTCTGTCGAGAACCTGGTGGTAAAGTTCCTCAATCCAGGCCTGGGAGAAGACCATGAGCACCCCACTGGTCTGGACCTGCTTCATGAACTCTTTCTGCAGAGAAGATCACAGGAGAAAACGACCAAATATGACCCCCTGCAAACAACAGGCTCCCACGTCCCTGGAGTCACTGCTTACAGGAAAAACTCCTGCATTATTTTTAACTCTGGTTAAATAATATTTAAAATGTTTATTTTTAAAAATTTTTTAAATAATTATTTAAAAATATTAAAATAATAAGGGAAGACCTGTGATACGGACAAGAAATAGGGATGAAGCCAAGTTTAAAATCAATCATTTTACATTGCTGGCAAATTCCCAGGAGCACTGAATGATACAGGGTATCTATTATGAGAGTTTCCAGGAATAACTCTGGGCTTTGCGCCCAGACAGTACTTCATAATCCCAGCAAAGGTTTATGGTTTGATCCCAATGGATGTGGATGCTAAGTAATTCATAATCTAGGCTTCCCTGGTGGTTCAGATGGTAAAGAATCCGCCTGCAATGCGGAAGACCCGGGTTCGATCCCTGGGTTGGGAAGATACCCTGGAGAAGGGAATGGCGACCCGCTCCAGTATTCTGGCCTGGAGAATTCCACGGACAGAGAAGTCTGGCGGGCTACAGACCATGGGGTCGCAAAGAGCTGGACATACTGAAGGGACTTTCACTTTTAATTCCTAATCTAATGGGGCACAGTGAGCCTGCATAGTCCCACACGGAAGAAGGACAGAAGCTATAGTGAGGTGAATTCATAACACTTCCCAGGAACAGTCACCAGTGGCCAGGGAGGCTTTGTGGGTGCTGCTTCAAAGCCTGAGCCCCCCCACCCCTGAGTGCCATGGAGTCCTGCAAGCAGCCACTGACCCGTCAGCATGGTGATGAGGGGGAGGCTGTTATCCTCAGGGCTGCCCCAGTAGCCGGCTTCTCCGAGCATGTTTCTGTCGAGAACCTGGTGGTAAAGTTCCTCAATCCAGGCCTGGGAGAAGACCATGAGCACCCCACTGGTCTGGACCTGCTTCATGAACTCTTTCTGCAGAGAAGATCACAGGAGAAAACGACCAAATATGACCCCCTGCAAACAACAGGCTCCCACGTCCCTGGAGTCACTGCTTACAGGAAAAACACGACTCTGCTGATTGGGCTCAGGAGGTGGTGAGGGAAGGGGAAACTGCGGTGGAAAGGTCACAGACTTCATGAAGGTCCTTTCACTTGCCTGATCCTTTTAAGGAACCTACAGCAGGAGTGGGCTTCCCTGGTGGCTCCGTGGGGAAGAATCCTCCTGCCAATGCAGGAGATGTGGGTTCAGTCCCTGAGTGGGGAAGGTCCCCTGGAGAAGGAAATGTCTACCTGCTTCCAGTATTCTTGCCTGGGGAAATCCCATGGACAGAGGAGCCTGGTGGGCTACAGGCCATGGGATCGCAAAGAGTAGGACACGACTGAGCGACTGAACAACAATAGAAGCAGCAGAGATACTGCACTTGATATTTTTACTCTCTGATGTGTGGGAGGATTAGAAACTGCACAGAGATGTTTCAAAGCACCTCCTTCTCACCACCCCATCAGCACCAGAGGTGGCCTGTCCTCCCTGAAGGACATATGTGTCTCATGAGATACCTGACACTCATAGATATACATATATAGCCACCACTCACCCTCAGAAGTGTACAATCTGTCAATCGTTTATCAGGCAAATGATCCCTTCAGGCAGCTTCATGGCTCCAGGCTCTCGAACCGTTACTAGGGTCCATTATGGAGGGGCCTGCTCATGCCAGGGAGCCAACCATGAAAGGCCCTCCCACCACTCTCATCGCCTTGCAGAGAGGCTTTATTATCAGCATCAGCCAGCTTGCCTGTGCTTACTTAACAAGCCGATCACATTTTTGAATGTGTCTTATACACACGTGTTTAATGCCACCCAATGGAGTTACGGGCCACTGGCAGGCAGACAGTGCCAGGGACACGGTCTTTGCTCTTAGAACCAAGCGGGCAGTTCTGTGGTCCACTGCTGTGTGCAACCTGCACGAAGGCTCTGTGGATGCTGAGTGCCCGCGCTCCATAGCCCAACGGGCACAGCCGAGCCAGCCCTCGGGCACAGCCTAGCCAGCCCTCTCTGGCCCGCGGTGGTGGGTGCCAGCCCAGAGGCTGCGTTGGCCCTCAGCAGGCCTGGGCGGGGGAGACGCACACTCACCATGGTGCTGGGCGCCAGGGCAGGCCGCTTGCGGTAGTAGTCGCCGTGGGAGAGCTTCAGGTTGAGCAGCAGAGCGCAGTGCGCCGCTGAGTACAGGCTGTCCGCATTCATCAGCATCTGCAGGCCCAGGCTGCTGTTCCCGTCAAACCCGGGTGAGTGCATCATGCCTACGGGAGGAAACCCAGAGACCTCACACAGCACGCTGGGCAGACACTGTTGACCGCTCCGTGGAGCCGCCGACCAGTCCCAGGCATGGGGACGTCTCGGAGGACAGCAGCCAGCGAGGAACAGCGTCAGGGCAGGTGTGCGCCCTAGCCTGGTGGGGAAGAGCATGCACTCCAGAGTGACCCTACTCGGGAAAACCTTGTTGGTTACTCCCCAGGAGCTTTGGTAAAATCACTTAAACCCTTCTTTACCTAGAGATGGGCAAAATAACTGATCACCTCTACCTACTGCTCAAACGTCCCTGCTCAAGACTTCCCTGGTGGCTCAGACGGTAAAGCTACTGTCTACAACGTGGGAGACCCGGGTTTGATCCCTGGGTTGGGAAGATCCCCTGGAGAAGGAAATGGCAATCCACTCCAGTACTATTGCCTGGAAAATCCCATGGATGGAGGAGCCTGGTAGGCTACAGTCCATGGGGTCACAAAGAGTCGGACACGACTGAGCGACTTCACTTTCACTGCTCAAACTCTCCAAATCACAATATTAAAAAAACCTGACATTCCCCCCACCTCCTCTTATTCCCCTCAGTCACCCCTAACTGTCTGCTGTTCCTTGACCTCACCAAGCCTGGACATGCCTCAGGGCATTCACATTTCTGTCCCCTCCACACCTAGCCCACAGTAGTCTTGCAAGATCTCTGGATGACTTGCTGCCTCCTTCATTCTTTCAGGGCTCTGCTCAAGCGCTAGCTTGTCACAGATATTCTCCTTTAATTCCATCTAGAATAGCATCTGGCCCACTACCCTCATCCTCTGCAATATTCCTCCTCACCAGGCATTTTTATTCATTGCCTTAATGGCATTTATTAATAGATTTTTGCTTACTGTCTGCTATTACTACTATTATATAAGACCTATGAGAGGGAGAGATTTTGTCAGTTCTTTTCACGATAACACCAGTGCCTAGAACAGAGTCTAATACATAGTAGATTCTTTAAAATTATTTGCCGAATGAATGAAAGTGAATAAACAAGTCCACCTTGGCAACTAGATGCAAAACATTTAAGAGGCTTAGTGCAGTAACTCATAAGCACAAACTTTTCTAAAACTGGGCTTTCCTGGTGGCTCAGACGGTTAAGAATCCACCTGCAATGTGGGAGACTTGGATTCAATCCCTGGGTTGGAAAGATCCCCTGGAGAAGAGAATGGCTACCCACTCCAGTGTTCTTGCCTGGAGAATTCCATGGACAGGAGAGGCTGGCAGACTACAGTCCATCGGTCTCGAAGAGTCGGACACGACTGAGTGACTTTCATTTCACTTCACTTCTTTCTAAAAGTAATAATGTTCCTCAAAAGCTAAACACATAATTACCATATGACCCAGCAATTCAGCACTCTTAGGGGTATACCAGGAGAACTGAAAACAGGAATTTGAACACATATCTATATGTTAATATTTGCTGCAGCAACTAACACAAATAATAATGTAATATATTAGAAAAATCCCTTTGAATTAGGCACTTGAAAAGGGTGCATTGCATAGTATGTGAATTATATCTCAATAAGAGCTGTTAACACAAGGGAGTAACAGATGTAAAGAACAGGCTTCTGGACTCAGTGGGAGGAGAGGGTGGGGATGATTTGAGAGAATAGCATTGAAACATACATCACCGTGTGTAAAACAGATAACCAGTGCAAGTTTGATGCATGAAGGAAGGCACCCAAAGCCAGTGCTCTGGGACAACCTAGAAGGATGGGGTGGGGAGGGGGTGGGAGGGCGTTTGAGATGGGGGGGCACATGTGTGCCTATGTCCGACTCGTTGATGTATGGCAAAAACCATCACAATATTGTAAAGCAATTATCCTTCAATTAAAATAAATTAATTAAAACATAAAAGCTATTAACAAATGAGGAAACAGTTTCAAATATATGTATAAAGAAAGTTATTGGTTTCCTCCAACTATTTTTTCAAAACATTCTTTTACATTTCATAGTATGCTTTTCATTTTGAAAGGTACCTATATTTTGTTTTTGTTTTTTACAAATTAACTGGAAAAACAAAAACCAATGAAAGCTCATGCTCTAAAGATGGTCTCATTCAGCCAGAGAGAGCTGGTGTCAGAAAGAGCTTGGGGTGACAAAACATACCCAAGTCCACTTCTCTTCATCAGATACCATGTTTGCCCCAATTCTACATTTGCTCCTCCAAACACTCTGAGGATGGATTTAGGGATGTAGGTGAAACAGTCTATCCTAAATATGTGCATGCAAATGACATGCACCCAGAGGTGATGAAAAGAGAAAGCAGCAAGGAAGAGAAGGGACACTCCCTGGCTGGGCAGGGGTTGGAGGTCTGCTGCCTGGCAGCACCTGGAGGTTGGCAGGACGCTGGAGGAGGACGAAGGATACGCACAGGGCCTCCTGGCCTTGCCTGAGCATTCCAGGCCCCACGCTGGCAGGGAGGCAGCAAAATCACAGGACCCCCAGAAAGCCTGTGGAGTGGTACAATGAGGGCTCACCGGTGACAAGCGAGGTGAGGGGCCTCCCTCTCCAGACCCCACACAAGCTCCTGCTTCTAGACTTACCCTGGCATGGGGCCCTGAGGGCTAGCAGAGATCAAACGTCTAGCCAGCTAGGCATGTTGCAGGTCAGGAGTCAAATCTGTTTTAATGTAAAGACATACATATTTCTTGCACAGCTGAAATTCATACCAGTTATACTGGACTTCCCCGGCGGCTCAGACAGTAAAGAATCTGCCTGCAACGTGGGAGACTTGGGTTTGATCCCTGGGTCGGGAAGATCCCCTGGAGAAAGGGATGGCTACCAGGAATTCTTGCCTGGAGAATTCCATGGACAGAGGACCCCGGTGGGCTATGTAGTCCATGCGGTCACAAAGAGCTGGACATGACTGAGTGACTAACACTTTTCCTTTCATTATCTATATTACCTTTTCTGAAATTTGGCACTTGATAAATACTAGGGTGTTTGCAATAAGCTCACACTTGGTCACAGTGAGCCTCCAGATTCCAACCAAATACCACTGGTCTGAGGAACAGCAATCTCAGAGCCTGTGAGCATGCCCCTCTGTCAGTGGCTGGGGGAGGCCGGCTGTTGCTTTTTCACCCCCGAGGAGGCTGTATACAGGCGCCATTTTCTTCTATGGAGGATCAGAGGCATTTCGGCAGCTGTCAGGGCTCACATTCAATACCAGTTTTCTATTAAAGATGGGCCTCCCTGGTAGCTCAGCTGGTAAAGAATCCGCCTGTAATGCAGGAGACGCCAGTTTGATTCCTGGGTTGGGAAGATCCAATGAAGAAGGGACAGGCTACCCACTCCAGTAGTCTATTAAAGATATTAATAGCTCAATGAAACCCAGGTTTGTCTGGATGTTTGCAAACTATCCCCCAATCCTGCCCCAAAAAACTTTAATTTCTTTCAAAGAAAAAGGCCCTTGAATCATGCAGAATTAAGGAGACATTTTAACTGTATGTCTAAGTACTGGAGAAGAGGGGGCCCTGAGAAACACCAAGCGAGGCTTGCCTCAGCCAGGAGGGTGGACCCTGATAACCAGTCAGGGACAAATGTTTGATGGGAGTTTTGGGGAAAATAAGGTTTGAAGCTTTTGACACAGAAGGAAATAATGAGTAAAATATCTGGGTTATGACTCCAGGAGACTCTTTCTCCCCTTCTCCTGTTTTTGCTTTCCTAACTTTCTCTCGGTGAACAAAGGAAACTGGCCATTCCTCTGTCTCACAGACGTTTCTCTTTCAATCATCTCTCATCTTGGAAGGAGCACTCTGCCTCAGGCCAGACGTGGACCCAGCCCAGTACCCAGCAGCTTCAGCTGACCCACAGCAACCGTCAGCGGGATCCACTGAACCACTAAACGCAGTACCTGACGAGAACCAGCTTACTGGCAGCAGGACCACAGAGTGATGAGTCTGTAATTCAGATACAGAGACCAATTCCTAATTGGTAAAAGTGCTGTGGAGGTCATCAGGATAAAAAAAAAAATAACCAACAATTTGGTTATAGACAATCACTACAAACTACATTGGCTTTATCATTACCATTTTTCTAGATTTCATATATATGCCTTAATATACAGTGTCTGTTTTTCTCTGATTTACTTCACTCTGTGTAACAGGTTCTAGGTTCATCCATCGGAAAAGACCTTGGACACAGCAGGGAAAGAAGAAGGTGGGATAAACTGAGACAGTAGCACTGAAACATATATATTACCTTATGTAAAATAGGAATCTAATGGGAAGCTGCTGTGTAACACAGGAACTCAACTCAATACCCTGTGAAAACCCAGAGGGACGGGATGGGTTGGGGGGGATGTTTAATAGGGAGGGGACACATGTATACTTATGGCAGTTTCACACCGTTTGTATGGCAGAAGCCAACATAATATTATAAAGCAATTATCCTCCAATTAAAAAAATTTTTTAAAAACATGCTATATTTAGAAACAACCAAAAGATTTTGAAGTCTCATTTCAATGTATTGAATTCTACATGTAAAAATTAATGTCACAACATATTGGATCTGATGGGACATTTTATAGACCTAAAATTTAAGCAGTTTGCAACATTCATGGAGCTGCATTCGGGTCAAATAAAATTCACACAAGTGCCGTTTTGCACATACTACAAATAAGTTCTGATTTGAAAAACACAAAAACACAAATGTGAAGGTTTACTTCAAATTTTGTAAAAGACTTTGTTAGGATTATATTCCCCAATTCTCCTAGGTAAGGAGGTAGAGCTTTTGGAAGTCATTCTTTACCACTGTGACAACTCATTTAATCTGGAATTACTTTGTTGTTGTTTTTCCATTGCTCAGTTGTGTCCAACTCTTTGCATCCCCATGGACTACTGCACACCAAGCTTCCCTGTCCTTCACCATCTCCCAGAGTTTGCCCAAACTCATGTCCATTGAATCGGTGATGCCATCCAACCATCTTATCTTTTGTCATCTCCTTCTCTTCCTGTCCTCAATCTTTCCCAGCATCAGGATCTTTTTCAATGAGTCAGCTCTTTGCATCAGGTAGACAAAGTATTGAAGCTTCAGTATCAATCCTTTCAATGAATATTCAGGATTGATTTCCTTTAGAATTGACTGGTTTGATCTCCTTGATGTCCAAGGGGCTCTCAAGAGTCTTCTCCAGCACCACAGTTTGAAAGCATCAATTCTTCCGCGCTCAGCCTTCTTTATGGTCCAAATCTTGCAATGGTACATGACTACTGGAAAACTGCAGCCTTGCCTATATAGACCTTTGTTGGCAAAGTGATGTCTCTGCTTTTTATTACGCTGTCTAGGTTTGTCATAGCTTTTCTTCCAAGGAGTAAGTGTCTTTTAATTACTAGGGGATGTTGTTTGTAAACATGAATTTATCTGAGAGCTAAATCTCACATTCTTAAAAGCTGAAACTTCTGCAGCTGTTATTTTGTATGGATAATTTTAATTCTACATAGAAGGGCCTAAACATAATTTTACCATTTCTTGATCACTCAAGGCCATCATCAGTGCAAGCAGGGGCAGTGCTGTGATCTGATACACAGCTGTTTTGGGGGATCACTGATGGCTGCCAGGCTCTCTGCCTTGTCACCAGGGACACCAAGCTGGTTGGAGACATTGCCAAGCTCCTCCTCCCGAGAATGCTTCCAGATGGGAAGAGGCACAGGTTCAGAGAGCCTATCAAACCCCTTCCAACTCAGGCTTTACTCCTCCGGCACATAACTATTCACATCTTTAGGGATCAAAAAGCAAGTTCACCAATTTACAGTCAATAAATATTTACTGAGGATAAATCATGCATATCTTTGCATCCTTAGGACACAGCACAGTGAAGTTTCTCTATAAATGTTGACTGAAGAAGCATTTGTGTGTGTGGGTGCACATGTGTGTGTGTGAGAGAAACAGAGATAAAGAGACAGAAGAGAGAGAGACACACACACGGAACACACACACACTAGGAATGTTCAATAAAAGAACATAACATTTAATGATGGTGCACATAAGGTATTAGGGAGAAATACAATGTTTAAGAAGAGTATTTATACATTTTTCTAGTATTTCAATGACTAGAAACATTTTTTAAATGAAATGAAACATGATTTTGTGTGTGTGTGTATTCCTTCACACAAATTAAATATCCCAACTATTTTTATATCTAATTCTTCAAAGAAAAATATTGAGAAAAATGTTGGATAGTGTTAGAAATTGATATTTTATTGCCTTAACAAAAATGGCAATGCAGTTATGAATGTTGAGAAATTATATGCATCTCTTTCTAACCACTAGCTACATTAGAGAGTTACTGAGTAGTCCAGGATTAGAAGTGCTGTATTTCTGCTGGTGCTTTATGCTGTAACTCTGGATCACTCTCATATTAAAAAATGTTCTTCCTTAAATATACCTGGATCGATTTGACAAAGGACAATTGGATCGGCTTCTTAAGATACTTAAACTCCCTCTTAACAATACAGCAGTCACTTCTATCAATTTCCAAGAACTGGGCTAGAATTTTTTTGTATTGTGTGTGATGTGTTATTTGTTAGAAGACCAAAGATGGGGTAGACGTGGTTGTAGCTTCTAAGGAGCTGAAAGTCTGGAAAGGGAAGGCTAGATGCATGAACTCATAGAACTATGACAAATACAGGAAGTGTCATGACAGACACATGTTCAAGGCTCAGTGGTGGAAGAGCAAGTGATGGTCTTGGCTTTTGACAGTTCTGTGTTGGTCCTCAGGGTCAGTCCTTTCTAGTTCTGAGCACAGGCCCGGGGAGGCCCATCTACTTCAATATTCTGTGGTCAAAAGACCCTTGAATTTCAGGGGAAGGCACAGTTGACCACCCTGAGGGAGGCAATCATTTATTCAGGCTATAGATTTTTTTGCACCCATTAACTGCTTTCTTTCTGTAGCACTATGGGATAATAGAAAATATATATATTGGTCTCTGCTCCCAGTTCCTGGCACAGAGCTTCTAAAACTCTTATGATTTTCTAAGTGATAAGAACACTAGGAGTACCTCTTATTGTAATATGTGTCTTTGATCTCATCCATGACCCAGGGCTCCTAAAACTCTCACAAATTCCCAAGTAATAAGAACACTAAGAGCATCTCTGTTTCAAAGAGGTGACTCTGGGTGGGCTCCTGGACCACTCCTTGATAGGAGCAAAGAATTTTTGGCTCCACTCCCACCATGCCATCCTCAAGAGAGAGAAGAGAAGCTGGAAATGGAGTTAATAATTGATCACACCTACATAAGGAAGCCTCCATAAATCCCAGCAGTAAGGGGTTTGGGGAGATTCCAGGTTGGTGGACACATCCACACCGGGATGTGTCTTTGGGTTTCCACTTCAACTCTATGGGGACAGAAGCTCCTGAACTCGGGACCCTCTCAGACCTCACTCTGTGTATCTCTTCATCTGGCCATTCATCTATATCCTTTATCAGATCCTTTAGTAAACTGGTAAGCAAACGTGAGTATTTCCCTGAGTTCTGTGAGCTATTCTAACAAATTAAGTGCACCTAAGGAGGCGGTCATGAGAAGCTCTTCACAGCCAGTCGGTTAGAAACACAGATGACAGCCTGTGCTTGTAGCTGGCATCTGTAGTGGGGGGGTAGGTAGCATCAGAACTGAGTTATATTGTAAGAAACTCAGCTGCTGTCTGAGGTTTGCTTGTTGTTTGAAAGGAAAACTTTCACACATTTGGTGACCAAGAGTCAGAAGTACAGTGCTATGTGACTCGTAAAAGAGGGAAGAAGCACTGTAGGGAAGAACTGGGTTTTTCTTTACATGTGAAGGAAAAAGCTGCATGCTCCCTCTACAAATACCTTTCAAGAAAATGATCTAAATTGATTATTCCCTGTGTTAAATGCTGCTTCCCTGTATTCTTTACCTCCTTTCTCCACCAAAATCCTAGGTGATGATTTTCAGCCCTTCAGCAAAACTAGTATAACTCTGTGGCATACTGGCCAAGACAGCCCATGACACTCCTGTTTGAACACAGTCTGGGTCACAAAGTTGACATTCAGCAGACAGAAGGGGCTGAGACTGGAGAATGCGATGCTGCCACAGAACACTGGAGCATCCCACACCATGGGGAGTTCAGGGGAATTCAGGATGTAGTGGTAGGACAGCCTGCATCTGCTCCGAGACCTCATCTGAAATAATTTACATGTCAACAAACCAGAAGTGCAGCCCTCTAGGATTTTAAGATATCAAAGTGTAGAAGCACAGGAAGAATTCAGTGTTCTGAGAATCACAGACTGCCATTTGTTTCCGTCAGCAGCAGCTTTCTAGCAGGCACCTACCTCTTACCCTCTGCACACACACATTTATGCGCCTCCCAGTGTATTCCAGCTATCGGCTGCTGCACAATTGGAACAAACCACCACCAGTCAGTCCTTGGCTCTAAGAAACCCAAAGATTCATCAAGATGCTCTGAGCACTTCAAACTCCATGCATGCTGGTAACTGCCCGTTAAACAAAATGCTCTGAATATTCTAGTGGACTGCGTAGCAAAAAATGAATTACAAACCTGAGCAGAAGGTAGAGACAAAGTTCTGCAGGGCTGAGTCCACCTCTTCCACGCTGGGCAGGGCCAGGAGGCGCGGCAGGAGACCCTCCAGCGACTGCACGAACAGCCGGGCGCTGTGCTGGTCGGCCTCCTGGTTCTTCAGCAGCTTGAGGGACAGAGCCGCGGTCCGCAGGGACCTGTGGCCCAGGCAGTCCCGCGGGGTCTGCTCCTCATCAGCTAGAGAACAGTTGTCGGACCCAATGTCCGACACGTCCGACCTCCCGGAGTCCTTTTCAGCTGCCATGGAGTACTGGTCGCAGGAGTCAAACTCTGTCCGAGAGAGGTCCTGGTCGTCCACGCTGAAGTTGCTCTCACTGTATCTGGATCCGTAGGACCTCATCCTGCAGTCGACCGACAGGAAGTTGGTTATATCGGGGTAGGCAACCGTGTGGCTCCTTTGAACCACGTCTGGCTGGTCCACGGCTTCCGGTTCTGACACTTTACTCAGAGTCTCCTTGCCCTCCTGGACGGCTGGCGACTTGAGGCCATTCTTGGGGTTTTCTGAGTGGTCCTCGGGTGTGGTCTGACCCAACTCTGCCTCCAAGGTGGTCTGGCCCGTGTCCGTGGTAACGCTGATGCTGATGTCAAGGCTCCGCTCATTCCCCAACTCCCAGGGTGTGTGTTCCGAGGACAGGACTCGCCGCTGCCAGCGGAAGTCGGCCTCATTGATCTCCATGGAGTCGCGGCTGGACTCGGCCCCATCCTTCAGCTCTTCCAGGCGCAGCAGCAGCAGCTGGACCTGACTTTCGCTCAAGCCCCTGCCCTGACTGAGCTCTTCCAAGGCCCCCAGCAAGGTGCAGACGCAGGACACGGCGGCGTAGCAGGCCTCGATGCCGCCCTTGACGCACGCCTCGGTCATGCCGTCCATGATGCTGAAAGTGTTCAAAGGAGCAGAGGGCATCAGTACAGGAAACATGGGAAAATGCTACAAAATGAACAAGATTTGTTAGACAAGTGAACACTTAGGTATTCAAAAGAGATACTCTTGATTCACACGAAATCAAATTATCTGGGCAAAAAGAATAAAAGGAACAATAAAGGAAACAAATGTGCTCAGGCTGGAAGGTGGCCCACTTTGAACCACACTCTTTAGGCTGCCTGGTTTATTTAGGTACAAATAAAGATTTTGATGCAAATTTATAATCTTCACAAGGACAGGCATAGAATAATCTCACTTTTGTAACATGTTCAGTTTTCCAAACAGAAAACATTTATAATGCCTCTAGGATAGTATGGACCTTCCTTATTCAAGAAATGTATTTCTGAAGAGATGCATGTGACTACAACTATTACAAATCGGATAATATTCCATTTCCGAGGGACTCTGGAAAGGAGTCACATAGCTGTAACATATTAAGTCAAAAAGTTTTTCCCCAAAATAAGCCCAATGAAGAATTTCTGTACAATTTGTACACTGGCTTTTCTCTAAGTCAATATGAAAATATGGAAAGTTATATGATTATAATAAACTGAGATAAGACTTCTCCTCTGGCTTGCAGGTAATTACTACATAGTCATATCTCATATAATAGATTCATATAATTTCAGGAACTTAGAAACAACGTTAAGAATATTCAGAGAAGCAGTCTTCACCAAGCAATAAAGATCCAAAAGGAGAACGTATCATACAGTTTGAGAAGATCCAGGTGAGACTTTCTTTTTGAAATTGATCTTTTTCTCGATTCAGGTTCAGTGGAGCTGGGTCCTGCCAAATCACAGAGACGCTTTGGGCTCCCAAGTAGCTTTAAGCATAAGGGGAAAAAATAACAGAAAAGTGAATGTCATAAAAAAGCACAAGAACTGTGAGATCAAATAAACATATACATTCTCTCTTGAGTGATATGGTCCAAGGACAAAACACAATTTGAAATTCAACTCAATAAATCTGACTTTAGTGTTCTCCTTGACTTGGAATACCCACTGGGTCCCCAGCTCCCCAGTTCAGGACCAGCTTAGACAAAGAATATCCCTTGAGGGAGTGCTTCAAAGTTTTTTATCACAAAACTAGAAAGCACCTATGCCTATGTTCTTTAGTAAGACTGGCCTATAATTTAACTTTCCTATCCTTTCCCTGCCTTATTTTGCTATGAAACTGACTAGCTTCAAAAACTGAATTAAGGAATATACTTTTCTATTACCTGGGAAAGTTCATATATTATTAGAACTACCTGTTCTTTGAATGTTGGTATAACTTGTTTCTCAAGCTGTATGGGGCCACTAATTTCTTCTGAGTGGAAAGATTTTAACTACTGATTCAATTTCTTTAAAGATGGTAAGACTACTTAGGTCTCTCTTTCAATTTTTTTTAAAAGTTGCATTTTTCCTAGGGACTTATCTATTTTATCTAAGTTTTCAAATTTAATGGCCTAAAGTTGCCTTAATACCTTTGTTAATTTCTTTAACATTTGTAACATCTATGGTCATATGCCCTTTTAAAAATTCTTATTTCTGTTTTTACCTATTTTAGAATTTTGAATTCTTTTTGCAAGTTATTTGATTTTATTAGTCTTTTCATAGTCCTGGCATGTTTTACTTTATTGGTTCACTATATTGTGTTTGCTTTTAATCACATTACTTAATGCAAAAGGGCAAAGTGGTTATCTGATGAGGCCTTACAAATAGCTGAGAAAAGAAGAAAAGTGAAAAGTAAAGGAGAAAGGGAAAGATATACCCAACCAAATGCAGAATTCCAGAGAATAGCAAGGAGAGATAAGAAAGGCTTCTTAAGTGAACAATGCAAAGAAATAGAGGAAAACAATAGAAAGGGGAAGACTAGCAATCTCTTCAAGAAAACTGGAGACGCCAAGGGAACATTTCATGCAAGATGGGCACAATAAAGGACAGAAATGGCAGAGACCTAACAGAAGCAGAAAAGATTAGGAAGAGGTGGCAAGAATACACAGAAGAACTGCACAAAAAAGATCTTCATGACCCAGATAATCACGATGGTGTGATCAGTCACCTAGAGCCAGACATCCTGGAATGTGAAGTCAAGTGGGCCTTACGAAGCATTACTATGAACAAAGCTAGTGGAGGTGATGGAATTCCAGCTGAGCTATTTAAAATCCTAAAAGATAACGCTATGAAAGTGCTGCACTCAATATGCTAAAATTTGGAAAACTCAGCAGTGGCCACAGGACTGGAAAAGGTCAGTTTTCATTACAATCCCAAAGAAAGGCAATGTGAAAGAATGTTCAAACTACCATACAATTGTGCTCATTTCACATGCTAGCAATGTCATGCTCAAAATCCTTCAAGCTAGGCTTCAACAGTATGTGAACTGAGAAATTCCAGATGTACAAGCTGGATTTAGAAAAGGCAGAGGAACCAAAGATCAAATAGCCAACATCCATTGGATCACAGAAAAAACAAGGGAATTCCAGAAAAACATCTACTGTTGTTTNAGATCAAACTAGCCAATCCTAAAGGAAATCAACCCTGAATGTTCATTGGAAGGACTGATGCTGAAGCTCCAATACTTTGTCCACCTGATGCAAAGAGCCAACTCATTGGAAAAGACTCTGATGCTGGGAAAGATTTAGGGCAAGAGGAGAAGGGGACAACAGAAAGGTGAGATGATTGGATGGGATCATCGACTCAATGGACATGCATTTGAGCAAACTGTAAGATAGTGTAGGATGTATGTACTGCAGTTCTTGAGATGGCAAAGAGTTGGACAGGACTTAGCTACTGAACAACAATCCTTGCCTTCCTTTTGACTTTTTAAAAAATTTAAGCTCTTCTTTTCCAAACTACCTAAGTTGGAGAATTAGAACATTAATTTTAGACTTTCTATTTTTTGAGGTAAGTCATTGAAGCCATAAATATCCTTTCATGCACTGTTTTGGCTATATCTCACAAGTTCTCATGCATAGGATTTTCATAATTTTTTGGTTCAAACTAAGTTTTGTTTCTATATGGTAGACATCTGTACAGAAAATTTCAATTTGAAGCTAATATTGATTGATTAATCAAGTACATTGAAGCAGACATCCTACTATTATTTTCATTATTTTCAAAATGACTTATATTTGCAAGATAAAGTATATTAAGTAGAAAAATTTACATGTTTTTCTTCTTCAAAATTCCTTTCTTCTGCCAGAAATTGGGAACTTCTCTCTTGGAGGCACAAACATGAAGCTTCTCCTTTTTTTGACATTAAGAAAGGAGCGATATTACCAGAGATCAAGGCAGTTTCTCTCTCTCTCCATCTGTCTGCCTGACAGACCTGCAGCCACATGAAGTGGCTATGCCTCTGAGCCTCTAGCTGTCCCATCTCTTGTTAGAAGCATAAGTGCCTTTCAGGGGCACAAGAGTGGGAAATCTGACTCTCTCTTGGGATCCCATTACATTCCCTAATCCAACTTTACCAGGAATAAATCAGATGACATATTTGAATTCTCACATTAATCTTGTGTTTATTTCTCAGGTGCTTCAGAGTCTGGAGGGAACGGAAATAGAGTTTTGAAGAACTCTCAACAAATACTTAAAGAAAAGCGAGACTTGTTTAATTTCAGCTTCCTCTGGTGGGAATGAGGAATTGGTGTCAGTGGCTAGGGTGTCACAGGTCTGATAAAGACTAGCGCTTCCTTCTAAAGCTGAAACGTGGGAGAGAGAAAAGGAAGCAAGGTGTTCTTTTTGGCTATGAAATGTTTTGGGCAGGGGGAGTAGAAGCAAAAAAAAAAAAATGTCTTTTGAAAAACAAAATGTCCTGTATGCCTTTGATTAATAAGCACAGAGCACATACAGCAGGAAGACAAATTAGAGAGAGAACGGCAAATAACATGCCAGGCGTTCACGATACGAAGAGTAAGCAAACATCCTGGGTGCCCAGCGGCTTCCTTTGTGCGCGTGAGCCCTGCACATTTTGGTATCTAGGTTACCAGCCTTCCCAAATTACTGGTGTTGCCACAGTAAGTGGAGGCGATGCTCATGAGAACAACCTGGCCCACGTGAGTGTGTCGTGCTCCGCGGGGTGGCACGGCCTGGACACACTACCCTGGTGTCAATTTCAGCCTCACTTAGCAAAGTGACCGTGGGGAGCTAGCAAATCCATGCGGAGGGGAACACAGGACTAATTTCCTTTGCTGTTACAGAAAGTGCATTGAGACCTACACACCTCGTAGGCAAGGTATTTACTTAGCATTCAGTTGTCAAGTGTCAATAACTCCATGACTGTCATCTCTGTGTACCTGCATGCTCAGTCACTTAGTCATGTCTGACTCTTTGCCACCCCATGGACGGGAGCCCACCAGGCTCCTCTGTCCATGGGATTTTATAGGCGAGAATACTGGTGTGGGTTGCCATTTTCTTCTCCAGGGGATCTTCCCAACCCAAGGGATCTAACTCTCATCTCTTGCATCTCCTGCATTGGCAGGCAGATTGTTTATTGCTCACATGACCTGGGAAGTTATGAGGGGGAAATAAAGGATGCTGTGGCTTCAGAACACCCTCTGCAGATATTCTGTCTTCAGGTCAGAATATCGAACACTTGAATATCAAAATGTATTGAACACTTATTCTTCTTCAAGGACTGTAGTGTTAGATACTGGAGGAAACACACAAAAACAATGTATACAATACCATGTTTAGGGAGACAAGACGCTTGTTCCACATTGTATTGTGAAGCAGTCAGTGTGATGAGACATTACAAGCAACTGCTAAATGGTGGAACAGGATTTAGAGAAGAGCGAAATCACTGGTCTGAGGAAGCAGAGCCAAAAAGGAGAAGGATTTTGACAGAGGGGCAATTGTAATTAGAACATCTGGGTTTATTTTTTAGTCATATTGCTCACAAGGACTTTGAGCAAGTAAACCTCTTCTCATGAAGCCTCAGTATCCCTATCTGGAAAATTGGTGCAAAATTACCTCCCTAAAGAAGTCTATAAATAAGCTAATGTGAAGTGCCCAGCAGTGTCTGTCTAGCTTATTGGGATCCATCACTTTACTATGTTAAGTGAAAGTGGCCAATGGGCATAGGGGAGGGGAGCTGGAATAGAAGCAGGAAAGTAGAAACTGAACAAAGCAGGATGGAAATGAGGGTGCATCCTGGCAAATGATGGGAAATGAGAATGATGATAGAAGGGTCTGGAAACTGGGCAGAGTATTTTAGACTTGATGGGAGAGGCAACATGCGCCACCGGAGAGTGGAAAAATTAACAGTGGCCATTTACGAATATAGTGAAATGTGCTAGGTGCTGAGTCATGTCTAACTCTTTGCGACCCCACAGATGGTAGTCTGCTGGGCTCCTTTGTCCATGGAATTCTCCAGGCAAGAATACTGGAATGGATAGTCATTCCCTTCTCCAGGGGAGCTTCCTGACCCAGGGATCAAACCAGAGTCTCCTGCATTGCAGGTAGATTCTTTACCATCTGAGTCACCTGGGAAGCCCATCCAGGAAAATAAAAGGGAGAAAAACACAGGCAAGAGGCAAGGAGACCAACTTGAAGGATTCAGTGCTTCAGGCAGGAGGTGATGAGGACCTGCTATTTTTAGCTCTCTGTATGTTTTTCTCATCCTTATGCTGTTGTTCAGTTGCTAAGTTTTGTCTGATTCGTTGCGACCCCATGGACTGAAGCCCTCCAGGCTCCCCTGTCCGTGGAATTCTCCAGGCAAGAATTCTAGAGTTGGTTGCCATTCCTTTCTCCAGGGGATCTTCCTGATCTAGGGATCGAACCCGGGTCTCCGGCAGTGCAGGCAGATTCTTTACCATCTGAACCATGAGGGAAGCTCATAAATGCACCACATATTTGTTTATCACTTTAAATACTCACAAAGTACTTATACAAACTTCATGGCATTGTGAACTGGCAACCTTTGGAATACTGTCACTATGTACAGATAATAAACTGCTAGGTTCAGAGTTAAATGATTTAGCTATGGTATCTAGCTGATGAGTGGCAGAGAAGTCAAACCTTGACTCAGACCCAAGTTCATGGAAGGGGTAGCTGAACCAGTGCCACGAAAAGAGCTGCTGGAATCATCTGCATTGTAATATGAAAGTCCAGTCCAGTGATAAGTGTGTATAGGGAAAGACCAGGGGCTTGGGTTCAGATGGAGATTTGTACCCTTTCTCTTTTTTAAAAAAGTTAATTTTATTTTTATTTGTTTATTTGGTTGCATAGGGTCTTAGTTGTAGCATGTGGGCTCATCATTGCCCCTTGGGATGTGGGATCTTAGTTCCCCAACCAGCGATAGAACCCACATCCCCTTACTGGAAGTCAGAGTCTGGTCCACCAGGGAAGTGCCCACCTTTTCTCTTTCTTTTGACCCTGGGCAAATCATTTGACCCCTTGAAGTAGTTTCTTTGTGGGAGGGAAAATTCCTTCTTCCTGCCTTCATGTTTCTACGGGCAGGAACACCCAGTGGAATAACATTCTTCCCAGTGAAGGGGGATTGGTTGCTCTGACTGGTGAAGTCAGGAGAAACAGATGGGCATGTGTGGTGGCCCCTTCCACTCTCCTCTTCCTGGAGATCGGCCAATTCAAAGAAAGTCCACCCTGTTCCTCCAGACAACAAGCTTCACAGGGGCAGGGGCAGGTTCCTAGGGGACGGTTGTTTGGGTGGTGGCCCCTGGTAACTCAGTCCGTAAAGAATCCGCCTGCAAGGCAGGAGACCTGCGTTCAATCCCTGGGTTGGGAAGATCCCTTGGAGAAGGAAATGGCTACCCACTCTAGTATTCTTGCCTGGAGAATCCCATGGACAGCTATAGCCCAAGGGGTCACAAGAGTTGGACACGACTTAGTGACTAAACCACCAAATGCTTCCAGTCTCACTGGCCTCCAAAGCTGTATTGTGTTCATCACCCGAGTGGTGATCGGATATCAACGCTGACCCTTGGATCTCCCTTGCCTGAGGCTCTGTTAGGGAAAACATTCTTCACTGGTATATAACCTCACAAAGTTATTATGAATATTAAAGATAGTATATGTTAAATATTGGCATAAAGAAAAAATGGTCATTACTACTGTGGGTCCATAAGTTTTCTTAATTAGCAATTAAATGTGGATTGCTCCTTCATTTCTGGAAACACTGGGTCAGAATTTCCATTATTGATTACAGTCAAATCTCATGAAAACAACATCAGCAAGCTGTTCAAATTAAGCTTTTTAAAAACCGGTGAGTAACCAATACTGCTCAAGGTAATTTCATTACACTGATTTTTCTGGTGTCAGGTACCAAAACCCAGTGTGATTAAACCTTCATGGACAAGTTTACAGGTACAGAAAAGCTGATCACTTTTCTTTTCAGTTGAGAAGCAGAGGAATTCTTGAAGTATCCTCAAAATAATTCCAATTCCTCCTCAAAATCATGAAGTGGCTCACTGCGACATATATCCTAAGCTGGACATCCTTTGTCTCATGACATGTGGGAGAAATAGGGCATAAGAAGGAGGGGGGAACAGGGTCCCTTTTAGAAATCAGAAATCAGTAAAGTCCATTTTTGGACAATGTACAACCTGAGTATAAAATCATTTTGAAATCTAATTTTGGCAAAAGTGAATAAACACGTACATCTGCACAGACAGTATCTTAGGGAGCAAACTCAAAGTTTAGCCTGGGTTCCAGTCAGATGCATGCGGCTCCAATCATCCAACGGCTTTGCTGCAGTGAGCATTTATCAACGCTCCCTTAGCCCAACTCCCAGCACATGCCCCAGTGCTAAACCAACTATTACTGGATACTGCCTGGAAGCAATGAAGCTCCAGCAGATGACTGGCAAACACTTGCTAAGTACTTCCCGTGTGCAAGATGTGGCGCTCAGCCCCAGCAACAAGGCTGGGGGCCTTCTTCCCGGCCCCCCTACCTCTTTCATGATCTTGATGGCCTCCACGCGGTGCTGGGGAGGCGGGTAGAGCAGCACGCGGTGGTAGAGGGACTGCAGCACCGGCTTCATGGAGTCCACCGGCCCCACCAGCCGCACCAGCTCCGCCGCGATGTAGTAGATGGTGCGGGCCACCGGCCCGCTCAGCGCCGGCGCCGTGGAGGAACAGCCCGAGCCCCGGCCGTGGTCGGAAACCCCAGGAGATGCAGAGTCTGCCTCGATGCTGGTGCTCATGCTGCTGCTGTGTGCGGAGGTGATGGTTTTATCGTGAATCGGATTCCCCAGGATCACGATGAGAGCCGGGCAAAGGTTCTTCCTGAGAGGACACGAGAGGAAAGATCACTTTCCCTTCAAGCCAGATGATAAAACATGAATACGATCCTGAGGGTAAATACCAGGTGCCCCAAAAGTGACAAGTAAGAGCTGGGCTCTTCACTGCTCCCCTTTCTGGCTACCTCCTGCCCCAGCGTGTCCTGTCTCTCCATCACTCCTGGGGACAGCAACAGGATACTTTTCTTCATAATTCAAGCTGGGGTTAACTACATAAACTATCATGAGAAGTATCAGAAAGCATCTTCTATGAAGAAAATGAACTCAAAGTGCTCAGTGGCTTAGTGATCAGGTTTCATTTTACTATAAAAAATGAAATTACTTCTATTTCTCATTTGAGAAGTTAATTTAAAATTCTGACACATATCACAGTGATACACAGCACTCGACTTTCTCCCTGTCAGGTTAGCCCAGAAACCCGGAGCAACTTGCTGGCTGCCTGAGGGCCCTGTCATTTGTGTGAATCTCTGACTGTGATTTAGAGACTAGTGTGCAGGTTGAGATGGAGTGAGTACCAGGGTGAGGTTGAGAAGAAGGTTCAGTTATGGTGAAGGTGAACTATCTCCCCTCTGCAATTCACTGGTGACTTTATACGATTTAGAACATAGGCTTTCATGACCCTATGATGTAAATAAAATGCATGTGGGCCCTGGGAGGCACAGTTGGTTAAAATAATTATCCCTTACTCTCTGTAGCTTGGTCTGGTGCATATAAGCAAAGCAGCTTCCATACTTTCCCTCTAATACATTTACACAGAAATGGAACAACAAGAAAGGCACAGATGCCATGGGAAGAGACCCACAGACCCAGCTGGACGGAGCGAGCCCCCGGGCCGAGCGCAGAGCCAGGGTGGGCGTCCAGACGGGTACTCACCAGATGAGGTCTGTGAAGCCGCGGTGCAGCTGCATGGAGGAGGAGGAGCTGCTGAGCACAGACAGGATGCACTCCAGGTAGAGCAGCTGCAGCTGCTGGCTGTCGCTGCGGGGGAACAGAACCAACACACAGACACATCCAAAGCAGAGGGAACTTTAAAGAGGTGACGTGTGGGAAACACTTGGGAAAATGTTAGGCATCACAGAGTGTTAATGTGGGGGGAGATTGGTAATGTCATGGGTTGCCTTCTGCTCCCCCCACTTCCATTTCACACTTTGAGGTCCTAATCCCTGGTACCTCAAACATGGTCTTATTTGGAGGTGGGGTCTTTATACAGGGAGCCAAGTTAAAGCAAAGCCATGAGGGCAGATCCTAACTCAACAGGATTGGTATCCTATGGTTTTTCCAGTAGTCATGTACGGATGTGAGAGCTGGACCATAAAGAAGGCTGAAAGTGTAAGTCACTCAGTCGTGTTTGACTCTCTGTGACCCCATGGACTGTAGCCCACCAGGTTCTTCTGTCCATGGGATTCTCCAAGCAGGAATACTGGAGTGGGTGGCCATTTCCTTCTCCAGGGGATCCTCCCCATCCAGGTATGGAACCTGGGTCTCCTGCATTGCAGGCAGACTCTTTACCGATTGAGGCACCAGGGAAGTAGAAAGAAGGCTGAGTGCCAAAGAATTGATCCTTTCAAACTGTGGTGCTGGAGAAGACTCTTCAGAATCTCTTGGACAGCAAGATCAAACTAGTCAACCCTAAAGGAAATCAACCCTGAGTATTCATTGAAAGGACTGATGCTGAAGCTCTAATTCTTTGGCCACCTGATGGAAAGAACCAATTCATTGGGAAAGACCCTGATGCTGGGAAAGATTGATGGCAGGAGGAGAAGGGGACGACAGAGGATGAGATGGTTGGATGGCATCACTGACTCAATGGACATGTGTTTGAACAAACTGTGGGAGATGGTGAGGGACAGGGAAGCCTGGCGTGCTGCAGTTCATGGGGTCTTGAAGAGTTAGTTGGACATGACTGAGGAACTAAACAACCATCTTCTTAAAATAGGGAAATTCGGACACAGATATACATATGGAGGGAAGACAATGTGAAGAAACAAGGGAAGTAGATGAGGAATGAAGCTTCCCAGCACTGAGAAGAAACCAATCCCGCTGACATTCTGACCTCCAGACTCCAGAACCATGCGACAATGTGTTTCTGTTATTAAAGCCACTTTTTTGCGATACACAGTTCGTGATACTTTGTTTTGGCAGCCCCAGCAAACCAATTAGGATGATTTTTCTGTAATAAACTTGACTTTTTAGAAGTTTTGATTTATATAACAATGTAGCATCATACTGAACGTGACCATATTTCACCCACCCCGTATGTGGTTTATCCTATTAGTAACATCTTACCATTAAAGAACAAATTAACAGTTACCATTAAAGAACAAATACTGATATATTGACTTAAATCTACCGTTTACTCCAGAAATACTAAATTTTAATACATTTAATTGTCTAAATTCTTCAAGACACTATGTACCATGATATCTTTTAGATGGTTAATACTTTACTAACTTGCATTTGGCTTTTCTTCTTTATTTTTTTTGAAAGCACCAGTGTTTTTCAATGGACAAATTATTTTTCTCATAGTTATTACTATAGAGTTCTTCATTAGAACCAGATATTTTTAAAAAGCATATAACTTTATATGCATCTTAGATGCACACTTTTATCTCTGGACTAAATTTTCTGCCTAATCCACTAGAAAGTTAAAATCCAAGTGGGTTGTCTTTCTGACCAATCATTTGACTGATTATTAAGAAAAATAATTAAATGCCCTATTAAAAAATGTCTTATCTTTCAAACCGTCAGTTGATCATCACAAAACTAAAATAACTACAGACAATAAAAAGTCTCAACTTCTGAAATCACTGGAAATAAAGCCAGAGAAAAGTTACAAGCAGTCAAGTTTCCCACGAGTACCTATCAGCAAAGCGTGCTGCAGCGACACAGCAACCCCAAGGCATCCGACTCGATGACAGAGAGCGCTCATTGCCAAGGAAACCGGCCCGGAATCTCCTTGGAGACTGAAGGCGGCAGCTTTTCTGTGGCTGCTGCAGTCTGGCACAAGAAGTACTCGTGGCCTGGCATGAGTCACGCCATTAGAGGCACATCTTCCACGCAGGCCCTTCACTAGACACACAGACGTGCGTGCACAGGGTGTACGTTTCCTATTTGTCTGACAATGGGTGAATCTGTGGAATTCACAGGGCAGAAAGGAGCCTGGAAACCAGCCAAGACTGTCAACGCACAACAGGGAACACGTGCCCGCTCAGGAGGCCTGCCAGTCACCCTGCCTGGCCTTTTGTTGGAGCAGGTTGAGTATCTACTGGTCTCACTCCTTGCTTGACTCTGGATTTCCTCCAGGCTCAAGATCCACAGAGAACAGCTCTTGCAGGTGACAGGGGTCCATGAAGAAGCAGCAGGGCGGGTCTGGCAAGGTTACTGTGAAGGCCACCTGGCACCACAGCCTCAGTCTCTGGAGTTCTTAAAATTGGTTTTGTTTTGAGGTGTTTTGACTTTGACTCCCTTAGGAACAGATTCAAATTTAGTTAGAAAAAGGAAGGGGGAGAGTTAATTGCATAGGAGTGGAATGGAATTAGAATGTGCAATATGAAGGTCACCCTTGCCTCACTGATTCCTCTCTGACATTCTGTTCTGGGAAGACAGGGAAGTGGGAGAAGGTGTGGGAGACCAACAAGCATAGAGTGAGGAAATATATTCCTAACCCCAGTGATTCTCCCCCAAAGTCTTGGATTTAAACAGCACTGTCTAACTCAACCTGCGTAAGAGTGCTCTATTAATACCACATCTCCAAGGCATGTGAGTTAACCTGTGTGCCTGAAATAATTTTCTGAATACTCCCAGGAGACTGAACATATCACGAGTATATACCCCTACAGAGATAAAGCCCCAGGAGGTATACAAGCACTGATTTTGGAAATGGATATTGAGAGAGGAAGTAATGACCTGCCTCTTGAGAAACCTGTATGCAGGTCAGGAAGCAACAGTTAGAACTGGACATGGAATAACAGACTGGTTCCAAATAGGAAAAGGAGTACATCAAGGCTGTATATTGTCACCCTGCTTATTTANCACCTGATGCGAAGAGCTGACTCATTTGAAAAGACCCTGATGCTGGGAGGGACTGGGGGCAGGAGGAGAAGAGGACGACAGAGGATGAGATGGGTGGATGGCATCACCGACTCAATGGATGTGGGTTTGGGTGGACTCTGGCAGTTGGTGATGGACAGGGAGGCCTGGTGTGCTGCGGTTCATGGAGTTGCAAAGAGTCGGACACGACTAAGCAACTGAACTGAACTGAATGGAATGACCATAGAAGCTGAAGCTGAAACTCCAGTACTGTGGCCATCTCATGCGAAGAACTGACTCATTGGAAAAGACCCTGATGTTGGGAAGGATTGAAGGCAGGAGGAGAAGAGGACGACAGAGGATGAGATGGTTGGATGGCATCACTGACTCGATGGACATGAGTCTGAGTAAGCTCCAGGAGTTGGTGATGGACAGAAGCATGGCATGCTGCAGTCCATGGGGTTGCAAAGAGTTGGACACGACTGAGTGACTGAACTGAACTGAATGACCACAGCGTGATTTCTAACTATTTAGAAGTTAGAAGAGGTGTCAAGATTAGCCAATAGAAAATAAAAGGACTTAAAGCAATAAAATCAGAAGAAACTATACAGATGTGAAAACCTAACAAAGAAAATGAAGAGAATCACCAGAGTGCAGCAGCCAAGGGCATGGTATCATCTGATCGGGTGGTCTAAAGTTCTCCCGGTGAAGCCGCACTAAACCTGCTACACCTCAGCTTCTATAGCAACAGAACCCCTGTCGCAGGGCAGTGCAATCACAAAGGGAAAGACCGTAACCAAACAAGTCTCTAGAGGCAGAATTATGATAAGGAAATTGCTTTGAAAAACCAAGCAAGTCTATGAGAATCCTATTAAAAAAAAATCATTAAGCTCTATAACAATATGCCTAAAGCCACCTTTGATCCAATATTCAGTAAGAAATCCTAGAAAACCATATGTGCGTCACATGAGTTATTTTTTTCCATTTAAAGCCTATCATTTAGTTATCTGATTCTTACATGTTTCCATTTTTCAGTGACTGACAGAAATGTATGACCTTTAGTTTCTAATACACGTATGTGAACATTGGTGATGTTTGTGCAATATATTTTTCTAACAATCTATAGTCCAAATTTCTAATGTAAAAAACTCCTAAATCCATTGTAAACTAGAATTAGCACTTATAATTCTGAAAGCAAACAAGCTTTTTAGAGCTAATATTTATCAAATATTTATTATGTGCTGTGCAGCAAAAAAGATTCCACTTACACTAGTACTTCCTAGAAGATAGCAATCTGAATATCTTTAATAATAATTACACAATAAGCATTACTTAGGACTGTTTAAGGTAAACTAGGTCATATGGTTGTCCTACAGAGAGGGGTCCCTGTAGGTGACATCAGAGCTGTTCAGGTTTTAAAGAACACGAACTGAATCCCAGATGCCAGGCAGATCCTTACTGGGCTTTACTAGAAGCTCATTCCGGACCAACAAACAAATGGTATCATTTATAGACCCATAGATTCATTCTCACTTATCTTGATGACGATTTTTAAATTTATTAACGGCATAATTACCTTGAGTGTAGCACTTAAAATTCTTAGATTTTTCCCTTAGCAAACTACTCAGGGAAAAAAGCTTAACTTCTTTGTTTTCCCTTGGCAGTTCAGTAATGAACATAGCCTTCATATTTTCAAAGTTTTGGTGGTCTTTGGTTTATTTTCTGACAATGCTAAGACCTGAGCGGGGGTGGGCTGAGAAGAATCCTTGACAGCTGGCAATAGCCAGCTGTGTGTTCCCCTGGGAAACATCAACATTTGCACAGAATGTTAATATCAGATGAGGACTCTCTAAATGGTGATGGAACAAGATGAAAGCAATCTATAATCATATTTGAACAGAAATTTTTAAAAAATCTGTACAGTTACAAAAATGACCAAATATCACCCTCCCCTGTAAGCGACCCTTGCTGATTTTCCAGTGACAACTCTAGCTCCCATCTAGCCCTCTTGTCTAGATGACAACAACTGGGTTGGCCAGAAAGTTCCTATGGGTTTTCCTGTAAGATTTTATGGAAAAACCCAAGGGAACTTTTTGGCCAACTCAACAGGATGTTCAATGCTAGAATTGCCCCTTGCTTTCTGACAGTACCCAATTCTTGAGTAGAACATCCAAGTCCTTTAATCTACCTGATACTACCCAACTCAGGTACAAATCCTGTAACAATTCCTAACACCTACCCTTTTACTGGATGCCCCATCATTCCTCATAGTGTACAGGCTCCCTTGCTATAGCAAGTTAATAAACCTAATTCTGTTTATTCTGATCTTGGTGGGCACTGACAATCTTTTAGGTTAATTTTCTAGCTCAATCCATACAAAAATCCTAGAATATTTTCTATTACTAATATTACATATTACTATTATGATTATAATGCAAATTAACAATATATTGAACCATGTTATAATCATTAAGTATATTAATATTAAAATTATATTACTAATATTACAATATTATGGTATACTTCAATATTATTATTAGGCATATTATTAATATAAAATAATATGATAACTAATTATAGGATATATAAGCTTAGGGTGGTTGAGATCTTTGATCAAAGTCAAGAGCTAGTAAGGGGCAAAACATGGGTTTTTAACTCCAGTAATCCAACAAAACTGGAGAAGGAAATGGCAACCCACTCCAGTGTTCTTGCCTGGAAAATTCCATGGACAGAGGAGCCTGGTGGGCTGCAGTCCGTGGGGTCACAGCGTCAGACACGACTGAGTGACTAACACACAATCCAACAAAAATAATGCAGTTGAACCAATAGTAAATAGACTGTGATTTATCATAGTATTAGTCACTCAGTTGTGTCAGACTCTTTGCAACCCCATGGACTGCAGCATGCCTGGTTTCCCTGTCCTTCACTATCTCTTGGAGTTTGCTCAAACTCCTGTTCATTGAGTAGGTGATGCCATCCAACCATCTCATCCTCTGTTACTCCCTTCTCCTGCCTTCAATCTTTCCCAGCATCAGGGTCTTTTCCAATGAGTCAGTTCCTCGCATCAGGTGGCCAAAGTGTTGGAGCTTCAGCATCAGTCCTTCCAATGAATATGCAGGTTGATTTCCTTTAGAACTGACTGGCTGGATCTCCTTGCAGTCCAGGGGACTCTCAAGAGTCTCTATAATGGGACTGTTTCTCCCAGTTCGTGACAATACATAAAATTTTACAGCAAAACATTCTGAATTATCAAATGTCTAGTTTTCATTAAACAATAATGTGTCTTTTCCATTTCAAAAGGCACTTCAGAATCCTACTGTGTTGCAGTTAATTATATGTGTATCTGGTAGAGGTCTTCATCTCACCTTGGCAAATCTGGCCTTTTTATGACTTGGCTTTAGCACAGATGCATAAGTTATCAACTTACTGCCTGGAGAGCTGGAGCAATGAACATCACAGATAACCTAATACCACTGATTACACTGGCATGCAAATAAGTGACAAGTATATAAAAGTCAGAATAACACAGTCTTTTAAAAGATAAGTGCGTGAGCTCACAGGCTCAGGAGATGTCAGAAAAAAAATAGAAAATGACCACCCAGGCCAATCCTGTCATTTAGCAGCGGAGAAAGGCACAATAGTTTGATGAAAGCTCATTTAAAGTCTTACACCTGGGACGAGCCAGGTTAGGACTAGCCCTCACATCAACTAGCTCTTAGCCAACATTCTCTCCACTAACCTCCATTAGACAATTGCATCCTTCAGTAATCATGTTTGACCAGATGGGCTTGCCCAAGATCACTGAATACACTTCTCAGGAATGACAGTGAATTTACCAATGATGGGGGCAGGGCAGGGGGGGAAACCACTGTCCCTATACCCTGCAAATCTAAGTGATGCTGTGGGCAAAAGTTCCTTCAGAAATAGGCCCTGAGCAGACCAGAGCACCAGTGTTGAAGGCACTTACTTGATGGCGGCTTGGAGCTTCTCACACAGAACGGTGAGCACGGAGACGAGGTCATCACAGAGGGACTCTACTGTTGACCCTTCAAACAGAGGAGGGGACAGGCATCAGACAGATGCAGAGCACTACAGGCTTCCTCAACACTCCTTCCCATCCTCTGCTTTTGATACTTTCAGGACTGAAAAGATGATTTTTAGATGCTAAGCCTTTCTCAGGCCCCCAAAAGTATCAGAGAGAAGAATTAAATATCATCATTCCTCAAGACACTCAAAAGATAATCCAGGAAGGAAATACGAGACTATTAATTATAAGTAAGGTTCATTCACACTTAATGAAAAAAGATTAATTTAAGAAACAACACAACTGATAACAATTTTCTCAAGATTTTGGCCAGCAGACTATACATGTATCCCTTATTCTGATATCTTGAATTTCTGGGTCTTCTGAGCAGACTTAAGTTCTATCCCAGAGAGATAAACTACAGTGGCATGAAGGAAAGATGGGCTTTTCAAACTCGGAAACTAGGGAAAGGGGCAAAATAAGTTAGTCACTATCTCCACCTATTTCAGCTATTTGTCCAGCATCCTCAGGGTAATCGGCCTTTGTTGTTAAAGGAGCAACAGTCAGCGTCAGAAAAAATAATTTTCTCTCCACATTCATGTCCAGAATCTAGCAACAAAAATCCCACAGAACTGTACTAGAAAAAGGCTGAAATTCAGAATCTGTGCAAGTACTGGTCCACAGCTTGTTGACTGCATGAGCTTGGATAAGCTTCAGTTTTGCTTCAATTAAGTTTAAGTTTTGTCTTTGGCAAGCAGGGTTAAATAATAACAGTCTCAGAACTGCTAGGCCAAGGGACAAGTGGAAGCATCTGCTTTTTAAAAATAAAAACCTGTGGAGATCTATACAAATGTGGCCAAGTATTTGAGGAATGTATAAATGCATGAATGAATGTCCATGAGGTCTAAGAAGAGGGAAAAAAAAAGCCAGATGTGTAAGAAGAAAAATAAAAATAAAATTGAAAGATGGCAGGGAAATGAGAAACGGCTGATCCTCAGAATTTAGGATCTTAAAAGAAAAAAAAAAAAAAAAAAATTGAGAAATGATAAAGTGCAATGATAAAAGACAGTTTAAAATAAATGAAACCCATAAGGAAACCCCAAATTTAATTTTAGGTAAATTTCAAATGAGTCCATCAATTTTTTACTGATACAATATTTAAATATGCATCCTTAACCAAGAGAACTTTGATTTCTTTTTTCGTTTATAAAATCATCCTACATTAAAGTGAAAACATTGTGGGAACTGCAATAATCAAGAGATGAAAAATCGTGGCTCATACCACTGAGAGCTTCAAAAGGTGAAAAGACGCTGCAGTACTTGTAGCCCAAGAATACAAGGAAACGTGACAAAAATACACTCAAGCAATGCTTTAGAAAATGATCTAAAGCAGTCATTTTCTTTCATTTATTCTTTTTCTCCTAATTGTGGCTGTTTAGCTACTTCTTTCTCTTCCTTACATTCCCTCTCTTTTTCTCTCTACCCCACCCCTTCCTTCCCATTATTAACTGGCAAAAACATCAAAGTAAAATTTTTTTTTCCATCATTTAAAAAAATATTTATTTGACTGCACCAGGTCTTAGATGTGACCCTTAGGACCTCCAGCGCGCAATATGTGAGTTCTGGGGCTTGTGGGATCTAGTTCCCTGACAGAGACTGAACCCAGGTCCTCTGTACTGGGACTGTAGGGTCTTAGCTACTGGACCACTATGGAAGTGCCCTCAACATTTTAAAAATTACTGAATAAAACCCTAGATAAAACTGGTATTTTGGCTTTTCAATCAGATGATTTGAATTTTTCACCTCTTTTACAGAAAACATTACCATCAAAATTTTTTAAGGAAGCAAAGTGTTTGTCTATTATAGTGGACATTTTTTCCTTTCCTATGAGTCAGAATGAAAGTACCTTACCTTGATTTCATTTGCTACTTAAACCTGGCTGTCTGTCCTTCCCTGTGAGATGACTTATTTTTCATAACAAAACTTCATAAACATCCTCCAGGTGTAATAGCACTTGATGCCAGTCAAGTTTCTGCCATTTTGTATTCCAGTTCTCATTTTAACAGCTAATGAACCTGACTTCATGAAGAATAAAGTAACTACAAAAACCAGCCTCCACGAGGAAGGTGTGTGAAGAGTTAATTTCCCTGGCACAGTTGGAGCAGGAACAGGTATGGCTGGCACAGGATATAGGAGCAGAAGGAAATGATGGCTGATTAAAGGTAAGCCGAGCCAAGGAGAATGGGAAGCTAACCCAAGAGCTTTTACTCAGCGTTACATCTGCATCCTGAGCACACAGTAGGTGTTCTTATACCCACTTTTTCAACTGAATGTGCAAAAATCAAATCCCATACCTTGACTCCTGAATTCCTGGGGGACATCCGGGTTTTCAATTATCTAGTAAGGGAGACACACACAGGACAGTTAAGAGATTCAGGCAAGAAAAATCCTGACTGTTCAACAATGGAAAGGTCTAGGAAACAAAATGTCATCTGAGTGTTCTGGGCTCTGCTAACTTACCTAGGTGCACCTTCCAGCTCTTGGTAGCATTTCACTACTCATGGCACTTCTGAAAAGGCTATTATGTCTGGAACTGAGTTATTATCAGTTTCAAAAATAACTCAGCCAAGAGTCCACAACTCCCTGGAAGTTTAAGCCCTATGGTGCACTGGTTCATTCTAGAGTGTTGTAGAGCTATGACTATGGGCAGTACCTGCCTAAACACATGAGTTCTCTTTGCACAAAGAACAATTTGTCCCAAAGTCACAAACAGCACTCTGAGTGGCACCTAGTGAATACAGATTCTTAGTCATAAGGAGGATAAGGTTCCTGGACGTTGATGTACAGGTCCATGATGGCTGCTGGTCAGAAGCACCAGGTTCCTATTTGAGGGGGGAGGGTATTAACTTTCAATTGTCTGACCAGAGAGACCACTCCAGGTCACCACCAGGTAGATCTGGGAGTATCAGGATAGAGGCAGAACCTTGAGGGAAGGGAGAAGAGGAAGGAAAAGATATTTACTAGTAGTAAGACTGACTTCCCATTGTAGGGATAATTCAGTGACTACTGAGTTGAGAGCAGGAAGGCGGCCCTTCAGTCTCCCTACACCTTAGCACTGGGAGATAATACGAAGGCATTTTCATGCCAGTTAACTACCAGATATGAATTATTGCCACAGTGCTGATCTTTTTAAAGCTTGTTACAGGCACATATTTCTACTAGTCTCTGTTCATAAATTTGGAAGCTCAGCAGCTTCCACAGAATTTTGGAGAAGTGAGATGTTAATGCCGACAGCACATCACATGGCTAAATATTAAGGCCAGAACATTTTTTGGAGGAAATCAATCTGAATCACTTTTATGGAGAGGAGAACTATTATCTCCTACTCCCCAGATATTTACATATAGCATTTTTTCTTTTTAAAATGCTTAACAATAATTTAACAATGGCTTTTGTCATTGAAATAATTCAGTAATAATGCTTGATAGTAAACTCAGGGTTTCTAAGGATACAAAACAAAATCAAACTGAGTAATCTGCCCTGGGCATAGGGATGGGGAGGGGCTAGGCATTAAGTTGATGATATGCTTCATGCTAAGCTTTTGGCATTCTAGATTTATTTTCTTTCCACTGTCTTTAAGTCTTTCTAATTCTGAGATGGCCTGTGATGTGTTTCCAGTGATGGGTCATGCTAAGCACCATACACATCTTCTCCAAGTAATGCTAGTGTCCCATGGGAGGACATGCAGCCTCACCATTCCTAGGGTTCACTCCCCTGTAATAGCTTTTTAAAATAACCATTCTTAGGTAGTAAAACTTATGTCTCCCTCTACTAGACTTCAAACATACTTCAAATATTAGCATCCTGAGAATCATGTTTTTCTGGGACACAAAAACATCTCCAGGGACCTACTGAGTAATACAAAGGAAATGAACAGGAAACACTAATTTTCTCTCTAATTTGAGATCTTGCCCCCGGATGGGGTGAGTCCAGATGGTCAGTGACAAGCAGGACCAGGAGGCTGATTAGCCACATCATACACAGGATACAGGCACACAGCCTTCCAATTCTATCAGACCTCTGCAACTATACCTGTCATCTCACCTGTCACTCTAACAGAAGAGCGAGATGAGCTAGAAATCGGTCTTTTTACTTAAAACCTAAAATTCTCCTCCTTAAAAATGTCAAAGTATGATTAAATAAACTAATATAATTGAAATCACTTTGAGATGACAAAGTGTCATTTTAATGCTTCATCTTAAAACATCATTGTTATAGTATTTCCCATCACATTGCCATCTAGCAAGGATGGAACATGACTGGATACTAATATAAGGACTCTCAACATTTTAGGTTTGTTTCCATTAAAAATACTTTTTTCCTTTAATACTTTCTACTTACAGACTTGAATTTCTTTTAAACTAAATTTCTTTCTACAGCATCATATTCAAAACCCTAGTATAAACAAAATAGTTTTTAACAAAGAGAAAGCTAATGTAATAAAAATATCTCAAGTTTAAACAATTTCTTAATAGAAATTTAGGCTTTAGATACAGCAAACAAAAAAAATCAGTTCTTTTTTTTTTTTTCCATATTAATGTTTTATGTTTTTAAACACTGGCTGCCAGATCACATGTTAATAACTTGGACTTGACTCAGGAAGGAGACCAGGGCATTTGTTCTGGCTCTTTCATTGATAAGCTCATTAATTTTAGATTTCAATTTCACCTCTCTGGGCTTCATCTTTCCCACTTGTTTTTCTGAGGAATAAAATAATTTGACCAGATAATCTCTAATGTTTCACTCAACTCCATAATTTTCTAAAAATTAGAAAATAACTGAAGTTAAAAGTCAGAAATAGTTGAAGTTAAACATGAACTCTTCATTTCTATAAAATTAATTTCTGAGATATTCTGGATTGCCGCTGGAGATATCCTATTCTAAAATAATAGCAAGTGTTTATTCAGAGTACTTTTTGCAATTTAAAAAAATGTTAATCTCAATTATTAGAGACAGACTTTTTCTTTAAAAAAAAAAACAAAACCACCAGTTTTGAAGAGGAATCATCTCCTCATTAACATTCCCAGAAGATAATATATACAAGAAGCCGATTACATTTACATTTTTTCCCGGGAATGCTCATTTTAAACAATCTGCTCAAGTTAAGAGCAAAAAGCTCAAGTGGGCTCTGATGACAGAGAGAAGATAAATTCAGCTTCTTCACTGCCACAGTCTTTTATTTCACAAAGAGAAACATGTACCCCGAGTCTCAAGGTGCATAATTAACTGCCAGTAATTTTTCTTAATTTTGAATTTACTTCAGTGCTTGTTAATACATCACAATATTTTTATATAAAATTGTTCAATCTGTGATGTTTAGAACACGATTTTAAAAGAAAAGTGAGTTTTAAAATAATGACTAACATGATGACTGAAACCACAAGGAAAAAAAACCTCTCTTTAAACTTTGGAGGGAAACAGGCAAAAAACATATTTAAAGAGTTTAATTTATATAAATAAAAGTTCAAGTGGACCAAGCCAGCCCTTCCTAATGTTTCAGTAGGAAGCAGCCCTGGCGGGGGAGGGGAACGCACAGAAGATGAGGGACGCTCATCATGCAATGACAGAGTCACTGGCAAGACTGGGGTGAACGTGTGGGATCCGAGAGGCTCACCGTGTTCTCCTGCCTTTGTCGTAACTGTAAAGTCAAATCACTCAGCATTTGACTGAGAGTTGCCCGCACAGCAGTGTTTATACTACGCTGGTGACAGCTACATATGTATGTTTCAATGCACACCTGGTGAAGAAAGAAGACAGCAACATACACACTCTGTAGATACCAGTTCATTACCAACATGCTCTGGAAGTAATCGGAGGGGATGTTAAATCCCTCTTAAACAGAAAGTCAGCCTGATTTAGGGCTAGTTATCAATGAGTGCTATTAAATATTTTAAGTCCCTGGAAATTTGTTTTTAATCATAGAGGAAAAGTAATCTTTCCCTAAAGACAGTCACTCTTCGAAGTTTACCATTCTGAGCATCACAGAAGAATGCAAATGAATAATTTTTAGATATGCCAAACAGTTCTATCCAAAACATAAAACCACCAGTTTTGAAGAGGAATCATCTCCTCATTAACATTCCCAGAAGATAATATATACAAGAAGCCGATTACATTTACATTTTTTCCCGGGAATGCTCATTTTAAACAATCTGCTCAAGTTAAGAGCAAAAAGCTCAAGTGGGCTCTGATGACAGAGAGAAGATAAATTCAGCTTCTTCACTGCCACAGTCTTTTATTTCACAAAGAGAAACATGTACCCCGAGTCTCAAGGTGCGTAATTAACTGCCAGTAATTTTTCTTAATTTTGAATTTACTTCAGTGCTTGTTAATACATCACAATATTTTTATATAAAATTGTTCAATCTGCGATGTTTAGAACACGATTTTAAAGAAAAGTGAGTTTTAAAATAATGACTAACATGATGACCGAAACCACAAGGAAAAAAAAACCTCTCTTTAAACTTTGGAGGGAAACAGGCAAAAACATATTTAAAGAGTTTAATTTATATAAATAAAAGTTCAAGTGGACCAAGCCAGCCCTTCCTAATGTTTCAGTAGGAAGCAGCCCTGGCGGGGGAGGGGAACGCACAGAAGATGTGGGACGCTCATCATGCGATGACAGAGTCACTGGCAAGACTGGGGTGAACGTGTGGGATCCGAGAGGCTCACCGTGTTCTCCTGCCTTTGTCGTAACTGTAAAGTCAAATCACTCAGCATTTGACTGAGAGTTGCCCGCACAGCAGTGTTTATACTACGCTGGTGACAGCTACATATGTATGTTTCAATGCACACCTGGTGAAGAAAGAAGACAGCAACATACACACTCTGTAGATACCAGTTCATTACCAACATGCTCTGGAAGTAATCGGAGGGGATGTTAAATCCCTCTTAAACAGAAAGTCAGCCTGATTTAGGGCTAGTTATCAATGAGTGCTATTAAATATTTTAAGTCCCTGGGAATTTGTTTTTAATCATAGAGGAAAAGTAATCTTTCCCTAAAGACAGTCACTCTTCGAAGTTTACCATTCTGAGCATCACAGAAGAATGCAAATGAATAATTTTTAGATATGCCAAACAGTTCTATCCAAAACATACTCAGGTGGCTGGAAATTAGGAAAAGTTCTCTCCGTGGCAAAATAGGAACAGAATTTATTAACTCCTGAGTTGGGGAAAAGGGTTAATGAACCCCTTTCTCCTCTATGAACAAGGTTGACTTTGGATTAACTCTCTGTGCCCTTTTGGAAACCTGATAAAGGTGGGACGCGTCAGCTGTGTTACTAGGCAGCATGACTTAGGGTAAAAATGTCCCCCCGATTACTAAGCTGCATCTGAATTTAGAAAACTGTGAACAAACTATAAAAACCTGGTGAGAAGTTTCCTTGGGAAGCTCTTGTCACTGATTCCGTATACCCACTGAGGGAACTCTGCCAGCTCAGCTCATGGAGCTGTTATAGAATATTGGTTCCTACACAGTTGAAACCTGGGGCTCCAAAGCCAAGGGGACCCTGCACCCAGAGATGGCTCTTATCTTTTTGCTCCTAAGCTGACATTTGAGAGCCACGGACTGGCCTCTGGACTGCAGCAAGGACTCCTGCGAAAGATAAATGCCTGCCGGTGCCCTGTCTCTGTTCCCTGTCCTAGATTCTGCTAAGCAAACATAAAGTCAGTTGTGATCCACTAGGGCTTTGCAAGTTTGAATGTCTAGTTGAACATTAGACAACTCCCTGAAGGCTGCAGCATGGAGAAGTCCCAATTTGGGGGGAGAAAAAAATCCCTCATTTGATGCTAACGATGTTAAATGGCACGGCTTTTCAGATTTTATTGCCTCTAATTCTTTTAGAAGCTTTAGGAATGGGCATTGACAATAAATGCATGCTTTAAAAATTTTCCCACTTTTTCCTCTCCATAACCTATGTCATCCTTTTCATTTCCCAAGCATACTTAGTCCCACAAAAAGGAAAAAGGGGGGGCTTCCCTGGTGGCTCAGTGGTAAAGAATCTGCCTGCCAATGCAGGACACACGGGTTCAATTCCTGATCTGGGAAGATCCCACATGTCGCAGAGCAGCTACGGCTGTGTACCAAAACTATTAAGCCTGTGCTCTAGAGCCTGGGACCTGCAACTAGTGAAGCCGGAGCACCCTAGAGCCCAGGCTCCACAAGAGAAACCGCTGCAAGGAGAAGCCTGTGCCCCACAACTAGAGAGAAGCCTGAGCCGCAACAAAGACCCAGCACAGCCAAAAATAAAGCTTAAAAAAAGGAAAAGAAAGGGGGGGGTTTAATATACCTCGATTATTTTTCTAGGAGTAACTTCAAGTCTACAATGAAAATAATAGGGTTCTCACCCAAAGTGAAAGTGAAGTTGCTCAGTTGTGTCCAGCTCTTGGCGACCCCATGGACTGTAGCCTACCAGGCTCCTCTGTCCATGGGATTCTCCAGGCAAGAATACTGGAGTGGGTTGCCATTTCCTCCTCCAGGGATGGCAAGTTTACTTTGATGGCTGATAGCTGAGATGGGAGAGAAACTCAATGTGAACCTTTGCTGTTGGCTACTGCTTAAGCTAGACCTTTCTGCTAGGCCTCATTATTAACAATCTGTTTGTAAAATTAACTAGGTAAGAGTAAATATTTCCTAGCAGTTTAATTTACCTTCTATTGAATGCTTAATATTCCAAATGAGCCGTGAAAACTCAAAAATGTATTTGGAAGTTGGCTTAGATTAAGTTAAAAAATAAGAGCAAGTTCCAAAATATATATTTGTCAAGTTACCATTTTAGGGTATATTAGTTTATTAGTATATTAGTATATTAGTTTCAAGCTCTTTTTCTCAATCATGGATTATAATGTACCTGAAAGTAGAATTTATATGTACTTAGAAAAAAGTGTTTTAATCTTGAAAGACCTTTACTTTTGCATGTGATGAAATAGTTTAAAAATTGTGAAAATACATCTGAGTGTGATATTTCACTATGATGAAACCAAATTCTCCACAGTGTAATTAGGCATACTCATATTATTTATACCTTAAGATCTAACAGTTTTCTTTAAATCTTATTCTCTCCCAAGAAGTCTTTATAACTGTTGATCTTTAAGCTCTCTAAGCTCTGACATTATAAATTTAAGGGGGAATTTTAAGCTTAGAAGCATTAAAAATGAGATTAACTATATGGAGAGCTGAACTACGTACTTAATATAAACATGATTTTCCTGAATATGGAGAGCCATTTATAGCCTTCTTTAAAAAACTATCAGTCCCTTTAGACCCAAGAAAGAATGCATGCATGAAGAATTGGATCTGAAGAAACACAAACAGTGCTGTCAATAGATGAATTTCATAAATATATTTCTATGACTTTTTAATGTTACCACCATTTCTAATGTTTAGGTGTTGTTATTACACATACAAAACGGGACATGACTTACTGCAAGAGGCATTTTATATAGGGAAAGGTAGGCATGTTTAGTCTGCTTTGAAAAAAGATTAAGGAGCTCATTCTACTAATGTTGTGAATATAAATACTGAATATGACAAAGGGTGTCCTTTTAAACTTAAAAATGATCATGTAACTGATAATATCACTTTCTTCAGGTACTCAGAAAGAGATGCTTTATCAGCTATCCTGACATCCTCTAAAGAAAAGTTTCTTAAACTTGTTGTATTAATAATAAATTGGTAAATCAGTAAGGTCTGCAGAATTAGGTTTTCCATAATAAACCTGACCACTGTAATTCAAGGCCAATGATTTTTCCTTTGTGAATGTCTTTCTTTCCCTACCTCAGGACAGGGCTAAGATGAGCACATTGAATCAGAGAAGCTCAGAGAACACCATGTCCAAAATCAGGCTGAGTTTCTGGGAAGGGACACGTCAATTTCTTTTCATATCTCCAATATCAGTTCTATCTCCCCAAGCCCTTTGCTTTTGTGGTGCAGAACTGACACCTCAGAAGCCTCAGTTCTGCACCTCGACCAGAGGCTCAAAGGGCAAGTCAAATACCTTGTGAAAAGCCACCGGCCCTGGACTGTCAGGGAAGGCGCGAAGACACAGGGCAGTGAGGAGTGTCCTAAGGGACATTTTGATCATTTCATGCATTTGTGGACATCCAGCTTTATGGCATGCGAAACACAACTGAGGGGGAAAACACACATCGTTAATGATGCAAAACAGACCCCAAAGCAGAAGGAAAAAGAACAAGGAAACACAAGTCTGCAAGCCATACATAAGCAATGCAAATTTTAGATTATCAAGTCAGTAGACTGATAAATAACAGTACTAGGTTACAGCCACGGTGGAATCACTATTATTAAACATGAAGCAGCATGGTGGAAGGTACCAGATAGTCAATACACATTCACCAAAGGGATGATACATTTAAAGAAGCTGCCACAGTAGAAGTTTGCTTAGCTTTACAACGTGCATATGACCTTCACTTTACTGAACTGTGCTTTTACCTTCTCTTTCCTATCTGAATGGGGTTAGCAGCATAGCTTTGTTAAAACAGTGCATGGTATTGACTGTTAGTCAAGAGCAGAGCTGGTATGTTCTGATTGGAAAATTTTTATGGAGATGACAGTTTATGGTAATTAAGAAATAGACAGGGTCAGAGATTAAGTAAGCTACAAAAAAGCACAAATGTCTCTTATGTGAATATTTGCTGATCACAGTAGGATCAACAGAAATTTTGATTATTACTGTAAGTCTAAACTCTACATTGCATCATGGTAACAGCAGTAACAGGTGGGTATGTGACAGGAGGCACCTCATCAAATGCAAGCACACAGGCATACGCACATACACACACACAGACAGAGCAAACTGAAGTTGCTTTATTATTATTAAGAAATAGCTATGTAAGTAAATCTAGTCTCATGTTTAGGTAGGGAAAGTTGCTGGTTTTCCTTTTGGATTTCAACTTACATGGAAATTCTTAAAGTGCCCAGGGTTATACAAAAAAGTGACTACGACTTTGTTTTTCCTCCTTTATGTTCTTCTTGGTTTCAGCTGGCATATTAAAATAGCTTAGGACACCATAACCCATCAATTCCTGCACCTTTTTGGGCAGAGCCTTCTGCTTCATCTACAGAAGGTCTACCAAACTAGCCTCTGTCCATGAAACAACCCAAAATGAAGCAGAGGGGACCCCTGCATTGCTCCATGTGTTTTAACTCTGGATAAGTTGTTCAAGAGCCGTGCAAGTCAGAGGTTAAAGGAAAGTGCTGAATTTCTTGCAAAGGACTAGTTTGCTCAAAGCCCATCTCTGGCAGTAAGTAACCAAAGAACAGACACCCCACAGGAGTCAAACAAGAGTCAGCAAAGAGACTGGCCCATGAGGAAGGAAGGAGTTTCTGGAAGGAAAAGTGGAGAAGCTCCTTAGAATGGGGTTTCCTCACTCCAGTAGCCTCAGCTGGTTTAAAGCAATGGGCCAGCTCCCTTGGCTGATTTTTTTGCCAGGAGGTGGGGCTACCCCTCCCAGTCCTAAAGGGAACATGACAAATAAGATGCTTCCAAGATAAAAAGTACACAGGTGACCTGGTCCATCTTCCTGGATTGTATCTGGAGACCTTCAGCTCCTAAATTGTAAAACATCTTATTCGAGGTATGGCTCAGAAATAATGCTATCATTGTGTAGAGTTAAAAGAAAAGAATCACTAGAATCACTGAATATTTAATGAGAAGTCCGCCCAATTAAAAAAATTCTTTAGTGATACCTAGAACCATTATATCAGAACCTTTGGCAACAGGTCTTGATTTTCAGTGTTTTTTAAGTTCCCTGGGGGTAACAAGTGGAACTGTGTTAAACTTCCTATCCTCTGACGGTAATCAAATGCTCAGAAAAAATAAACTGAGTANAGTCAGCCCAATTAAAAAAATTCTTTAGTGATACCTAGAACCATTATATCAGAACCTTTGGCAACAGGTCTTGATTTTCAGTGTTTTTTAAGTTCCCTGGGGGTAACAAGTGGAACTGTGTTAAACTTCCTATCCTCTGACGGTAATCAAATGCTCAGAAAAAATAAACTGAGTAGTAATGTGTAAAGATACCCAAACAAGTGGCATATGCCTAATGATCACTTTAATCTACGGTCACAAAAAAAGTAAAATGCATCAGTACTTCTGCTTCACATGTAAAACCACCATACAGCCATTCTCTAAATGCCTTGGTAAAACGGATAAGAATTTCAAGAATTTCAGTTGGACTTTGTGGGAGAAGGTGAGGGTGGGATGTTTCAAGAGAACAGCATTGAAACATGTATATTATCTAGGGTGAAACAGATCACCAGCCCAGGTTGGATGCATGAGACAAGTGCTCGGACCTGGTGCACTGGGAAGACCCAGAGGGATCGGGCGGAGAGGGAGGTGGGAGGGGAGATCGGGATGGGGAACACATGTAAATCCATGGCTGATTCATGTCAATGTATGACAAAACCCACTACAATATTGTAAAGTAATTAGCCTCCAACTAATAAAAAAAATAAATTAAAAAAAAAAGAATTTCAGTTGGTTCCTACATTAATATGGCAAGATTTCACTAACATTTCTAAGACTGAGGGTATCTAGGAGGCAATATAGCATAGTGATTAATGGCACATATTTGAAATATAAAAGCCTGGATTTGAATATCTAAAATTTTTTCAATACTGTTTTCTATTTATGAACAAATCAACATAAAACAAGTCCAGACGGCTGTGGAGGGAGCTGTGCTGCTGACCTGCTCACAAAGAAAGCATGTGGACAGTGGAGTGGGTGCAATCAGACTTCAGCCCGGAGACCCCTTTCTCCCACCCACCTTAGGGTCTTCCTGACCTAAAGTTGCTGGGCAAGCAAACTGACCTCCCTTTCTTTGGGATTCTTTATATAGTTGGGTTATGGTAAAGATCAAAAGAGGATGTGTGGGAAATACTACTTACTGACATGCCCTAGGAATGCAACCATCAGTAGTTACCATTATTAACTACTGTTTTGGAATTAAGGGATGGAGGATGGATGGAATGAAAACAGGGGATTCCTGAAAGTAAAATCTTAAAGAGAAAAAAAAAAGAAAGAAAATGTCTTTGAGAAAGACTTAGCTTGAGCTTGATAACATGCTATAGGATCAAAGATTAGGAGTTTTCCATGACTAAGATCAAACCAGCAAACAAATATTTACAAATGAGGCTTTCTCATGTAGAAAAATCCCACAGAGCAGCCTTTACCAGGCATGAGAATATGCTCCAATCTTACCAATGAAACAATAATCTCATTAACCATCTTCAATTCAGCTTCACAGAGCTTCAGGCTATGGCACCACCTCTTCCCTTAACCCTAAGGCCCTGGCGATTTTTACTCTGACAGTTTTTCCTATATTAAGGTAACTGAATCAGAACACTCAACACATCTGCTAACTTGAACATAATAGTAAGAGAAATAATAAGGGTCTCGCTTTCATCCAATAAAAGAATTTTGTATCCATATGGAGTTTTAGTAATGATCATTCATGAAATTAAGCAGAAAACATGTTGGCTGTTTCATAGCTGTCCAATTCTAAATTCATTTCATATTTCTTATTTCTCTTGCATCACAGAACACCCTATTCTGAAAAACTGTCATCACTGCCATTTAATTAAGCAAGTTAAAGTTAGACACACAAATGAAGGCTGCCCTCTTATTTACATTTTCAGCGCTTAATGATCCTTTTATAGTTTCAGCAGTACCTTAGGAAAACAGCATCATTTTTCATACTTAAGTACACATTTCATTTCCTGATCAACAGGTTCCAGGGTAAGCAAAGTTCTTGAGTAAGTAGTCAGTGCAGACCAGAGTAAGCAAAAAGAATGTGTGAATTCTTCCCCCAATATTTCCACAGGTGATTTAAATGATTTTTTTAAGGTGTTTTTATAAATTGTTTCCCTAGCTATATCTAAAGTGACAATAGGAGAAAAGATTTTTTTAAGTGAAAGACTTATTTTTATAAGAAATTCAACTACAATCAAGAAAGTTTACAAGAGCTAAGTGGCAGTTTTAGGCTGAAATGTCCTGCTTTAAAAATAGAGATGCAGATTTTTCAAAGGCTAAATTAGCAGGTGGAAAGCATGTGAGAGTCCACAAAATCACTGGGTCTCACTATGTCTACAGAATACCGTTATTTTTGTGGCAGTCTCCTTTGTAGTTCATTCTTCTTGTAGATGAAAAATTATTTCTTAAGCATTTCCATGGTGAAACAACAAAGGGCTGTAAGTTATTTTGCCAATTTGAGGAAATACACAACAAAGGCAAAGTTAGAAAAATATTTATTCCTATCAGGTGTATCTGAAGTAAACAATGATTTCAAATAATTCTACTACTATCCTTTCTTAAATTATGCAAGCATCATTCACTTAACAATCTACAATCTGTAACTACTGATCCATAAACTTGAGAAATGGAATATTTCCTGCCATCAGGGAACAAGGATGTCACAGTGACTGGCAACTGCAGCCACCACGGATGATGACCTGGTGAACCCTGGGGTATTCTCTCGAATATCTGCCATTTCACAGCCGTCAAACTGCAGTCACTCCCCACGGTGAGCCCTAAGGAAACTCAGGATGTGGAAACACAGGATACTGGCCCCAGATAGGTGAGGCAGTTATCAGATGAATGAATTCAGTGAGCCTAGACTCTAGCATCTTCACATACCTAGAAGAGCTCTAAATTCCTTAACTTGACATATCTGGTTCCTTAAACTAACAACAATCTTTTGATGTTCCCGACTACCTGCCCTTTGCTGCAAACTCCTATATATCTGAGCCGCTCCCCTCACCTCCTCAGAGCAATTTCCCAGAGCTATCTGAGATTTTGTGTCCCAGGCTACAGTCCTCATTCTGCCCCAAATAATACTTAATTCCCAACTCTCACATTGTGCACATTTTTTTTCAACAAGCTTATATTTATAAGTTGTTCTTAGGCTTTTCATATAAATAGATCTATTCCATATTTGTCTTATGCCAGATTATATAAATATGGATTGGGGTAGGAGGCATATTTTTACAAGTTGACAGTGGACCTTATTGGTGAAAACATACACTCAGAAGGAACAGTGGCAGATTAAATCATTAAAAGCATTTAAGAAATATGCTTGATATATATCAGGCAATGACAAATGGGAAGGA